TATTCCCAAAACTACACACGTTTTTGACTGAAACTGGACCCAGCTGTTCTTGATCATTGGGACATTGTGCTTTGAAATGATGAAACAACTGATGACTGATCTTAGTCAGTAAATACCCCCGCCGCAGCAAACCTGCAGACTAAGCGAATTTCCATTTGACTGATTAGATTTACACTGAAATGTCTACTTAAAAATATAACATTTATTCCCTATTTAAATAGAATTAGTTTAACAAGTACTTAGGTTTGCTGCATCAGGGAGGGTAAAACTGTTTTTTTTGTAAAATGTTAATAGTTAGTAAGAAATAAAAACATTTTCCAAATTTGATCAAAATATGTTCATAAACAAGCAAACTACAACAGTTTACTTATTCTCCATAAGAATAACATTGGAATTTTAAATTTAAAATTTTTTGGAATTTTCTCCGTAACCATTAGGCGTATAATAACGCTTGAATATACTAAATTATTTGTTTTTTTAAGCTCTACAAAATGATTTGGAAAGAAATTGCTAAATTTTATGTTTTTTGGGTCAAAAATGGGAAAAACCTATTTTTACCCCATAAAACCCCCCGTAAACCCCCGTTCCCATGGTCCGATCATGCTGGATCGCGAACTCGTTCGAATAAACGTAGGTTTACACGTTTGTACCAAATTTCATCAAAATCGGATCATTTTTGCTCGAGTTATCGTGCTAACGGACACACACATATATATATATATATATAAATATATAAATATATAAATATATTTATATATATGAATTTAAACGGATGGTGTTTTTGGCCTCTAGGGCCTCAAAACAAAAAAAAAAATCGGTCCCGCGTCCAGGTCTTACCATGAGTACTACGGTAATAGCTTATTCCCTATATGGGAAATTCGCTAAAAGCTACACAGACCATCGGACACCATTCTTCTACACTAATCCTTCTAAAATATGCACATAGGTGGTGTCTCCATCTCATTGATGATGCTAATCAAATTGATAGAATCTAGAGTAACAAATAAAAGCTTTGTGAGGACCCTATGAGTGATTTTTCATTCAGAACATTGCCCCAATTACCCCTTGAACTATTGTGGAAAATACCTCAAGAATTTTGCATCTAAAATGTCAACCTTGTTTTAAATAAAGGCAAGATAGGAATTTATTAACATTTTTAGATATTATATTTTGAAAAAGACAAAAACATTACATATGTAAAGTTAGTGTAAATAGCTAGAGACCTCTTCATCATTACCACCACAAAATAAAATTTAAATAAGTACTGTACAGTGGTTGGAATATCATCTTAAGCCTTTTTTCAATCAATAAAAGCCCTTTTTCTAATTTAGTTCATGAATTAGCTAAAATTTAAAAGTATTTTTTTTACTTTTATTAATCTGGCTGAAATATTTAGGCGGTTTAAGGGGAATTTTACATATATCCCCCTCTCCACTTATTTGTCTAATAGCCTCTCCAGCTCCAGCTGATAACGCTTTGTTAGCAAATGTCAAAACAAATGAGTAATCATTTGTTGATGTTTTTGTTTACTATGTGGTTTGGTTTCTGTATACTTAAGTAATACAGTGTGATTTGAAATGGCAACTAAAGCTCCAGATATTTCAGTACAGACTAAAAAAATAGTGTTTAGTGTTGATCAAAACCTAAAGGATATAGTTAAGACCCATCCAAATGTTACAGTATTGGAATTATTCTCAAACACACAACAAGCTACTGCAGATGCATGCTCATTGTCACTTCGAAGTATTCAAAGAATTACCGCAGAAGGAAACAAAAATCCTATACATAATAATTGTAGGAACCAATTTCTATCATCTACAAAAAAGAAGCCTCATAAAAAGTGGATTACAGGCCTTGACGGCTTTGACAGAGATGTCGTGCGACGTACTGTATTAGAGTTCTATGATCGAGGAGAATATGTGACCTGTGATAAACTGAAGAATGTTTTAAGAGATAAAATCGGATTTAGAGGGGGGCGAGACTCTATGCGGAAGGTTTTAAAAAAATGTGGGTTCACATTTAAGAAGTGTAATGATGGTAGGCGTTTTTTAATGGAAAGAGACGACATAGTAACAGCAAGATTAGAATTCCTCCGAAAAATGCATGACTTAAGAGAAGATCCACTACAGCGGCCTATAGTTTACCTGGATGAAACCTGGATTAACCAAAATCATTCAAAGAAATACATTTGGCAACATTCGTCAAACGAAGGTGGTTTGCGTGTCCCAATCGGTAAAGGTTCGAGATTAATCATTGTTCACGCCGGATCAGCAAAGCACGGTTTCATTGAAGGAGCTGAGCTGGTGTTTCAGTCCAAATGTACAGGTGACCACAAGGAAATGAACCACGAAGTTTTCACAGAATGGTTTGTAGATATGTTGAAACTCTTAGATGAGGGGTGTATTGTTGTTATGGACAATGCCAGCTATCACTCAAAACTGAAAGAAAAAATTCCCTCTTCAAAGACAAAAAAAAAGGACATTACAGAATGGCTAACCAGCAAAGGGATACCTCACAACCCGAGACACACTGTCAGAGAATTATTAAACATCGTCAGAAGTCACAGAAAGGAATATAAAAGATTCGAAATCGATGACATTGCTCTGTGGATGGGGCATGAAGTGGTGTAGTGTGGGATAACCGAATGGTTTCCATGACCGAATAATCAATCAGTTATTTTTTGCGTCAATCGGTTATTTTTAGTTGAATGAATCACCGAATCAATTTTAGTCATTATTAACTGTCACAAACCACAACTACCGTAATTTTTATCTTATGGTAAACTGAATAGAATTTAGTCTTTTAGCGCCAATCGGTGATTTTTAGTCGAACGAATCGCCGAATAAATTTTAGTTACCTGATAATGTGACAAACTAAATCAACTAAATAACTAAATCACCGAATCGCACGGTAAGACTAATTTAACCGAACCAGGATAAAATAACCGAATTAGTCTATTCAGCATCAATAACCGATTGATTCGGTTATTTTCATTCGGTGATTCCCACCACTAAAGTGGTGAGACTTCCCCCGTACCATTGTCAGTACAACCCTATAGAATTGATTTGGTCACAGGTGAAAGGGGAGGTGGCAGAGCAAAACAAAACTTTTAAGATTAAAGATGTGAGAAATTTACTGGAAGAGTCTATTAAAAGTGTTACCGTTGAAGATTGGAAAAACTGCGTGCGACACAGTGAGAATATTCAGAAAGAGGACTTTTTAAAGGTAATAGGCATCCGTGATGACAACTTCCAGAGTATCGTAGTTGATCTCCAGAACGACACAACTGACAGCGACAGTACCGATGACATTGATATGGAGAGCACAGACGGAATCGAATTCTAACAATATTGAAAACCGTGGCAATCAAAGGGTTGATTGATTGTAGAATAATAATGTAAATGTTGTTATAATATACCAACATCAACGACTTTAATGACTAATAATGTTATATTAGAAATTAATTATTTTGTTTAGTTACTATTTTAATTAAATTATTTTTAATACTGCTAATGAAAATGTTATTCTAATTTAGCTTTGATAGCTTTTAAATTTGAGCTGTAACCTTTTGATCTTTTAATTTTATTTTTTTAATATTGCTCAAATTGAGCAGTTTACAACGCCGAAAAAATGTCACCGCGAGTCCACAGACTCGCTGTAACAAATCTGCGGGATCGCTTTCAAAGCGATCTTTTGAAAACGTAACACTGATTCGCTCACTTATAAATACGTAAGTCCACGGGCTCACTTTTCCAATCCATGAGCAGAAATGAACCTTTGAGATCGTTATTGGTTGTATAGTGGTGTTTATAGGTGATTATAGCTCGATTGAAAATAGAAAAGTGGATATATATCCACTTTTCTGTCGAGCAGGTAAAAAGAATAAATAACAACTTTTTTTAATGGTGATGGATCTCTATAAGTCTTTAGTTACTCAGTGATCTAGTCACTGGGAGAAAAATGCTCCGTCAGAAACCTAGTACGTCACGGACTCCTTTTGCGTACTGGACGTTTGTGATAGGCGTCATTGCGTCCATTTATTTGTTTGTTAAATTCAAGTTCAGGTTATTTATCTGTATATTTAACCTATATTTTGTTATAAAAAGAGCTATATTTTTTAAGTGTTACAGTAATTTAGTTAGTTTTTTTTACGGTTTTCTTAACTGTGTATGCTATACTAAACAAACTTTTAAATCAAGACGAATTTGATAACATTTTTCGCGTCACATATAATAGCTACAAACACAGATTTCAGTGCCTAAATTCAGAAATTTTAGTATGGAATACCCCCTAGGCCCCCAGGATATAATTTGAAAATCAGCCTTTTCCAATCAAAAAACGTCTAATTCCAACCATGTATAAGGCCTGTATGAATTAGGTAAAAATGAAAAATAGAAGTGGTTTGTTTACGTCTTATACATAACAGCAAACAGCTGTCTTGGTCAGTTCCAGTGGAGGGGATAAGAGTTCTTCCCCTTAAACCGCCTAAATATTTCAGCCAGATTAGTGTAAACAAGGCTAAGTTTCTTCATTTAAATGACTCATAAGACTGTATTTAAAGTACTGTACTGTTTGTTTTAAAGTCATCTTGACTATTAAGCCAATCATAAAAGTAAAATTAACTTTCATAATTTTAAGACAGTTTTTTACTTTCTATTTAATTGCAGAAAAATTGTTATATCTATGCTCTGATAGTAACAGAAAGTTAGGAACTAATCTATTTCAAACAAAAAATTTCAAAACCAGTTGCTAATCATGACAAAAGAGTACTAAACTTTATGCAGAAAGTGGATACAATTTGTACCAGTGACTGAGGACACTGAGGTGACTCAGATAAAATGTAAAAGGAAAACTGAATTTTAGTACATATTTAAGAGCTTCATTAGCCCTAAAACTCCTTGGACCTTGGCTCAAATATTTGGTAATTGACAGCAAGTACAGGTAAACATAATACTAGAAATTGGAGGAATAAAATAGGTATGTATCACTTAAATGCTGCATAACATTTTGGAAAAAGGTTTATTGAATAAAAAAGCAAATTTAAAAGATTACAACTTTTTGGTGCCTAGCAGTTATCTAATAAGGCTCAACATTAATAAATCTATTTACATCAGCTTATCTTCTAAGTTATTGAGATACATCTGTACACTTTATTATACATATATTCATAAAGGAAAATAATTATTATACAAGGGATAGGTTAAAAATTGTGGCCAGAAAGTAGTCATGTGGTAGCTAAGCATTGTAAAATGAAAGCATAAATTTGAATTTTTGTGATGTAGAAGAGTTTTATTTTAGGACCAGGCTAATCTCATCCATTATTGTTGATTCCCCCCAAACATTACTGTGGCGTCAATCTAAAGCTGGGCTGTCCTAGGCGCGGAGCGGAGCGCGGAGAGAGGAACGCGGAGAACGGACTCCTCTTTTCTTAGGTAATTTTATGTTACTGTTTTCTAGAAGCGGAGCGGAACGCCATGTTAATCGCTTTTCCGCTCTCCGCGCTCCTCTTCCGCGTCTAGGAAAACCCGGCTTAGTTCAGTTTGAATATTGTTATCAAGAAGTTACATGACTTTTGAGCTGTTTAATCTCCATATAAGAATACAAGGGACAAATTGTGGACTAAAAAATTCTTGATTCCTAAGGGTAAACATCAAAATATTTTAAGGTAGTGGGACATGGTTAGTAATCTGGTACAGGAGCAAGAATCCTATTATAAGAGTTGAAGTCCTACTACTTTTTCTCCATTTTATTATTTAAAGAAACCTAGAGGAGTATTGTAAGCAGAATATGAATGCAATGATGGTTTAGAATCATAGATTTTATATTTAATTTAAATGGTTGATTGATATGATAGCTACTGTAACTTTGTTACTGACCAGGATCAAAACTGTTCTTTAAACAGGACCATTTATTAAATAAAAACTTAAATTAAAATAAAGTATCAATGAATAGTTGACACCTCTAGAAAACAGCCTATTCAGTACTGATTTATAGGGAATATAAGGAAAATGGGGAGTAGATTGCCCAAAGTAGGTTGTCTTAAAATATTTAAAAAATATCATATATTCTGCCTTTGAATGCTTTTGACGAATAATATCTTCATAACATCAGAATATGCTGGCACTATCAACAAACAGAAAATTAATATCTTAAGGTGTATGTGTAAATTTAAAAATATAATAAATGTTCCTTATAAGAGGTAAATTTAATATTAAAGAGTATAAAATGTAAGAGGCCACAATAAGTATTAATATGAAATAAGATAGATGATGCAACAGCGATACATTCACCAACATTCACTAAAAAATACACCTTTAATAGACCGTTTATAAAACTTAAAACATCCAAACCTATAAAATGACAAGAATAATCACTAGATACTTTTTACAAAGGAAATGCACACATATTAAAAAACAGTGTCGCTATTATTTCAATACATAACAAACATTTTTTGAAGGCTAATCGGTGTAAAGTGAATGACATAAAGCTATAGTTTGATAAAAATAAACAACAATCAACGGTCAAGTACTTTTAGTTGTCGAAAAAATCCAAACTAAATAACTTCCACTTCAAAATGAGTAACTATTACCTCACCTTATGCCAGGGCTTCTCAAGAACTTCTTCTTTTCACACAAATCTAACACTATTAAAATTATAAATACTTTATACACGTCTAAAAACGTTATACTTTCAAAGATTCAACAATATATCTTTGTAACACTAAATAGATGAACATGATTATAACACAGATAAATCCTTAACGTCTTCAAGTTTTACGAGACCACTCAAATATCTCGTAGATCACATACGATAGTCTCTTTTGTCTCACTGTTAGTAGTGTCTGATCACGTGTTAGTGGACGGAGCCGGTGAGGCGTCCATGTTTATTGCTGTAACTGCTGGCGGGATTAGTGGTGTCGTTGGTAGTGGTAACACTGGTATTGATATGGTCGTGTCACCTTTCACTCGTTGGGATTTAACCTGCGGATGTTCAACTTTGCTGAGCCGTTCACTGAGTGCTTTCAAAGCTATTTGCCTGAAAACATAAAAAAGTGGGTCTATAAATTGACAAATATTTTTTCAATTTGTTTTACCCATACCTTGCAGTAGGGTGAGAATGCAAAAGAGGATAAACGGTAGCACACATCTATGAGTTGTCGATTATACAAAAGTCAATTGTACTAATTAATTTCACACCGTGGAGACAGAATTCCACAGGGAGAACAGGAGCCCAATACCTTTAAAAGCCTAGAGTCCAGGTGGGGTAGTGTTTAAACTTTTCCAAATAGAAGTTTAATGTTCTTTGTCCGATATAGGGGTTTTTTTTAGTTATTACCGGTAGCTTTTTCCAGGTTCCTACATCATTGGGTGTAAATTATTTAAAGCTGCAACTTTAAGTCCACATGTAATCACTGGGAGTCTACAACTCTGAGGATCACATGCAAAATTGTAATTTTGAGATAATATAAATTTGGCAATTGTCATTATGGCTTAATAAATACATATACTGTAATACAACAAGTATTAACACAAGTACTGTAGCCTAAATAGAAATTAGTTATCCTGACAAATAAAATAATGGGAATCCCTCTGCAATCTTCACCATAAGACTCCCAGTGACTCGGGACATGAACTCAGGATTTATTTTGAGTCTGGATAGGTTTAATTAAAATATGGGTCTGGAATGTATTGAATAGCTTGCTGAAATCATAACCAATACAATAATATTTTTTCCGATCACTTAAAGTTCATAATTTAACCTAAAAAATAGAGGAAATGTAAGGAGTTGCCGTTGAGGCCAAATTCAAGGTTTGCCGGGCCTCATTAGGTATCCAAAGTGAATAGTGTGGGTTAACCTAAGGAGTAGTCGTGATGTTTTGCCCATATTACAGTAGCCTATAAAGTGTCTTCACTAACCTTCTCCTTTCCATATCTTGAGGGTCGTTTCCTGGCAGCGTGACAGTGACACCAGTAGGAGCAGCGGCGAGGTCAAACTTTCTCACAGTCTTTCGGCAAAGTCCGATCCGAACTAATCCGCTGTAAACTGTATTGCTCACAACACCAATTGGCGGCTGCAAGACGTTCGGAAAGAAGCTGAAAGTTGGTTGACTCATTAGTGGTATTTGTTAGTAAAAATTTAAAAACGGTATGGTTGTAAGATTAAACTATTTGGAGTGGGAAGTAATAACTTAGTTACAGTAAGACTATGACCAAACCAGTTAACTGACTTGCCTCTAAAATAACTACATAGCCTACTATGTAGAGCACTCCAGAAATCAACCAGTTGGCTGTGTTAGGCAGGTTAACTTATCTTCTTGGTTAATCAGCATGAAACTTCCATTCTAATTTCATCTAACTTAAAAATCTATTGTTATAACGATACAACAATTTGACCTGTCTTACTCGGAAATTGAATTTTATCATGCCAATATGACCCTTAATTGGACTTCTGTTGCGAGTTCGATTAGCTTGTAAAGTAAGGCTTTTTAATCTTGAGAATTTATTGATGAAACTATTGTTTACATTTCATAAAAATATTTAGGCGCAAGTCAAATATGTCAATTGTTATGTTTCATCAAATCATATCACTAAAATAATTCAAGTCTGAATTTGATTGTATACTAACTTAAGTTGGTACCTATTCATTGTTACAGGCAAGCAGATCTTTGATAAAAGCCGACTAATCCATCAGCTAAATTTATTGCCATAGGCTAATCAATTTTTCTTATTGATCGAAGTTAAGTGATATTTAAGTTATGAGTTACCGGCAGGATCTAATTCTATATAGGGCCTAACCAATAATAACTTATATATTATGTAACAACAGTAATATATATTTTTTATTGCAATAAATTCATGTCATTGGGATGAGTAAGATTAGATTAAGTTAACTTAGTTTCTTTTATCTTTTTTAGATTACAGTAACTTCCTTACTCTTTGAAAGAAAACTTTAGCAGCGGGTAGGGTTTATGTAAGATTATTGAAAGTAGAATAGTCATAGACAAGTAAGTACAATTAAAAATACTAATAGTTTTGGTTTGATATTACAATGGAGTCAGATAGCTTAAAGTCGGGACCACGAGAGTCTGCAGTTGAGGGAGGAGCCTATTTACCACGTGACTCCGAAGGAGCCAATGAGGACAGTGTGGTGTTGCTAAATCTAATAATACCAGCTGATTTGAAAATATTGTTTAGTATTTTAATTCACAGAGGACACCCGGACGTGGTTTAGGCGTCCTAAACCTAACCAACCAACCACAACGTCACACTAGCCTTGTCTTGTGATTGGCTGCCGGGAACTGCAGATTCTCGTGGTCCTGACTGTGTAGTAAAGTTTTGTTCATAGGCCTTCATCATTGGCAAGTTGAACTAACCTTGCAAAAGTAAAATTGTCTGCCATATCCCCTCTTGATCCATTTGTGTGATACTGATAGAATCGCAAATATATCCAACTAACAAGAAGTCCAGATGCAAACATAGTTGGATTAGTTCTTTCACACAACCCTAACAACCACAGGCAAATATAAATAAATAGAATCAACATAGGTATGTTCTTGTTTGATATCTTTCCCAAAGGCGTCTTTGCAATCAAATGGTCAGGCATAATTTGCTTTACAGCGACTGAAATTCCTGCTATGTATCCTGAAAGTCCATGGATCTGAATTGAAAACAACAAGTCTGTGTTAAATGTGCACATGTACAATAGCAAATAAAATACCGAGCTTAACAAAGCTACTCCTACATTGACAATTGCAAAGAAAGTCATCATTTCGAATGCACCCCATAGTGGTTCAATTAATTTCCCACACAACCCTACAGTAATAATGTCAACACAGACTTCCCAAAAATGAATTTCCAAGAAGCAAAATGTAAATGCTGTCCATATCCAAAACACTGGAGGTAGAAGGAAACCTGGAGTTACACTTATAACTTTCACAGCCTCTTCAGAAAATGACAAAAAGTACGTAACAATAACAGCAACACAAATAAACTTCACAAATACACTGGTGTTCCCTACGAGAGCTAATAACTGTTGTCTTATATATGGTAAATTCCTATTCAAAACTTTCATGGCCGCCATGTTTACTTATCTTTATCATCAAACTAGAACGACTAGAATAACAGAACAACAGCAGCAAACGCCAAACACTGTCGACTGTCGAGTCGAGCAGAAGACGAAAACAAGACGAGAAGAAAGTACAGTAGAGAAGTGGAAAGCCATAGACTAACGTAATGCTTTGAGCCAACACCACCAATAAAATCTCAAGTTACATATATGTGGAGGATTATTCGTTGAAATCCGATTTCAAGAACAACCACCCTATTAACTGGTATTATACTTTCGGAACCAGCATTTAGTATCAAAAAGTTATTGTAACAACAAATATATATATGGATATGTTAATTATTTTGACCCTTCCTTACATGAGTAAATGATGAGTTTAGGATGGGAGAGCTAGCTATGTAAGTTTGTCATTGACTAAGATCAGCTGTTTCTTAAGCTTGGACCATTGACACACGGCCAACGGTGACCTTTAACTCCAGGCCGCGGCCTTCGAAGTGGCAACGTCTCAAGTAGTCTCAATCCTGTCCCAATAATCTTTAAAAACATTATCACATGAATTACCATCTAAACTTGCACTTTAGCTTGGCACGGCATCCCCCGAGGCACCGAGGTATCACCGTCGTCTTCTATGATCGTGGCAAATTCGTGAATACTGCCCGTAGTCATGGAAGAAACATTTATCATAGTCTACCGTGATTGCAACCAAACCTTTGACATCTTCAGATAACAACATCATCGTCTCCCGCGTTCACGGCCCAATCCCTAATATCTGCCACGACTCGTGGTGACGGGGAAATCTCTCTCGGAAAAAGAAAGGTCATTATCTTCTTCCGCAATCGTGGCAAAATATTTAATTAACATCTCCTACGGCCTTGGAGACATCATCATCGTTACCCGCGGGTAAATTCTCTCGTCGATCTACGATCGTGGCAAAAGGTCACGGTTCACGGGCCACCTAGCTCGCGAGCCCCTCCGCACCGCGGGCCCACTCAACGAATAAAGTTTCCTGCACACCACAGAATACCTTGTGCTTCCAGGGTGGAAGGAAAAAATGTAGGTGTGTGCTATTCCCGTCATATGCTGACGTCACCCAGCTTGTAAACACCATTTCACCTTTTGGAAAAAGTTATAAAAACAATAACAATAAAATCAAAACAAATATACTCATGTGGCAATAGGTGATTGTTTTGCACTTCTGGTGACATCAGCATATGACGGGAATAGCACACCTATGTTTTTCCTTCCACCTTATACCAAGCAATAACTACAATTTTATAAATAACCTTTTATTCAATGGGTGGCTAAACTTTATTAAATCAAAATCTGATCAGCTGATCTTTTCATTTTGCTATGTTCCCTTGGATTGCGGAAAAGAAGGAACAAGGATTTGAAAAAAAAAGAAATAAATGGGAATGGGTGGAATGGGAAATGGAATCCAGATATTGCTTTCTGCTACTCTGCTAGGGCTAGGTGTTGGTGTTAGATAAAAGAGTTAATTGTTTTGATTACGGCAATCAAATTCAAATATATTAACATGTATTAAGTAAGTTGTATTGTATTGTTCAGTTTTATTACTGTAGTTATGCTAGACCTATTTTCACTTAACTTTATTATTATTTTATTGTCAATCAGTTGTAAATAAGTACGGTAGCCAATGTTAAAGATTTATACCTAGTCTCAGGATCAATATTTGTTATGCTGAAGTTTATGATGGAATTTCTTAATGTCTATAGATAGCTACACAAAATTTGAAACTTTCATAACTTTTTAAATTAATAAATGATACAATTTATAAATGTCTAGCTTAGAGGTTCAGACTTTGTAATTTTATGGATTAGCCTATTACAATAAAGAAGTTTTTTTTTTGGTATGGGCAATTATTTAATATTCAATAATGCAATGGTATCCGTGTCGGATATAAGTTTCGCCATTGATCCTTAGGTAGCCTTCACATTCTTAGTCTAGTATGTTACTATTACCACAATTACCGGTAGCCTCCTAGTTTGAATTAGGCCTAGGCCCTACCATTTTGATTGATCTGCCAACACATGTAAGATGTAGTACGGTATGTGTTAGATCTCTATATTTATGCATTTAACTACTCGGCAAAATAAGTAAGCCTTTCACTCGAGGGGTGAGACTAAATAACTGAATACCCTCCTCCTATTTTGTTGTTTGGAACTGGAACAGTAAGTTACAAGTAGGTAGCCTATAACAAAAGAACCTCAAAACTTATTTATTTATTTATTTCCAAAGGACATCTCCATTTTACAGCCATACAAATCAAAACATTTCAACTCAGGATGGCTTAATTAATAATACAAAATTTTGTGCTTATAGACTAGAAATACAAATCAACAATATAATAATGATCTAATGACAAATAACAATGACAAACCTAGCCGAACAAAACAAAAACTGACAAAATAACCAAAGGTATAGGCCTACTAATAAATAAATAATTTAAAACAACAACAATAAATAAATAATATAAAACAACAACAACAAACCCACAAGCCAACAACCAATAACAACTGAGAAAGATAAATATATAGACTAATATAAAATCAAATTGACTAGAGAGCAACGACAAACCTATAGTTAAATGCAAAGACAAAAGTGAATTATTTAACAGACAAGTAGTATTTGTAGGCTACTAGGCAATTAACTGTATAAAATTGTTATAAGTGATATCCAAACATGTTATCCACTATCTTACTTAAAAGTACTTAAGCTAGGGTAGGCCTACTAATAAATTTAAGATTAATATTCTGGTTATATTTGACAATTATCTGCAACCTTTATTTTAGGTAGGCTAGTAAATGTTACCTACTGGCAGTACGTAAGCTCAGGGCTTTACTATGACTGAAGAATCCGACAGCTTGGAATTGTTTGAGTTAACTCGAGTAGCGTCTGCTGCTAAAATATGTCTGTCAACATTCAATGGCATTCCAGGTCACCAAACGGTTGCTTTGGTGTTGGAGTAAGTAAATTTTAACGTTTCCTTTCCTAAACTAGATACCTTAAGTGTAAAGCTTGTGTGAAACTTGAACTTATATTTTGAAAGGTAATTAGCATCTGTTATCAATACGGTACAGGTTTGTACTGTTTGTCAAACGAGCCTTGTTCTGTTGAGTTACCTATACAACCATTAAAAAGTAAATCATTCTAAACTACCTACCAGTCTTGGAAATATAGGTAGTGCATAGGACATCAAATAATATTGATTTCACCAACAGGGTTAACAACAACACTAGTGTGCCAAAATGTGAATATAGTGTATTTAACTGTAAATGTAGTAAGAACGCTCATAACATTACAGGTCCATAATTTTGAATTTCATTTTAAATTTTCTAGAACACATTTCTCAAATCCTTTTGAGTTAGCCTAGCATTTTATTTCTTTACCCACCAATGTTTAATTATATGCTCTTTAAATTGCAGATCAGGGGATGTTTTGTTCTACCACAACCCTCCCGCTGGAGATACTCCTGTTGTGCGATGTGTCCCTTGGTTCGAAGACCCTCAGAAGAGGATTGAGTCGGCAACATTCGATCCCGCCTCTGGGAATTGGCTGCTTGTCGTCTGTAAGTAATGAAAAATATTTGCAGACTGGAGTGTGATGCCTTGTGTAGCTTTGTTACTGACTAAGAACAGCTGTTACATTAGTCAGGACCATTAATTGAAAGCCCAACAATCAAGGATTAATTAATAAACAGGCTACTTTCAAAAGCTCTGCCTTAAAATTTAAAGCCTGGGGCTCCAAGATGATATTGAAATGATACTAGAACTACTAAAGAAAACCATAGTACACTAAATTATATACAGCATTTTGTATGAAATTTGAATAAATTTGGTACTGTACAGCAGTGTTTCTGTGATAAAAATAGAGACAGACAGACACCTAATTGTAATTTAAACTAAAGTTAAAGATTTTTCATAGTACGTAGTACCTCAGTAAACTGAGATTGTTCACTAAACTGACTCAATTCTAACAAAATATATGTCTCCTACTATATTGAATCCAAGGCTGCCCATCCAAGCAAAACCTTTTGCAGAACTAACTTACTATTTTTTTTTAATGCAATAAACAAATGTATAAGCCTTGTGTCTAAGGACCTTTGTTATAACCTACAACGCAATGGAGCTAACAAAACTCTTTCACTCTCTGATTCACTCTACTCTAGTCAGGGGCGGATTAGAGACCCACTAGTCATATGAAAAATAGTTTCAAACGGAGCGTTTATTAACACAACCGTGTTGAGAATTTCGTGAAGATAGGCAATCAAAAATTGATGATCACATCGTGATTGCGAGTGATTTTTAAGGTTTTTTGCAAACTCTTCAGATTTTCACAATAATTCCACCATGAACGTGGGTAAGATGGTCAAGATTTCTCCATGACCACAGAAGATGCTCACGACTTTGCTGTGACTACGGAAGATGTTCACTATTTCCACATAGAGAATGTTCAATAGAGAACCTAGAGAATGTGCGAGAGATGTTCATTATTAAGCTGTGAACGCATAAAATATTTTTATATTATCGTGACCGCAGACGATGTTCACGTTTTTTTAAGAGTCTGGTTTTTATGTGCTATCAGAGTTTGATTAGCATTTACGAAAACAAACACAGCTGGGTGTCTCTATTACAATGAAATGGCACTAAAATCATGCTTTCAAAGTTGAATTTCAAAATCCACTTGTAATTCCTGGTTTTACCAAGTACCTACAACAAAAAACAACAATTGTGAGTAAAAATGCCTAAATCTGCTAGTTAATCAATGTAATTAACCTATATCCACAAAATTTTCTTAGGGGACACACCCAGATCCCCTTTTAACTGGGAGGTGTGCCCTATCCCCCAGTTCCGTCCCCACCCACAAAATAGAACCTCTGACTCTATTAGCCTAACATTTCTGTATAACCACGTAGGTCACGATGGCTCGCTGTACCTGGTACCAACCCAGCTGCCGTCCAACTTGGACACTCGGGATTGTGATTGGTCAGTGGATGACATCACAGCTCTGCCGCCAATCTGTGGTGTCAAAATGGCCGACCTGTGTCCCACAGCAGTGGCCTGGTGGGACAGAACACTGACCGATGGGCGATGCCAGTGAGTTTGTGTTGGTTTGAAATTTTGTTTAGGAATAGATGTTTTTATTCAATTGTTGTATATTTGAAAATACATTGGTCGAATTGGACACTTGCAAAAGTAAATTTAAGAGAATTCCACAGTAAAAAATCTAGAATGCCACACATCAAAATCTTTTAGGATTCCTAATGCAAAAATCAGAAAGTTGGCAGAATTTTGTAATAGGTCAATAAATTGTACAAGTTCCCCTGTTGGCTTCGTTTGTAAGGTTCAACATCCTTCAAGAACAATGGGTGTTTATGATGAGCTATAGCATAACCGTCTAAAAGGAGGAGAAACGAGAGGAATGCTCAAGAGTGGACATTAGGAATTAAAGCTCCCATCTGTTAAGTTTCAGTGCCTTTATTTCTAACAATTGTCTCTAGTGTTCGGCAACTAACGATGTCTATTTACAGGATTATTGTGATCGTCGGAGGTTCCAGAGGAGGAATCGTGTTGGCAATGCTACGTACTGGCTGTGTTGTTGGTCGCACTGCTGTCGAAGGAAGTGTTACCAACATTCAAGTCTGCAAAGACGACACTTTGCTCGACAATCCTCCTGTGTTTCTCCTGGTTAGTATCTGTGTTTTTACTTTTAGCCTACAATATTCTGTTTCTATTTTTCTAATTCGTCCCACTCCTAGTTGGGTGTTTCATTTTTCATTACAGATTGTTTTGAGCTGCATATATATATATATATATATATATATATTTCTTCCTAAAATGAAACTTATGAATTTTTAAGTTTGCACCCATCATAGGCTACCTGAATACTGGCATGAAATATTTGATTCTATTTCATTGTCAATATTTTGAGAATAATCGTCTCCGTTACTGTGATGTTGTTTGACAGATAACCAACGAGCACAATATCCAATGGAAGCTGGTGTTGGAGGATAGAGAGATGGGATACTCGTGGCCGTTGCCCTCTGAACCTTCCAGGGCTGAGTCGAACACGTCACTGATCAGGTGACTGACTGTAAAAGTATTCTACCAAAAGAAGAGTAGTAGTGTAGTATATCAGTTTGTAGAATGTTTTAGAATTTAGAATGTTGGACGCTTCAAGTAGAAAAAAGCGAACTTATGAAGGTTTGTTACTGACTATGAACAGATGTTTTTTTAGTCAGGATCATTTATTAAAATCCCAATGATCAAGGACAGGCACAAAGTTAATGAAACTGTTTTATACTTGTTGTGTTGTCCCAGTTTCCAGAACTTGAATTAGAATGTTTCTTTTTTTTGTGGCCGAGACTTTCAAAACTACAAATACAAACTATTAGCTCATGAATGCAGGAAACAAAAAAGGTAGTAGATACAATCTGTTATTAAACTGTATTCCCTTACTTACTACCCTAATATTAGGTAGCCTATATACGTATAAACTACGGTAGTTTTTATCCACTGAACTTACAAAAAAACTATTGAAATCTACAAATAAACTTTCCCATAAATCTTTCAACCATTGTTACAAATACCATTGTACAAATTAAGATTTCCAAAATGTTTCAACTACATGAAATTTGTATTGTACGCTAAGTGTCCCTTTTCTTTTTCTCTCTAGACTAAACACTAATTAACATATTTTTGGTTAGCAATTGAACTAAAAAAATATAGCCACATAATCTTGAAATGTAGCTTAACTCTTATTTGCTTACAGTGTAGTAGGGTCTGAGGAGTCGGTTGTTCGACCTTCTATGACAAGCTTCCCACTGGCCCGAGCTAGGCTACAGGGTCTCAAGCAACTGTCAGTGGAGAAACTGGCTACACTTCGGCAGAAACTCTCGGAGAGTAGGAACAGGGGAGTGACTACTTCTGTCATCTCTGCTAAAAGAAGAGGTAAATACTACTTTTTTTCTGTCAAACTCAAGCTCGTAGCTCTTTGTATGATAGTGACGTTTCCTCATACTGCTTAAGTCAGTTTTTTGCGTTAATCTGAGCCTAAGATGCTCATTGTAAGTAGTTTTTATAATTAATTTAATGTACTTTTAATAACTGTAAAGTTTGATAACTGACGCCATATCAGCTCTGAGTTCTATGGTGCTAATTCTAAAAAAGGACCTGGGCAATAAATAACCCAGTAACTAAACTAATTTAACTACCATACTAGCACTGAAGTTTTAGGTACTAAAATAACCCACAGAACAAAAAATCTTAAAAATCATTACTCTTAGTTTAGTTAACTTACAGTTAGTTTGTTAACTGAGAAATTTAATGTAGTTTACCTTCTACAAAGTACAAATACACAAATATGTTGGAATATTAAAATTTCATGAAATTAATATTCAAAGATCATAGAAGTGCGGTAGAACTTACCATAAGACCGAGTCAAGGGCAGATAAGGATTTGACTGAATAAAGCAACCAATTTTGTAAAAGACAATTTCACAACAATTAACGTTAAATAGAATTTATTAATTCTGTTGAAAAAAAGGAGGAAAACAGTTTAGATAATTTCTTTACAAAACAATCAATTGTTAAATCACTATGCTACTGAATCACCATGATCACTGCAGGCAGTAGCAGTAGTGAGGAGTCAGTGTCCAGACAGAGGTCTTCAGTGTCGTCTGACAGCGAGTCGCTGAGTGGGGCCGCTATTCTGCCCAAGCTGGAGCTACTGAACGAGACGTCCCTCTACCTACAGACTGCAAGAGGGAAGCCGGTAATTGTTGGCCACTACGCTCCTGCACACATCGTTACGGTATGAACTTTTTATATGCTATGCTTTTAAATTGAGTTTCAATAGCAAATGTTTAAATTGAGTTTCAGCACAAATGTGCGGGAGACTCAACATGCCCGTCCAGCTTATCTGAGGTTTAACACGTCCATCAGGTGTCCCACGGACTCTTAAACGCTCATGGGAGGTGTACACAATGAAAACAGTTTTGCCTTAAGAAGGACCATAAACAATTTCCAATCCTTTGTGATTTGAGTAGATTTAGTTGTCATTGTAAATTCTCTAATAAAAACCTAGCTTACTCCTTGTTAAATGAGTTCAAGCTATAAGTTAGTTTTGTTTTGAGTTTGTATTATTGCATTGTTTTACCGATTGTACTCCATTGTTATCTTTAATACATATTTCAGTATTTTCTGTGAAATAACTTGTCTAGGCAGTATTATTCATGTGTGTATATTATAATTTTCGAGTGAAGTTGGCGAGTCATGGAAATCAATGGGAAATGGTCATGGATAGTCATGGAAAGTCATGGAAATTAATGACAAAATTTCTGTGGACACCCTGTATACTTAAGGCTACTCACCAGGTTTACGAGTGTTAGGTATCAGTTTATAAATTATAGGAATGTTCATTGAGGTAATAGCTAACCAATCCTAACCTCTGTGGACAGGTGTATGGGGTTGGACTGAATCTCAGCCCCATCTCCATACACAGACTGCCAGGCCCGTGTGGTCTGGTGAGACTGACGGACTGGCTGCTCTACGTGACAGACCTCGGCTGTCGACAGCTGTCGGTCGTCTCCTACCGCATGTCCCAGTGCCGCATCGACAGCGACAAACAGATTCTCAACAGCGTAAGTGGAATAATTATTTTTAGAAAATTTGTCAATCATTGTAAATTTTATTGTGTCTGTGAGTTTTTATTTTTTGTAAAATAAAAAAATAAAATATTTCATTGGGTCTTAAGCGAAGGCTGTTATAGACTGGTAAGAGTTGGACCAACTAAATTTGCAAAATGCACGTCAAAATAAAAAACAACACTACATAACCATACACCATACACTAAACAACTAAACGATTAAATACTCACGCCGATGAGTGCAATGGCAGGTTGCTAATTAAGGATTTTCAGATTCTGTTTCATAATATACTGTGCTCCTATTAAAGCTCTTACTCTAACTTAAGATAAGACCAAAGTCGTAGAACTGCCATGCGGCTCTCCATCCTTAGAAATTTCTAGAACTTATCACGTGGATGCTTTGTTGGGAAACTGGCTTATACTACGGTAAAAAGTTTATTCTGGTAATAAAATCAATAAAACATTTAAGATCACTTGTACTAAGTTCTAGAGCCAAGATTTATGTTTATACTGTAACAACGAAAGTTGTAATTCCAACAAACCGCCAAATAATACTTAAGTACAGTACTTAAGTAAGTTTAATCAACAAATAGGGTATTTGGGTCAAATTATAGGTAATTGGGAGAGAATATAGCCCAACCCACAACTACAAACGCGTTTAGTATATCATTTAGATAAAAAAAACCCATTGGTTATTTGGTGGGATTTGAACTCGAGACGTCAGGGATCGTGCTCTAACCACTAGACCAGCTCGCTCCCCCAATTTTTTTGTAGTTGAATCATGGATATCATAGCAATCATGAAATGTATTAAAAAATGAAAATGAGAACATAATCTAGCATTAAGAATCAGTTATAAAGAGACACAACTTAATAAATTAAAGGGTCAGCTATATTTTCCATTAAGTTAATGCATTCTTACATCCAATTACTTTTTTACATTTTAGGAAGTGAACCCAGACTCCTTACTACAGCAGTTCTTTTTCCAAGATGGAGAAGAAATCCAAGCTCTCTACAGGATAACACCAAACTTAAAGGCAAGGATGTTTATTTTGATTTTGATTTATCTACAGACAAATTATTGAGCGGAGCGAGCGAAGCGAGCGAAGCTCTTATACGTCGACTTTTATGCATTTCGTAATACGCAAACTCCTCCTAGACGGCTGAATCAATCGTTTTCAAATTTTGGATGGTGAAAAATACCATATCGGTGAGTGCCAACATCTATATAGCGTTAAAAATAACTCTCAGGAATCCGCCCCACTGGGTCTCAAAGTTTCAATGTAATCCTTATGGAAGCAGTATTTGACACATAAACAAAGATATATGATCAGCTGTTGACTTTTTAATGCAGCAGATGAAGAAATAGCTGATAGCATTATCCCACAGATATTAGAACAGAAACGGTATGAATCATAATTATAATCAAATGCCGACACTAGCTTGAGATCTGTGACGTAGGAAGTGCTAAAGGAAGTACTAAAGGTGAGCAGTCTGGAGTGTGGAAACTGTTTATAACGATTAGATTTAGGTATCTGCATCTGCATTCCTAAAATTCTATGGGAAGGGAGGAAAACGGGTCCGCGACGTAGGAAGTGGTAAAGGAAGTACGAAAGGTGAGCAGTCTGGAGTGTGGGAACTGTTTATGACCATTAGATTAAGGCATTTGCAATCATAAAATGTTATGGAAAGTGAGGGAAACAGGTCCGTGGCGTTAAAAGTGGCGAAGGAAGTAGTAAAGGTGAGCGATCGGGAGTGTTGGAACTGTTTATGACCATTAGATTAAGGCATTTGAAATCCTATGATGCTATCGGAAGGGAGGGAAACAGGTCCGCTACGTAGGAAGTGGTAAAGGAAGTAGTAAATACGAGCAGTCCGGAGTGTGGGAACTGTTTATGACCATTAGATTAAGGTATCTGCAATCATAAAATGCTATGGGAAGGAAGGTAAACAGGTCCGTGACGTAGGAAGTGGTGAAGGAAGTAGTAAATGCGAGCAGTCTGGAGTGTGGGAACCATCGAAGTATATAACACAAGTTGTGTTATATACTTCGATGGTGGGAACTGTTTATTACCATTAGATTAAGGCATTGCAATCCTATGATGCTATGGGAAGGGAGGGAAACAGGTCTGCTCCGTAGGAAGTGGTGAAGGAAGTAGTAAAGGCGAGCAGTCCGGAGTGTAGGAACCGTTTATGACGATTAGATTTAGGTATTTGCATTCTAAAAATTATAAGGGAAGGGAGGAAAACGGGTCCGCGATGTAGAAAGTGATTAAGGAAATAGTAAAGGCGAGCTGTCCGGAGTGTGGGAACTGGTTATGACGATTAGATTGAGGTATCTGCAATCATAAAATGCCATGGGAAGGGAGGAAAACAGGTCCACGATGTAGGAAGTGGTGAAGGAAGTAGTCAAGGCAAGCTGTCCGGAGTGTGGGAACTGTTTATGACCATTGGATCAAGGTATCTGCAATCCTAAAATGCTATGGGAAGGGAGGTAAACAGGTCCGTGACGTAGGAAGTGGTGAAGGAAGTAGTAAATGCGAGCAAACCGGAGTGTGGGAACTGTTTATGACGATTAGATTAAGGGATCTGCAATCCTAAAATGCTATGGGAAGGGAGAGAAAAGGTCCGAGACGTATGACGTGGTGAAGGCAGTCGTCAAGGTGAGCTGTCCGGAGTGTGGGATCTGTTTATGACGATTAGATTAAGGTATCTACAATCTTAATATTCTATGGGAAGAGAGGGAAACAGGTCCGCGACGTAAGAAGAGGTGAAGGAAGTAGTAAGGTGAGCAGTGTGGAGTGTGGGAACTGGAAACCGTTTGTAATCTGCAATGCTGAAATGCTATGAGAAGGGATGGAAGCATCCCCACGACATAGAAAATGGTGAAAGAAGTAGTAAAGGCTAGCAGTGCGGAGTGTGGGGAATGTTTGTGGCAATTAGATTAACGTATCTAAAATACTAAATTGCTATGGAAAGTGGTGAAAACAGGTCCACGATGTAGGAAATGGCTTAGAAAGTAGTAAAGTATGAGCATAGATTGAAAACCGTCTGTGGTAGTTAGATTGACGTATCTTTAATCCAAAAATGCTATGAGAAGGAAGGAAACAAGTCTCTAACGTACGAAATGGTGAAGGAAGTAGTAAAGGTGAGCGTGTTGAGTTTGGGAATGGATTAATGTATCTGCAATGCTAAAAGGCTATGGGAAGAGACTGTAGACTGTAGGTTAAAATAACTATGAAGCACGAATCGATACATATTTCGATACATGCAATCGTTTACAATATAGAAATTTACAACTGAGTTGACAACAGCTGATTTTTACTCCATAGAGGATATAAACTATTTTTACTTCCTAAAGAGTAAAAATGCTACTTTAGACCCGCAACGCATGCTTTAAAAACAACTTGTATTAGTAGTATGACCAAAACAATATAATATAAACTCTTGATGACTCCGCTCAATTTTGTGGATGCCTCTGCAAACGCCACCTAGTTAGTTTACAACTAATTCTTTGTGTGCTAACATGACAGCTTTTAAACACGTTACAGCAGTTGTAGCATCTTAGGCTGATAAGATGTATTTTTGTGTTTTTAATTAACTTTGACTCATCAATTATTGTGATGGGGACGCCACCTGTGTATTTAATCCCAAATATGAGTGTAGAATGGTGTGAGATGATCTGTGTAGCTTTGTTACTGACAATCATGCTGTTTCAGTAGCCAGGATCATTTATTTTAAGCCCAATGATTAGGAACAGCTGGGTCCACGAACCATCAAAAGCTACTGACTTTTCTCAGGATCGAACCGGCGACCTTACATCATACTTTGTGGTTGTTTCTGGCTAGCCTATGACTGACTGTGTAGCTGAGTGGTTATAGTGCTCGTCTAACAATCAAAAGGTTGCCGGCTCGATCCTGAAGAAAGTCAGTAGCTTTTTGATGGTTTGAACTGGACCCAGCTGTTCCTGATCATTGGGCTTTATAAGTTCAAAATACTTTAAATCTAAAATGCTCCTGCTATCTTTTGGGAAAAACTAAACTCTAAAAGTTTGCTTGTTCATGGATATGTTTTGATCAAATTTTACAAATTTGTTTATTTTGTAGTAACGGTAAGCCATTAACCTTGAAATATAAACAAAAATTATTACCTTCCCTGTGGCAACAAACCTAGGTACTCATTTACCCGGCAGAGGTCGCGTTGAATTGAAAACATCAGGAGGCGAACACAGTCTTTTCGACCTTGTTCGATGACATTTACTTGCTGAGGCATGAATATCCACTTGGATCTGTTTTTTAGGATCAAAATGAGAAGTTCTTTGGTCGATTGGAAGAGGAGACGACGAACCGTAAGAAGACCTACAAGAGCAACAGAAGCAGTGGTTTGGCCGAGCAAAGTCCGTTAGATCAATGTGCCGTAGTCACCAACAAAGCTGTCTACAAGGTGGTGATGAGGTTGGTGTTTTATAACTATCATGGCTGTGTCAAAGGAATGTAAAACAGCATCAAAGCTGTCTACAAGGTCGTGATGAGGTTGGTGTTTTATAACTATCATGGCTGTGTCAAAGGAATGTAAAACAGCATCAGAAAAATGCATATTTTGAATATAAATTTTAATAAATGCAAAAACATGTAAAATATATTTTAAGGAATAACAATGGGACTGATAAAATATTTAGAGTTAACTAGTAACCTACCTGGAATAATTTTAATCCTATGTTAAGCTCCTATGTATCCATACGATTCTATGTTCATAGATAGACAGAAAAAGGTTCAAATATAAAATTTTTGGGGATTTTTTAGAGAGTTGTTTAATGAAATGGCTTTAATTTGAAGAGAAATATCGGTTCTTATACATTGGTAAATTCCCACAATCCCCACGTTCCATGCAGTCTAGATGTTGTGGCAAACCTGTAGGGTCTGCAGAACCGTACACCGTTACTTATGACCCTGGTGGTGAACTAAAGTATTTGGTATCTGCAATAGTAACACAGTACATTGTCTTTGCCATACACTGGCCAAGCACTTTGGGCATTAGGATAGATGAAGACTGGAAAACAAGAATGGTCAAGAAGATTGATATTGGGAAATGTTCCTTAGTTGTATTATGATTTGAAAGTTTATATTATAAACACACCACATGTCCTTTGGAATTTGTATTTTAAACAGAGCAGACATCAAAATGCATTATGCAGGTATGTAATAACTATTATACATATCATGATAAAAAAAGTTAAATGATAATTCAAGGTAGGGTAACCCATGAGACTAATAATTTGTACAAAATAATTACTAGAATATAGAGGCTATTGCCCCTACAAGCCACTAGTAGTGTTGTAAATGCTGTAAGAGGAAAAAAATTAATTGTACTGTTACACCTTGTTTTTCCCCTTTTCTCAACATGTAGCATTTCTCAAACTCAAACACTCTTTCATATTAGATTTTGTGGAACTGTACTGTACTGTAGTTGATTCACTGTCACAGGAAATCCCCCCGAGAGGTGGTGTTTGCGTGTGTGATGAACCCCAACAAGTTGGAGCGTGCGGAGCGGCTGTGTCACATGTTCGGGCTGGACCTGCAACAGCTGTTGGAGACCGCTGCAGAAAAACAGCTGGAAGCCGGACAACTGGACAGTGCTGTCACTCTATACAAGCTAGCTAGGGTGAGACTGGTCGATAGTCAATAACTTTTAGGAAATTGAAAAGTTTAGTAATAAAGTTATCTTAGTGTTTTTCAATTACGTTCTTTCAACTGTGTGAAATTTGATATTTTATCACATATTTATGTGGCTATTTTCAATGTATTTCACACAACTGAGTGGTGAGTGGTTTTCACGGGTACAGTTACGCAGAGAACCTAAGATATTATCGAATGAATTATTAGTTTAATATTTATATCTTATCGGATGTAGTTTTCAGGTAATACAAATAACAATTAAAGGTTTTTTAATAAGACTTCTTTCTCTTTTCACTGTAATGCGGCTGTTAGGTCAGGTTAGCTTAGCATAGTTTATGACAGAATAAACAAGGTAACATTAATAAAAATACAAGTTGTTATATTGTGTAATTTATTAAAGTGAAAAATGTACAAAGACGTCAAGTGATTTTGTACTATCCTGGTTTTTCATGAGTAGGCCTATATTGTGTTGTAGTGTCGACCAGTGAAGAGTGTGCTACACATGGCTAGTGCTGGCTTCACTCAACAGCTACTGGCTATGACCACGGGTCTTTTGCAGACGTCTCAGCCTCTGTCTCAGACCGAGAGTCTCCATCTTGCAAACCTCAGTGTGTTGACGTTCACAGAACAATGCTTGCGTGCCAAGAGCTCCGATAACATCATGACCCAGTTCAGGTTAGTGTTTAAACCAAGATAGTTGTCTATGCATATTCAAATTCAAATATATTTATTAAAGAAATTACAACAGCTTGGCCTCACCAAGTTTAAAAAACTTGTCGGCGAGGTCCAATTGATGAATAAAGCTAACAAACAAAGACTACAACCACTGGGCTACCCCTACAATTACCAGTCACAATGAAAAAGTACAAACAACTCAGGAAAGCAAGGAATGTAAATGTAAATGAAAACTGAAAACCTCTTCATTTACCAAACTTTCATGACCGAACAAAACATAACACAAGTGCTTGGTCCCAATTTCACATCGTAAATCACACCCTTTCGAAAAGTTTGGTTAGTTTATGTATATTTTGACTTGGTTAAATTAATATTTTAGTACATGGTTGAGCATAATGATTTTTTTTAGCTTGGCTTGAAGGATCTTTGGGGTTGGAAGCTTACTCTGACATAAAAAAAAAACTTTCTTGGCAAATTTTCGGACCAGTGACGGTAAAATACATTAATAATTTTGTATAATGAAAAGTTTTTGATTTTTTTTTGGTGCCAGGATGAAATAAACCCCTTTAAAAATAAACTTACCCTAAAAAATTCTTAAATTTGCGAAAAATTAAATTACATAGCATAACCTAACCATACTTAGCTGACTAAAACTAGCCCCGTAACCTAACCTAACCAAGAAAAGAACGTAGGCCTACTCTGTATTGATAGTGCTGTAATTTGCAGGGGCTTGTTGAGAGACAATCACCACTATGACGAGGTGCTGGCAGTCAGCGTGGTGGGTCAGAGCGGGCTGTGTACGGTGTTGGAGTACCTGTGTGACCAACGAGGACTTGCCACTCACGTGTTGGACGTCCTGGCTCGTGTCATCAACTGCCAACACACACCTACGCTTAACTGTGAACGTGAGTACATGATGGTGAAGTGTGAAGCGGGTTGTTTGGACGAGACAGGATTCCTCTAGAAATCCAGAAATCCGAAATTTAGTGGGTGTTTTGGCAAAACTGAAATGAAGTGGGTATCCTGAAAATACTGGAATGTAGTGGGTGTCCTGGAAATCCTGAAATGTTGGTATCATGAATATCCTGGAATGTGTGTATCCTAGAAATCATGGAATTATGGATTTATTCGGTGTCCTAGAAACCTTTGAGTGTAGTAAGGGTTGTGGCATTCAGTGCATGTTTGGGAAATTCTGGAATGTTCTGGGAACCTGCAAATTCTGAAATGTAGCGGGTGTTCTGGAAATATAGGAATTTTGTGGGTTGGTTTTTATGGAAATGTAGTGGATGTTTTAAACACTATAATGAGTGGGTGTCATGGCAATTCTGGAATGTAGTATGTGTTTTGGAATTTACTAGATGTCTGGGGAATTCTGGCATGTAATGGGTGTCCTAGAAATCCTGGTCTTTATCGATTGTCCTGGTCAATATCTGGAAGTATTGTAGTGTAGCGGATATCAGGGGATATTGATTTTTCTTATAACCTTAATAGCCTAAAGAAGCTTGTTTTTGAAATATTCCCTAAATGAATTTACATATTTTTTTTAGTAAAACAATAAAACATCATATTACATTGGTCCTGTGGCAAATAAATCTAATTTTAATTTGGAAAGTACGCAATAGGATTGACCCACGTAGGGAAAAACCGGGAAAGAAATGCAGTTATAACTAACAGGCTTGGTGGCTCTGTGGGAAATTTAATTTATTTTTTAAATTGAACAGAGGAGCAACATATCTTATGTTAGCAAAAGAGAAAATTGTGAATTTTAACTTAGCAAATATATCTTCAAAGATTCAAATCAAATGATATAACGTGACAATCATAATGGAAAATGTTGACAATACTCTAAGTAATAGATTGTTACTTAGATTAATACTTGGTGTTACTCATTTGTTAACAGTGTGTGAGGGATTCTGGGAGTGTATGAGCAACACAAACCTCGCTCAAGCATTGGTTGTTAATCCTGATTTCGCAAAACTTCACATGGGTTTTGTAAAATCTCGACTTTCAGCGTTCAGTCCATTTATACTGCAAGTAAGTATGACCTTGGTTGTAACTCTGTGTTTTTATTTTATCTGCTATATTTGCAATGAGTATAACTATATAATGGACTCTAGAGGCCGCCAACCTCTTAAAAACAAAAAAAAATTATATGGATCGGAGTAAGCATTGTTCTTTGACATGGCAATTCTTTTTTTATTACAAATATTCATTATTAATTTTATCATACCATAGTGATATTGTTTTGCATTTGATCAATGGTGTTTTTTACAGAGGTTTGCCAATCTGTACGACCCATCTCAGCCTTCCGTTAGACCTGTCCTTAAACGATTACTGGATGAGTCTTCCAATAAGACCAGTCAAGCTAAAACTGACAAGGTATCTCATTAAATAAAAGTACTTACTTATTATGTATAAGCTTAGGTTACATTAGTAACAACAATCTTAAAACAAAGAAGTATACGTCAATTTGTCCAATAATGTGTATAACGGTCTAAGCAAATTATTTTGTGATAGATGAGGTATTTTTTTTCTTCACACATACTTGTGATAGTATAATTTTGACTAGTCCAGTCATAAATTGTAAGCAGCGTTATAATAGTTGGTATGTAATAATAATGACTGTTACATGATTTTTGTCATTGGCAGATGAAGATTTGTAAGTGGTCGACAGTATTAGAATTTAGAACAGTAAATTGATATTCGCTAACACTGTTACCCCTTTGAGTGATATGAAACGATATATCGTTGTTTTAAAAAAACCCTAAGGGATAGAGAGAGGAAGGTTATTTTTAAAAAAATAGCAAAACGGCCATTGGTGACCTGCATGTTCATAGGATACACTACCAACCACTTAGCTAAAAGATTCGCCCAATCCGATGATTTCGAGGTGTATGTCTAAACCAAGGATTATGAACACCTCACTATGCCCCAGTGGTTGTAGTATATCGCTACAAACACACAGGTCACCAATTATTTGCCACACAGGACGGGATTCGAACCCGAGCAGACGAATGCCACTGGCCAAGTGACACACGCCCTAGCCTTCTCGGCTATCTGTGCTTGAAGACTGGGGAGTCAAAACCCGGTATTTAAGCTGTCACCACCGATTGCGAACAGATGGCGTTGCAGATGGTTGTTCAATGCGTTACTAGGTAGCAGCACCAGCTAGTCACGGACTATTTAGATGCAATCTTTTAGTTTTAGTAGTAGTAAATGTGTTCCTGAGACTTTGCTGCAAAACATTAGTTTCCCTAAAATTGCTATATTACAATAACCTTGTCCAACTAAATCAGGGTTAAATTCAATATTACATTGTAAACTATATGTCTTTTGATTTTGTGAGATTTCGGTTTCAAATAATGCTATCAGAACATAAAAATTTATAGGAAAACCAGGAAAATTACAACAAAAACTAAGTTTTATTTGATGTTTACTACAAATACCGGGATTTATCTTTCTTATATATTTTCTTATTGTGTTATTATTCAAAATTAGCCTAATTAATAAAATAGTGACAACATGACAGTTAAAATTCAACAACGTGTAATGGAATTAAAAGGCAAACAAAAAAGTCTTACAAAATATGAATTATTGGCCTAGCACTGAAAGGGTTAAACTAGCAGAAGTTAAAAGAGTAGATCTTAAAATTTGGAATATAGCGTAACCTAAAGTGGTACGATTAATAGTGGCAAATCATGTAACATTCTGAACATTTTAAACATTATTGTAGTGATGGTCTGATCCAGATATCGGGCTACCGGATCTGCCGGATCCGAGCTGGAACCGGCACCCGATCGGACCAAAAGAATTCTGAATCTTGGGCTGGATCCGGTTTTGATGGATTCGATTTTTTCCGATTTTTCCCGATTTTTTTACTAACAGAGCTGTCTGTATCCATGTACAAAACCGATTTTTCCCCGATTTCTATACTAACACAAAGCTGCTGTATCCATTTACAAGACAGATTTTCCACGATTTTTTTACTAACGTAAAGCTGTCTGTATCCATGTACGCTCATCCGGACTAATGTGGCGGACGTCCGGTCCGGATTGCGAAAAATCCGGACAATCGAGAGTTGAGCAAATACACAGTACTGTATATAGCAGTTTTTTCAATTTTGTTCCAGGTCCACAGTAATGATAGCCGGGCATATGCACTTAAACAGGTAATAATTTTAACCAACGAATTTTGTTCCAGGTCCACAGTAATGATAGCCCGGCATATGCACTTCCACCGGTAATAATTTGTACCGCCGTGTTATCTGGTTAATCGGTCTTGTGTTCCTGTGTCCTTACAGGGTGATTAAAAAAGTCAAGACTCCCCCATCTAATACATATTTTTCTAAGTTGGAACACAGTACAGTCTTCTTGTACACAGACACTGGGTATTTTACCTGTAGAACTTCACATACCCGTCTATCAGTACTGTGGACCTGGAACGAATTTAAGGAAGAGATTAACGAGAGGTGGTTGAGGCATAAATAAATTGGATGCTGCATGTAAAAACCACGATTAAGCATACTCAAGATCGAATTATAGTAACCTTAGGACAAAGTTTAATTTTATGATTTTGAAAAGTTTTAGTGTCCCCAAAAAATGAGAGATTATGGGCTCAACTGGAGATAACTCTATATATAAGATGTACTAATCTTTAAACATTACCTATTTAATTTCAAACAGAGTGATTTAAATTGGCATTCTGTTAATTACGTTTTTTTTTTACCCGCCCTTTCTTGGACATTTTCTTGGATCCGCCCATCACTACATTATTGTATATTAACATGGACACCATACATGTAAATGTGTAATAACATATGTGAATATCTTTCAATTTGATTTTATTTGAACCAAAAACAGCTGAGACATTGTGAAAGACCTCTGCTACATCCGTGAACCCTATCACGGTGATTTCATAATCAACTTCTGTGATCCTGACATATGTAAAAAACGTTTTACAATCACCGCGGCATTGTAATAATCTTTTGTGCCCAAATGACCAGCTGTAACCCAAACTGTTCCTCAGATAATCCAAATTTTTCACTGTACCATGGTCCTGGTCCCGTAGGTGACGGATTAACGGGATTGTACTGTAGTTTAAATGTAAATAACTACTGGTTGCTGTAGAATGGTATCACTGCTTTTGCCCCAGGGTGATTCCCAGTTCCCTCTGAGTGACTGGTTAACCAGCTACCTGCTGGTGTGTCTGTACCTGGGCCACTGTCGTCCTGGTGGTAGTAGTCGCTACAGCCCAGACCTCATGGTGGACCTTCCATCCCATCACTCCGACAACGACCAGTCTACCAAGGTAAGAGCGACCTTTTGAATTGTAGGTCCTCGCTTATTTACTCCTGTAGCCACTCTGTTCTTGATTATTTTTTTGCGAATAATATTCTGCCAGGTCTAGATTTCTCCTAACCTCCTTTGACCTTTCACTTCAGCACTCCAACTTTTGTTTTCTCTAGGTTTACCTGTCGCAGACAAAGGATCCTTTTTAGTCTTACCTCTGCCTTAACATAGTTTGTTTACAAGTGTTTATTTTTGTTTTGGAAATATATAGAGTCCAGCAATCTTACCTGGTAAAAATAAGAAAGAGTTCAGAGGGTAAGATACACTAGTAAAAGATCACAAAACATAAATGGTTTCCTCTATGTGACAACCGTAGTTCTAGAAAAGACTCCAGTTTTAATTCTAAATGACATTTCTCTTCAATTTATTCCCTAAAGAAGTCCTACATCAAGACGGAAAATCTGTGTTTTGTTATGTTTTATTTGTGTATCTATTAGCTGTTCAAATTTATGTTTCTCGGATAAGCTAGATGAACACTATCCATTTTCAAAAAAGTTCTCAACCAGCCTTTTGGCTTTCCTTCAAAATATAACCATGTTTGTTTTTGGATTCGTTTCTGACATTCAAACAAATAAACTGCTTAAGCCTAAACTGTATGTTACCTTTAACATAGTGCTTTTATCAAACAATTCCGATATAAAACAATGTTTCTTTTGATTTACCAGTGTGTTTCCACAAAAACGTTTTTCATAAAAAAAATTACAACCATGGGTTTATCCAGGCTACATGTTTAAATATCAATAATTTTTACAGGAGCCAGTTAGCCTATCTCCGGTTACAGTGAGTGGTGGATACACTCATGTTGGCTTGGTGAGGAACGGACAGCTGTATATGTGGGGCTACACTGTTAATGGATGTCTAGGTAAGAGAAACACAGTATGATAATATTAAGATTGATATGTAGTGTTCCCAACCTTTGGTACAGGGTGACATTATAAAAATATGATTATTGTGTGTTAAGATTGTTTGAGCTGATCCTTCAGTGTTAGTTCATGGCCAATCCGCAACTGTGTGTAGTGAACAAGATCTTAGAACGAAGAAGATACTGTATTATCATTTTAATATTAGTAACTTATTTGCTGACTTGCAATAATAGAACTCAAGCAACATGAGTGAAATCTCAACTTTTTTCGCTCAGAACCTAGTATTGTAGTCAGTAATTCATTGTGTATATATGACATTCACAGGATACGTGGTTGAAAATGGGTTAGTTAGGTCTCCAAAGTAATAAATGGTACCATTTTCAATACATTACTTCCACATTATTAAGTAGTATGCAAAATAATTTCTTTTTGTGAAGTGGTACGCCAGAAAAAAAGTAGGGAAATCTCTGATCAATAAGTTTATGTGAGGATAGTCAATTGTTAATAGTTGAAATCATTATATTCAAAAGGGGAGTCAAAAAGTTATGGAATTAGGGGGTTGAGTGAATTTACAAGTGGTGTCACTGTGAGTGTAGTTTTTTTTACATTTGTTTTCCATTCCACCAAATCTGACAGATTAATTTTTGCACAGCATGGCTGTAAAATGTTATTTACTGTTAGAAAATTGGATGCAGAAACTATTGTGCTACATCACAATATCACAATAGCTGGAACTTAATGATCATTGTTGTATTGTTTTGCAGGTGTGGGACCCACCCTTAGCCAGACTCTACAACCCTTACCACTGCCACTGTTTCCAGCTCTGGGGGTGCAAGTAGTCAGTGTAGGCTGTGGTAAACTGCACACACTTGCGCTCACTACCAACGGGGTGAGTCAATCAATAAGATGTCACAATGAAAGGAGCTAGGGAGTTATAGTTTTGTAGATGTAAAGTGTGTGTTATTTGATAACTTGATAACTGTTTACTTTCTATACAAATAGTTTTTTTGTCAACATGTTTGAGTTTAGATAAAATTAATTTAAATTTTAAAAATCCAATGAATGTTGCTACCCAACAAAAAAAGGACGTAAAACCTTTTTACGTTAAACCTGGGTGTAGACAGTTTCCTTAAAAATCTTTAAAAATGCTGATTGCGTAGATAACATAAAAATATATAGTTTTAGTTTGACTAGTTAAGATCGATAGTCAATGTAACAGTTCTTTGTATCTACTTTTTGGTTTGTGGGGACCCTTGCACGAATTGAACATTTAAATTGAGTTCTAAAACATGTTTCTGAGTCAAGACAAATAATGCAATAGCATTTTACTTTTCAAAGATTATGTTTACGTCCACTTATTATTAAGCAAAAACAACTCACTATTATTCTACAATAAAATCAATTTGTTACATTAAAGAGTGATTAACTTACTTCAATCAGTTTCCGTGTAAATTAAAATTCACATTTAAACGGTTTTTGGTTAGTAACATTGAATCTTTGAAAGTGAACTCTTGAAATTAATCAAACACTAAGGGGATAAATCCCTCATGGAAATTACCTTTATAGTTACCATTTGTCACTCTGTTAGATCGTAAGCTTTAAAATGACACCTCAGTCCTAAAAATCGGTTAAGTAACACAGCTGGAAAGGGGATGTAACAGGGAAACACCTTGTTTTATTAACTTTATAGATTTATCAAGTAATGTTAGAACACAAATTTTATTTCATCCGTATTATATCACCAACACATATATCGCCAATCATAAAGTTATTTAAACTCAAAATATAAATCTAAAAGTTTATATCCTGAATGTATTTACATTTTTTTAAATGCACCTCACTAAATCTTTTTCCTTTGACACACTTATGAACATTTCTGGTGATTGTGACAGGTGTATGCGTGGGGGTCGTCGAGGTACGGACAGCTAGGTGTCGGACCTACAAGTCAGAGTTCGGAGCCGAGGCTAGTGGAAGGACTGTATGACCAGAACATTGTGGCCGTGGTCGCAGGACAGTATCACTCTCTGGCTCTAACTGCTGCTGGCAGGTAACTTAGCAGACACCAACATTTAAGGTTGATAATTTAATTAACCTACAGAGAAGTAGGGTACAGAGGAAACATGTTTATGGGACAACCGTGCACTTTTAGCTCTGGTATGTTGTGCCGGTAATATACTTGTGGCGAGCTAGGAAGAGTCCTAGAAGCGAGCACTGTGCAAAAATTGCTATTGTACAGAACACAGGGTCTTCCTCCACTGTGAGTGTTGTAGTACATGAGGGTGGGGGGGGGGGTTGTGTTGGACTATCCTAGACACCACTTGTGAAACATAGAGTGTTTCCTCTGTACTTGTGGAAGGACTGAGTAGTTGGATGTTACTGAAGAGTATTTGATAATTAGCCATAAAAGAGTGGTATAAACCATCCCTGCTGGAACAGCTTCATACTAACATTTGTATGTTGCAGAATGTACAGCTGGGGCTGGGGTGTACATGGTCAGCTGGGCCACGGCAATGTTGAAGACTGCTGTTACCCTGCGCTCATAGAAGCACTGTCCTCTGAGGTAATAACCTACCACTTGTTGGTTCTACTTACTACCCCCATTCAACAGTTAAACACACATTAGGCCAATAGCCTATTTCATGCTGAAGTAAACCATTGCTTGGTATCTTGCAAAGACAAGTATTTATATCATTGTACAACAACTGTTTTGATGTGTCTTTCTTGTCCCAGTTACTTCTGAGCGAGCTAATGTAATCTTCTGTCATGTGTACTCTTGTACTTTAGAGAACATTTTACTATGCTTTGTAATACCAACAAAGTAGTTACTATGTTATATCGTACTCTACTCAAAGGGAATAAGATTTTATCAGTAAAACCTTGACTTGGGACCTCTTTACTTTATTGTCTTAATGACCCCAGAGGGGTTTAATTGAATATCCATCAAACAATGTTGCTAACAACATATTTTGTGAAATTGAGTTGAAAAAACTACGATGCAAATGATATTCTAGACTGTGGGATATTTTGTTTTAAAAATACATAGGTTGGCAGAACTTAGAATCCACTTTATTTATTACACTTACAAAGGATGTCTACTGATGTTATAGCATTGACTATATTTTCAAGGTTTGATATTCGGGATCTGTTCTGAGATGTCAAAATTTATCTGCACAAATTGAAATCTCAGGATATAAGTACTGTCCCGTTATTAAAACCCCCTATTTGTGACAGGTGATAGTATCATGCAGTGGAGGTCACGCACACACACTCATGCTCAGCAGCTCTGGGCGTGTGTGGGCGTGCGGGTCCAGTGTGTTTGGCCAACTAGGCACCGGCTCCAACCTCAAATCCAGCCGTCCTGTTCAAGTGTTTGGGCTACCGGAGAAGATAATATCAATCTCCACGAGCTATTTCCACAATGTGAGTATACCTTAGGTGTTATATTTGATTGGAAAGGTCTTACTACCTGAGAATTAAGGAGACAAATTACAGGATAAGAAGGCTTACCTTAAAACTTGTAGTCATACCACTTCACCAAAAACAAAACAAAAGAAAATCTGAATATATTGAGGCACTGGCTTCTTTTTCAACATTGACAGTCACTTGGTTCCCTGTAAGTCTTCCAAGGACTTCCAATGTTTTTTTTTTAATTTTTTTTTTATATATTTTTTTTAAGAGGTTGGCGACCTCTTTTAACTTTGCATTTGCCCGTCCACATAGACTACAGATCTGTGCGTGGAATGTATCCAGCAAAGCAAGGGGTGAGACGGTACAGTACGAACGTGATGTTTACTGATAAATTTTAGTCGCAGTGACCAGGATCCGAACCCACGTCATCGCTGCCTTGGGCCCGAAGTCTGTGACGCTACCAACTGAGCCACCGACTCACCCGTAATGTGCATTATGCCTAGTGTTCATTTCGTTTAGTGGCTTGTGTATGCTAAACAGTGCTCTTGTCTGATGCTCCCCTGTGTTACTCTCCTCACAGCTAGCCCTGGCCGTGTCTAACCGCCTGTACTCGTGGGGCTCCAGTCCGCAGGTGTTGAGGCTACAGGCGCAGGCGCAGAAGAAGGCGAGGTTCCAACTACAGCAGCAACAGCATCAGCAGGCCGCTTCTGCATCAGTGATCACTAAGGACATCAGGTACAACACATGTTTTTCAATTTTTATGAACATCAGTGAAATTCTTACTTTTTTTGTTGGGGAACGATCAAAACCCTAGTCTTAGTCTCATTAAGTAGTCCAATGACAAATGGAACGTGGGTTCAATGACGAACTTGCTTTGAAATCGGAACAAGTGTTCTTCAGTTTTGAAGCAAGCACTACAACTACTTGCTAGCCAGACAATTCAAGATTTCAAATTAATCAAAACCAAAATTGCGGTTTCCACTTCTCACCAGATTTAAAAGCCATAAAGTTTCTAAAAATGCCATTAAGGTCGAATTGTGTTTCTAAAAGTGTAGCTACAGAAGTAAAGATCAAAATGTTTCTATTTCGTTTCCACTTCCCATTGCAAAGCACGGATACAACAGCTAGTTTATAAATATTTTTCTTGTCTCTAAATATAAAGTTTTGGTAATCTTGTAGATTTTTCATCAATGAATGCTTAACTTTCTATTAACACATTGGGTGCTGATGACGGGAATTCCCGCCATTGCTTAACATTGAAATAAATGCAATTTTCATGTTCAAACATGTCAACGGCACTTTAAGTGTTAATGCAACAATTTAAACAATTATTAATTTTAAACCAATGAAAAGACCAAAATTTTGTTGGAAATTCTTTTTCTTACTTCAATTAAAAAGCTAATACTACTAATAAATATTGAAAATTGTATTTTTATGATTTCAGAGGAGTAACAGACGACCAAGTACCTGAACCAGATTTGGACACGCCTGATGTATCTGAAGGTAAATGAAAGATTTTGTATTAAATGAGCTGTGTGTTAAGTTAAAGAATATGTGTGTGTGTGTATACAAGCCCATGTACTAAAATTTTCTCAGGTAAGATCCCTTAAAAACCCCCAATAATCAGCCTTATGGCTTTTACGTAAAATATAGGCTAATAATTGACTGTGTCAAAGAAAACTGCTTGTTTACGAATTACAACCCTTGGAAAAATGTTTAACCTACAGATTATTACGTTTGAACTTTTACTCTGTGATTGGAAGAGGCAAACTATTTCAAACATCTTCCACATTACAATATCTCGTTAAACAAATTCGAAGATCATTCGATATAATCAAATTTGAGTATAAATCAGTTATGTTTTACCCTTACTTATGACATTCAGAAGAAAACAGATGTTAAGGAAACATACAGAATGAGACCATTGCAAAAATTGTGGAACAAGAGAAGGCGGCTTTAACGAGAATCGGAGCATCTGAAGATCTAAGGGAAGATTAAGATGGAAGAACTTTTTTGGTGAAGCCAAGTATCTACGTATACCCGTTGTGAGAGTATGATATTATATGATGTTTTCCATTCCCAGGTGATGCGGACGGTGGAAAGTCCAAGTTGCATTTCAAGCTCGCCCCAACATCTCGTTTTGTCACTCTCAACTCGGAAATGGTCGTAAGTCCAAGTACAGAGTTCAAGGGTCTTCCGACAGGACGAGCCACCTCTGAACCGACTACAAACGTCAACAATGTAAGTTACAACTGTTACCTTGAATTTTATAATTGAAGAAAATTGTTGAGATAGACTAGAGCATTATTTGTTGACAATTTATCATATATCCATTATTTAACTTGTTGATTGACCATTGTTCCAGAGCACCCCCGCTCCCCCTGGAGTGTTGGTGGGGGTAGACGATGGTCTGGCTCATCTCAGCCCCACCCTTGTGGACACTTCACATGTAGAGGGTAAAATCACTAAGGTAAGTACAACTTTGAAGTAGAGCCCACGATTCTGTGTTGAATTGTCTTCACCATGACTGACTTTTTTGTGGTTGATATGCTCAGTTTGGAATATCTTTGTAATGCCAGCTGTGATCCCAAGGTCACACTCAGTCAAATAAAATAAAATAATTTATCGAGCCATTTAACACATCAGGTAATAGATCTAGTCAAAGAAAATTAGTACAAGTTAATGGAAGTCTTACAACATTTTATAGAACTATTCGCTGAGTGTCCATCCAACAAAGAAGTTTAAATTTTATGGTATTATGGGTTGTTGGCAGGTCAAAAACATATTTAAAACAATTTTGAGGAAGCAGTCCTTAAAGACTTTGTTAGCATGCACCAAAGATTAAACATATTTCTAGTGGTATACTGATTCCTTGGACCTAAAGTTTGGTCATTATATATGGACCTACTCATCTTAATGCTGCAGATAAATTTCAAGATATATTTATTAGAAATTGGTAACTGTAAGAATCTGGAAATCCTTACACGTTGCCTAACAGCTGTCACATTCCTTTTTATGAAGTGCTTCTTGAGATCTGGTAGTGAATGTGTAAAAATTGCCTAAGTAGGTACAGGTACAATGTTCTGACTACACTCAACTCCTGATTAACTGGGATAACGTAGGGATGAGGCTTCCCGGATACGTAAAGTTGTGGTTAATCCACAACATAAGTAATTATGGGCATATTTACATTCAGTGGTAACCTATTTCCACAAAATCACTTGGCTACTTCATCAAAATCCTGACTAGCAGTGAATAGTGAATTATTTCTTCACTTTTATCATTCCCATTACAGATAAGCTGTGGATGCCACCACTCCACCCTGCTGACAGACACAGGGCAGATCTACACCTGGGGTCGTAATCTTGATGCTCAACTCGGCAACGGAGCTCGCACCAAAGAGGCTGTCCACCCTACCCACATTGCCGTCGGTGCGTGTCTTTATGCTCTAAACTTTCAAAATCTTGCTTCGTTTTTTTATAAAACACTGGAAAACTTTTTAAACAGTTTTTGTAAGGGAATGGTCCACTGGTTACTTTCTAATGTCAAAATTTTATTAGTTGACCTTCAGATTAATTACTTAGCTACTCGAACAATGAAAATTAGTGTTTTGGAAAATATAAGGAAGTTGCTAAAATTGATCATAATACATTTGCCTAGTGGTATATGATTACATTTAATTGTTGAGTTAAAGATAATTGACATTTCCCACTGATAATGAACTACAAATATATGTTTTTTGTCTTGAAGATTTCTTGTTAATGTTTGTGGTTGACAGGTAACGGAACATCAGAGATTGTCACGGTGGAGTGCGGAGGGGATTTCACTCTAGCAATCGAGGCTTCTGGCAAAGTATGGGGTTGGGGCAGCAACCAAGTTGGACAGGTAATATTCTATTAGATTTTACCTGAAAGTACAAAAAATACGTCAAACAACACACTTGTAAAAATATATTTACACTTATACTGTTAACTCACAAGACGGGTTGTCTGTTTACTTACAAGTATTATTTGACATATTTTTGTACTTTCAGGTAATTTAATAACTCGTAGGATGCTTATCAAGAAGTTATCCATCAGGTTTTATAACATTGATGTTTCATTAACTTAATACGGTTTGGAGAGAAAGGGCTAATTGCCTGAGAATAGGTGTGAGAAAGGATAGGATAAGCAGGCTTACCTTAAAAAATGTAGGCATCCCACTTCATTCACTACAGAACACAGAAGAAAACACAAACAAAACAAAATAAACACTGGATATTTCGAGGCCACTGGCCCCTTTCTCAACATGGTCTTAAAAAGGTTCCAGTTCTATGCTAAAGCTTATTGTGTACGATTCAAATGTATATTTAAAATCTAAAATTTTTTGCCACTGGAAAATTAGTATTACCAAATTTAAAGTCTGGTATATGGAGTTTGGTGAAGTAATTGTAGTCTATGTCTACGAGTACGACCTAAAATTTCGATGTCAACCCAAGTGGTGAAGCTGATCCACTATCTTGTTTTTGTATTTTATTCTGAACCTCAGTTATTTGGCCACCCCTAAAATCAGGATCACTTTACAGTACTCCAGGTATCTTAACCTAGCTTTTTATTTTTAACTTGAAAATACTTAGACATCTTGGGTGATATTAAGAAAAAATTGTGTTTCAATAGTTTCAACCATTCTAAACAAATTTATGAGAAGTGTTATGTTGAAATTGTGTGAAATTTTATGTTCACACATTTTAAGCACTAATTTTCAGCCTCTCTGTCTTTGTTGGTAATTCAAAAACATGAGATTAGCGGAAATGTCAATTAGATAAAGATTAATCTAGAATCATGAAGAGAAAAAGCTTAAAAATAAAATTAAGTAGTTGTTTGATTTGTTACATTTATTCCTCCACAGCTTGGCAGGGAGCCGATAGAAGACGCCACCAAGGCTGGGCTGGAAGGCCGGCTACTGATGCTGAAGACGTCAAAACGAGTCATTAAACTGCCACATGGTGCTTTGAACACGGTGGAGACTCCCAAGGAAATACCATCCTTACCTTCTCTACAAATAGCCTTCCAGTCTCATCCGGCAGAATCTGACTCTTTGGTGAGCTCTTGGGTGATACATCTTGTAGAATAATAAGAGTTGTGTTGATGTTGGGTATGAACCATTTAGGGTGAAAGTGGGATGTGCATGTGCCTTAGAACCCTTCCCAATCACTATCGCTTTAGTTATGTACTTATGTTGCACCTTTGTCTCAAATTGTTTGATCTAATTAATATATGTGCTCAGTGAAGAAGTTTTCTGTCTTACTAACCCAAACATAACTAATCCTAATTACTATTCCTAATTTACATGATCTTTTCAGTAGGATCTTTGTGGGGGCCTGCTTGGGAAACAGAACTAAATTTAAAATTCACTAAGCTCAGTACGGCTTTAAAGAGATTGCACTGACAAAAACGTTGTTTAAAGTTGGTTCTAGCTTTACAAAATAAAAAAATTATGTTTTTGAGTGTTTTAAACTAAAATTATTCGTGGAGAAGAGTTATTTTCTCCGACACCTAAATTCCATTTTGTGCCTTTGAAAAAGATTTCTGCAGGTGCTTATAAATACTGTGTAGAAAAACTAGAATAAAACTTACAACCATATATCCTTTGACCTCTGTACTGTGGGAGTGAGCTGGTCTAGTGGTAGAGCTTGGGGCTTCGTTGCCCGAGGTCCTGGGTTCAAATCCTGCCTATTACCAATGGACTTTATCCATGTGATAATGCCGTGACCCTCTAGGACTAGCCTGAAGTAATGTGTAAAACAGTTCCAGGCTAGAACCTAGCGTCCTAGGATGCGACTGTCATGTCTGTATATTATTGTATTAACTAATTGTGAAAAGTACTGTGAAACTTTGGAAAACTGTATTTCTTGTTCCTGGTTAGGTTTCTGTCTTTTATCAGATTTCAAAATCCATTAGGACTTTGCACTCTGAATTTTCAAAGTTCTTATTAGGTTGTTGATAAGAGTATTATAACAATATGCTTTGTAAATCATGTTGTTCAACAAGTCCACTTCACATTTTAAAACATTTATTTTAAAATCAACGTTTGTTACAGAAACTGCTGGCTCGTCTTTCAACTTTTGACAACCCACCGCACAGTGCCAAGACCTTGCATTATGCCTTGTCATACTTCCACGGGCACTACGACACTGCAAAGTTCAGAGAAAAGGTAAATAGATGTAAATAGATGTTGTAAGGGATACACAATCAGGTTTGAAAGTGAGGATCCCTTTAAAAAATATAACCAATCTTGTATGTATAGTTTACGGTAGGCCTACTTGAAATAAAAAATATTATGGATTAATATTAGATGAAATATATTAGCTCAGAAATCATTACGACTTGGAAGCATGAACACTAAGAAGGATGGTAAAGAATAAGGTTGTATTTTAATAGTCCCTTGCTCGAGATATTTTGGGCTACGTGTACTTAAGATTGTTGAGTTTTTGAAGCTCTACTACTTTAAACCCTATTATTTTTAAGGAGTAATATATTCAATTAAAATTTGATTGGCAAACATTAGTTATGTGTAAGAACAAATCTGGGTGTTATTTAAAAATGTACTAGTGGTCGCCTTTTGGTCAAAAACTTAACCAAAAATATGTACTGTGCAAACTTCTTCATTTTCACCCCACGCTGTAAATAAAACATGTGATTGAAATTTCTTCCATTTGTTTAGATTTTCTGTTTAAATTTTGTTGTTATTTTGTCACCTGCACATCTAAAGTCAAATATCTTTCTAACAGTATGCGGAGATTTTGCCTGCGATGTACGCAAGGTGAGAAAAAAGGTTTTAAAGAAGCATGCTCGCCTATTAATATATTGATACCTTTTTTCAAAGTGTTAATATATGGAGAAAAAAAATAAAAAAGCTTTTAAGTCTAAATGAAGGTTTGCTGATTATATCATTGCCCACTTTTGATCTAACTAAATTTAATACTTATGATCAGATTACTTTAATTGGCATGCTTTAACATTAAGGTTAAAGGTAGACTACTCCAACTAAATAATCCTATAAGAAAATGTCCACATTACAACTATTATTCGTGGTACATTTATTCACAGATTACAAAATTATTTTAATTAACTCACAAATGTCTTGCCCTAGTGCATCGAGCTTGGTGATTACCAAACGGCCTCAAAGTTGGCAATGCTGGATAAGCAGTTCGACATGGCAATGAGCTACCAACTGCAAGCTGCTATGGCGAGCAGCGAGACAAACCATAAACCTCCGTCAAGCGTTACATCGAGTCAACCTTCAGTGTTAGAGCGAGCCAGCAAATCTGTAGTGAGCACAGAGGTGATAGTACCTACCTTGGAAACCAGCCTAACCATCAACACGTCGTCCGCAAAGAAGATAGGGATCAGTCGAACAAGGTCTAACACGCAATCAACAGAGGATGTAGAAAACATTGCAGAACCGACAAAACCAGAGAAACCCGAAGATGTGGAAGAAAAAAGCACCTCGGAAATTCACATGTTCACTTTCCAAGGGGGAGCGGAAGAAATGTCCGTTAGATCTCAAGACACGCTCTGTTCCAAATCGGACTTGTTGGAGTCGAGATGTGACACACCCGATACGTTGGCGAGTTGTGACGAGTTTGCCACCAAGAGTGCGGAAGTGTTTGACAGTCCGGTGAAACAGTGTGCAAAACGGAAGTCGGACAGCGAGAGTTTGACTTACGAAACGATTGTGAATAATCACATTAAGGAGTTGGAACTGCAGACCGCCAATGGGGAGGATGTTAGTCATAATAGTGCGCTTATTGAAGATCTAGTGAACATCGTGGAGTTTTATATAGACTTGTGTGAGCAGGGACCGCAGACTTCATTGAAAGCGTTGTTGAAACAGGTGAGCAAACAGGATTGTTGTTAATTTTACCATACAACAATCAAAGTATAACAATATTATAGCTACTATTTGAAGGATATAAAATAATACTGTTTGTCCGTCAAACTCATGACCTACCCTTATGTGAAATTCAGTAAAGTTTTAAAATGTTTATATTACCTGGAACAAATTGGTTTACAGATATATTAACTGAAACCACCTCTATTGTTTTATGTCTTACAAAAAACAAATCAAGAAAAACTTATGATTAAAAGAACAAACCCCCTTTAAATAATAACAGCTAATATCCATGTAGAACTTTAAGTAGATGTTACTTAGGTAGAACCCCAATACAATGCCTGTTTTATTTTGACATAAACCAAGATTTAATCCAGTATTTGTTATTAAATTTGTTTTTCCGCAGGGGTTGGAGTTTTGGACGGACCACAAGCTGCCCGTGTGTAGGCTGGAAGCTTTGCTGCTTTCTCATTGGTCCTTAGTGTCTTACCCTCTGGGTCTACTTCTGTTGGGGTAAGTTGTAAATTATAGAATCATCCCTTTTGAGTTCTGACACTAATGCATAAATTTTGCTTTTTAATAGGATTTAAGTTGGTTTCCAAAGATAAATTAATAATGCAATAACTTTTTACCTTTCAAAGATTATGTCCCAAAATTCTCACAGTTCATATTCTCAGGTCTTCTCTGTCTTCTTTGTGGTCATCCTATTTTCTTTACTTCATAAATTGGCTATTTATGAAGTAACAATCTTCTGGTGTCAACATTGGTACGTTTTATTCACATGCCCGAACCATCTAAGTCTTGCAGTTCTCGCAAAACTTATGGTGTCCTCTCTTCCTAACATGATAAGATGTATAAAAACCATCCCTTCCTGCCTTCCTACCTTCCTTTCATTTATGTTAAGTGATATGGTAAAGTTCAAAGCTGTAATTATATGTTATGTTTACAGAAATGACTCAGAAGTTAGTGTGGACGCCCAACAGATGCTTAGCAATTTATCTACCGACTTCAGCTTACAGCTCTGCTCGGCCATGGTGAACCACGTCTCTGTCTCAGACAAAGGTAAATATAACCTTTTTATGGTTAAAACCTCAAATATTATCATCTCACAGATCAGTTATCAGCAGCCAGCCCAGCCCTACATAGACATTGACTTTACTGTGAGTGACATTATGTAATCTGTCCACAGACAACAATGTGCCAGAAGTGATGGAGCTACTGTCAGGTCTCAGCTGGTCAGAGCAGACGTCAGCCGGTCTAGCCTCAGAACCTCTGAGTTTGGATCAGATCATCTCACAGATCAGTTGTCAGCAGCCAGCTCAGCCCTACATAAGCACGGGTCACACTAGGCTGTTCGCCAGCCGCTGGTGATCAGCAGCTGGCACCAGCATCACCTGCTCATCAATCCAGGCTGAGTCAGCTCAGTGTCAGCTGCAAATTTTGTGGTCACAATATGCTGACAGTCGCGGCTTCTTTCAATTCGCCGCTGATGCCAGCCTAGTGTGACCCGTGCTATAGACATTGACTTTACTGTGAGTGACATTGTAATCTGTCTACAGACAACAGTGTGCCAGAAGTGATGGAGCTACTGGTCAGGTTTCAGCTGGTCAGAGCAGACCTCAGCTAGTCTAGCCTCAGAACCTCTCAGTTTGGACCAGATCAGTTGTCAGCAGCCAGCTCAGCCCTACATAGACATTGACTTTACTGTTAGTGACATTATGTAATCTGTCCACAGACAACAATGTGCCAGAAGTGATGGAGCTACTGTCAGGTCTCAGCTGGTCAGAGCAGACCTCAGCCAGTCTAGCATCAGAACCTCTCAGTTTGGACCAGATCATCTCACAGATCAGTTGTCAACAGCCAGCTCAGTCCTACATTGACATTGACTTTACTGTTAGTGACATTATGTAATCTGTCCACAGACAACAATGTGCCAGAAGTGATGGAGCTACTGTCAGGTCTCAGCTGGTCAGAGCAGACCTCAGCCAGTCTAGCATCAGAACCTCTCAGTTTGGACCAGATCATCTCACAGATCAGTTGTCAACAGCCAGCTCAGTCCTACATAGACATTGACTTTACTGTTAGTGACATTATGTAATCTGTCCACAGACAACAATGTGCCAGAAGTGATGGAGCTACTGTCAGGTCTCAGCTGGTCAGAGCAGACCTCAGCCAGTCTAGCATCAGAACCTCTCAGTTTGGACCAGATCATCTCACAGATCAGTTGTCAACAGCCAGCTCAGTCCTACATAGACATTGACTTTACTGTTAGTGACATTATGTCATCTGTCCACAGACAACAATGTGCCAGAAGTGATGGAGCTACTGTCAGGTCTCAGCTGGTCAGAGCAGACCTCAGCCAGTCTAGCATCAGAACCTCTCAGTTTGGACCAGATCATCTCACAGATCAGTTGTCAACAGCCAGCTCAGTCCTACATAGACATTGACTTTACTGTTAGTGACATTATGTAATCTGTCCACAGACAACAGTGTGCCAGAAGTGATGGAGCTACTGTCAGGTCTCAGCTGGTCAGAGCAGACCTCAGCCAGTCTAGCCTCAGAACCTCTCAGTTTGGACCAGATCATCTCACAGATCAGTTGTCAACAGCCAGCTCAGTCCTACATAGACATTGACTTTACTGTTAGTGACATTATGTAATCTGTCCACAGACAACAGTGTGCCAGAAGTGATGGAGCTACTGTCAGGTCTCAGCTGGTCAGAGCAGACCTCAGCCAGTCTAGCATCAGAACCTCTCAGTTTGGACCAGATCATCTCACAGATCAGTTGTCAACAGCCAGCTCAGTCCTACATAGACATTGACTTTACTGTTAGTGACATTATGTAATCTGTCCACAGACAACAATGTGCCAGAAGTGATGGAGCTACTGTCAGGTCTCAGCTGGTCAGAGCAGACCTCAGCCAGTCTGGCCTCAGAACCTCTCAGTTTGGACCAGATCATCTCACAGATCAGTTGTCAGCAGCCAGCCCAGCCCTACATAGACATTGACTTTACTGTTAGTGACATTATGTAATCTGTCCACAGACAACAATGTGCCAGAAGTGATGGAGCTACTGTCAGGTCTCAGCTGGTCAGAGCAGACCTCAGCCAGTCTAGCATCAGAACCTCTCAGTTTGGACCAGATCATCTCACAGATCAGTTGTCAACAGCCAGCTCAGTCCTACATAGACATTGACTTTACTGTTAGTGACATTATGTAATCTGTCCACAGACAACAGTGTGCCAGAAGTGATGGAGCTACTGTCAGGTCTCAGCTGGTCAGAGCAGACCTCAGCCAGTCTAGCCTCAGAACCTCTCAGTTTGGATCAGATCATCTCACAGATCAGTTGTCAACAGCCAGCCCAGCCCTACATTGACATTGACTTTACTGTTAGTGACATTATGTAATCTGTCCACAGACAACAATGTGCCAGAAGTGATGGAGCTACTGTCAGGTCTCAGCTGGTCAGAGCAGACCTCAGCCAGTCTAGCATCAGAACCTCTCAGTTTGGACCAGATCATCTCACAGATCAGTTGTCAACAGCCAGCTCAGTCCTACATAGACATTGACTTTACTGTTAGTGACATTATGTAATCTGTCCACAGACAACAGTGTGCCAGAAGTGATGGAGCTACTGTCAGGTCTCAGCTGGTCAGAGCAGACCTCAGCCAGTCTGGCCTCAGAACCTCTCAGTTTGGACCAGATCATCTCACAGATCAGTTGTCAGCAGCCAGCCCAGCCCTACATAGACATTGACTTTACTGTTAGTGACATTATGTAATCTGTCCACAGACAACAATGTGCCAGAAGTGATGGAGCTACTGTCAGGTCTCAGCTGGTCAGAGCAGACCTCAGCCAGTCTAGCATCAGAACCTCTCAGTTTGGACCAGATCATCTCACGGATCAGTTGTCAACAGCCAGCTCAGTCCTACATAGACATTGACTTTACTGTTAGTGACATTATGTAATCTGTCCACAGACAACAGTGTGCCAGAAGTGATGGAGCTACTGTCAGGTCTCAGCTGGTCAGAGCAGACCTCAGCCAGTCTAGCATCAGAACCTCTCAGTTTGGACCAGATCATCTCACAGATCAGTTGTCAACAGCCAGCCCAGCCCTACATTGACATTGACTTTACTGTTAGTGACATTATGTAATCTGTCCACAGACAACAGTGTGCCAGAAGTGATGGAGCTACTGTCAGGTCTCAGCTGGTCAGAGCAGACCTCAGCCAGTCTAGCCTCAGAACCTCTCAGTTTGGATCAGATCATCTCACAGATCAGTTGTCAACAGCCAGCCCAGCCCTACATTGACATTGACTTTACTGTTAGTGACATTATGTAATCTGTCCACAGACAACAATGTGCCAGAAGTGATGGAGCTACTGTCAGGTCTCAGCTGGTCAGAGCAGACCTCAGCCAGTCTAGCATCAGAACCTCTCAGTTTGGACCAGATCATCTCACAGATCAGTTGTCAACAGCCAGCTCAGTCCTACATAGACATTGACTTTACTGTTAGTGACATTATGTAATCTGTCCACAGACAACAATGTGCCAGAAGTGATGGAGCTACTGTCAGGTCTCAGCTGGTCAGAGCAGACCTCAGCCAGTCTAGCCTCAGAACCTTTCAGTTTGGACCAGATCATCTCACAGATCAGTTGACAACAGCCAGCTCAGTCCTACATAGACATTGACTTTACTGTTAGTGACATTATGTAATCTGTCCACAGACAACAATGTGCCAGAAGTGATGGAGCTACTGTCAGGTCTCAGCTGGTCAGAGCAGACCTCAGCCAGTCTAGCATCAGAACCTCTCAGTTTGGACCAGATCATCTCACGGATCAGTTGTCAGCAGCCAGCTCAGTCCTACATAGACATTGACTTTACTGTTAGTGACATTATGTAATCTGTCCACAGACAACAATGTGCCAGAAGTGATGGAGCTACTGTCAGGTCTCAGCTGGTCAGAGCAGACCTCAGCCAGTCTAGCATCAGAACCTCTCAGTTTGGACCAGATCATCTCACAGATCAGTTGTCAGCAGCCAGCTCAGTCCTACATAGACATTGACTTTACTGTTAGTGACATTATGTAATCTGTCCACAGACAACAATGTGCCAGAAGTGATGGAGCTACTGTCAGGTCTCAGCTGGTCAGAGCAGACCTCAGCCAGTCTAGCATCAGAACCTCTCAGTTTGGACCAGATCATCTCACAGATCAGTTGTCAGCAGCCAGCTCAGTCCTACATAGACATTGACTTTACTGTTAGTGACATTATGTAATCTGTCCACAGACAACAATGTGCCAGAAGTGATGGAGCTACTGTCAGGTCTCAGCTGGTCAGAGCAGACCTCAGCCAGTCTGGCCTCAGAACCTCTCAGTTTGGACCAGATCATCTCACAGATCAGTTGTCAGCAGCCAGCCCAGCCCTACATAGACATTGACTTTACTGTGAGTGACATTGTAATCTGTCCACAGACAACAGCGTGCCAGAAGTGATGGAGCTACTGTCAGGTCTCAGCTGGTCAGAGCAGACCTCAGCCAGTCTAGCCTCAGAACCTCTCAGTTTGGACCAGATCATCTCACAGATCAGTTGTCAGCAGCCAGCCCAGCCCTACATAGACATTGTCTTTACTGTGAGTGACATTGTAATCTGTCTACAGACAACAGTGTGCCAGAAGTGATGGAGCTACTGTCAGGTCTCAGCTGGTCAGAGCAGACCTCAGCTAGTCTGGCCTCAGAACCTCTCAGTTTGGACCAGATCATCTCACAGATCAGTTGTCAGCAGCCAGCTCAGCCCTACATAGACATTGACTTTACTGTTAGTGACATTATGTAATCTGTCCACAGACAACAATGTGCCAGAAGTGATGGAGCTACTGTCAGGTCTCAGCTGGTCAGAGCAGACCTCAGCCAGTCTAGCATCAGAACCTCTCAGTTTGGACCAGATCATCTCACAGATCAGTTGTCAGCAGCCAGCTCAGCCCTACATAGACATTGACTTTACTGTTAGTGACATTATGTAATCTGTCCACAGACAACAATGTGCCAGAAGTGATGGAGCTACTGTCAGGTCTCAGCTGGTCAGAGCAGACCTCAGCCAGTCTAGCATCAGAACCTCTCAGTTTGGACCAGATCATCTCACAGATCAGTTGTCAGCAGCCAGCTCAGTCCTACATAGACATTGACTTTACTGTTAGTGACATTATGTAATCTGTCCACAGACAACAATGTGCCAGAAGTGATGGAGCTACTGTCAGGTCTCAGCTGGTCAGAGCAGACCTCAGCCAGTCTAGCATCAGAACCTCTCAGTTTGGACCAGATCATCTCACAGATCAGTTGTCAACAGCCAGCTCAGTCCTACATAGACATTGACTTTACTGTTAGTGACATTATGTCATCTGTCTACAGACAACAATGTGCCAGAAGTGATGGAGCTACTGTCAGGTCTCAGCTGGTCAGAGCAGACCTCAGCCAGTCTAGCATCAGAACCTCTCAGTTTGGACCAGATCATCTCACAGATCAGTTGTCAGCAGCCAGCCCAGCCCTACATTGACATTGTCTTTACTGTGAGTGACATTGTAATCTGTCTACAGACAACAGTGTGCCAGAAGTGATGGAGCTACTGTCAGGTCTCAGCTGGTCAGAGCAGACCTCAGCCAGTCTAGCATCAGAACCTCTCAGTTTGGACCAGATCATCTCACAGATCAGTTGTCAACAGCCAGCTCAGTCCTACATAGACATTGACTTTACTGTTAGTGACATTATGTAATCTGTCCACAGACAACAATGTGCCAGAAGTGATGGAGCTACTGTCAGGTCTCAGCTGGTCAGAGCAGACCTCAGCCAGTCTAGCATCAGAACCTCTCAGTTTGGACCAGATCATCTCACAGATCAGTTGTCAGCAGCCAGCCCAGCCCTACATTGACATTGACTTTACTGTTAGTGACATTATGTAATCTGTCCACAGACAACAATGTGCCAGAAGTGATGGAGCTACTGTCAGGTCTCAGCTGGTCAGAGCAGACCTCAGCCAGTCTAGCATCAGAACCTCTCAGTTTGGACCAGATCATCTCACAGATCAGTTGTCAACAGCCAGCTCAGTCCTACATAGACATTGACTTTACTGTTAGTGACATTATGTAATCTGTCCACAGACAACAGTGTGCCAGAAGTGATGGAGCTACTGTCAGGTCTCAGCTGGTCAGAGCAGACCTCAGCCAGTCTGGCCTCAGAACCTCTCAGTTTGGACCAGATCATCTCACAGATCAGTTGTCAGCAGCCAGCTCAGCCCTACATAGACATTGACTTTACTGTTAGTGACATTATGTAATCTGTCCACAGACAACAATGTGCCAGAAGTGATGGAGCTACTGTCAGGTCTCAGCTGGTCAGAGCAGACCTCAGCCAGTCTAGCATCAGAACCTCTCAGTTTGGACCAGATCATCTCACAGATCAGTTGTCAGCAGCCAGCTCAGCCCTACATAGACATTGACTTTACTGTTAGTGACATTATGTAATCTGTCCACAGACAACAATGTGCCAGAAGTGATGGAGCTACTGTCAGGTCTCAGCTGGTCAGAGCAGACCTCAGCCAGTCTAGCATCAGAACCTCTCAGTTTGGACCAGATCATCTCACAGATCAGTTGTCAGCAGCCAGCTCAGTCCTACATAGACATTGACTTTAATGTTAGTGACATTATGTAATCCGTCCACAGACAACAGTGTGCCAGAAGTGATGGAGCTACTGTCAGGTCTCAGCTGGTCAGAGCAGACCTCAGCCAGTCTAGCATCAGAACCTCTCAGTTTGGACCAGATCATCTCACAGATCAGTTGTCAACAGCCAGCTCAGTCCTACATAGACATTGACTTTACTGTTAGTGACATTATGTCATCTGTCTACAGACAACAATGTGCCAGAAGTGATGGAGCTACTGTCAGGTCTCAGCTGGTCAGAGCAGACCTCAGCCAGTCTAGCATCAGAACCTCTCAGTTTGGACCAGATCATCTCACAGATCAGTTGTCAACAGCCAGCTCAGTCCTACATAGACATTGACTTTACTGTTAGTGACATTATGTCATCTGTCTACAGACAACAATGTGCCAGAAGTGATGGAGCTACTGTCAGGTCTCAGCTGGTCAGAGCAGACCTCAGCCAGTCTAGCATCAGAACCTCTCAGTTTGGACCAGATCATCTCACAGATCAGTTGTCAGCAGCCAGCCCAGCCCTACATTGACATTGACTTCACTGTGAGTGAATCTAGCTATATGATTTTATAAATTAGTCTTCCAACACACCTATAAAGAATTGACTGATAAGGTGGCATATCTTTTTCAATGCTATATTTTTAAATTATATAATTTCCTTAGGTTTTGAAGCTAAACAATTTGTAGATCACTCTACTAGGCCTAGTGGGTTGGTTGAAATCTCAACCCACCAACACCTATTTTTTATGTATTTACAGTAAAACCACGCTAATTCAAAAACTTCAAAAGTTAATTTGAAATGTTTGTTTGTTCCTTTCAGAAAACCTCTAAAATTAAAAAAATAATACACCAATAATTCAAAGTGATTTTTACACTTAATACAGCCTCTACAATTCAAATTTGCACATGAGCCTCTACAATTCAAATTTTGTTGCTGTTTCAATTCAAATTGTTACCTCCAAAATTCAAAGTCAACCTTTACAATTTAAACTGCGTTAGCGTAAGCCTCTGTAATTCCAATTCAGGAAAAAAAATACGCCTGTTGAAACATGAACTGACGCTCTTATTGATGTTCCCACAATGTGTTCATTAGTCCCCGTTCTCTCAAACTCTCTACACTTAAAACTGGGACCTCCATGATTAAAATTTTATTTATCCTGACCTCTATAAATCAAACTCTCTATATTTCAAACTTCCCATGATTCAAAATATATTAATATATTGTATTTCCTCTAAATTTCAATTAGCGAGGTTCTACTGTATTTAAATTTGCTGATATATTTTTTTATTTCACATTGACATTCACAGTCATATGTTTTTATTGTTTAGATTTAATTCAGTCCCGCAATACCACCACATAAAATAAAATAAATCAGTACAAAGAGGTTGGTAATAAGAGTAGGCCTAGTATCCATTATAAGAGAACTATTTGTAGAGACGTCTTCTCTTTCCCAAACCATCAAAAACAGTCCTTAATTATTTTTGTATTGAAGACTGAATTTATTTTGAAATTGTAACAAGAAATTCAATATTAATGTAAACAACAATTTTATTTACGAGCTGTATTTCTCGTGTAGATTTATTTATCAGTAGATTTGTGTGATTTTCAAGGTTCAGAACGATGAGTTGACGTCACCCAGCGAAGTCATCAGTTTCTCTTGCGGCCACAAATATGACGGGAGTGCGGCTTTGCAAAAGGTAAGTTGAAAAATTTGAATTTAACACAAATACAAACTGGCTAGGTTTTTGTCCACCAAGCATGTTTGCTTGGGAAAAATGTTTACGATAAACATGGCTAAAGCTTTCTTGTATTTATTGGTCTCAAATAAAACCAAAAGAATATATTTAAACATGTCTATTTTTGCTTAGGCCGCAGTGGGTGCCGCTAGGCAGATAGACGACAGATCCTTGCCTTCCACAGCGCAAGCTCTGCGTAGTCTGTACCAGCGACCGCTTGTTCTGCGGCATTTTGCTTGTCCTGTCTGCGTAGTGGGCTGCGTAACACAGGAGCTGGGTTGAGTGCCTTTATATATGTGTATTGTCTGTCTGTAAGTGATCTATCAAATGTGGAAGAGCAGTGTGTTAGCTATCAGCTTTTTCTTTCACGCAGAAAATAGTTAAACATTACCGTGTAGTATGTTTCGTAAGCCAGGAATCAAACTAAAGGAGCTGCCTTATATTTTATTTTTTTTAAGCTTAGGCTTAATCTAATGTATATTTTACTGTGAAAAAAAAAACTATAAAAGTTATTGTTTAGTGACAAAAAGAGAGAGGGGCCATGGGGACTTGTGCCCACACCAAATTTGTTAGCTTTTTATGTAGGCTAAATATGATCAAAACTAAAATTATTAGATAATTTGGTTTTCCTCTGCCGTTAGTAGTTCATAATAGTTAAATATTTAGATACCGTAACTAGTTTGGAAATAGAAAACTTACTACCAAACTAGTTAATGCTAGTTATGAAAACCCAGATACCTCAAATCAAATAATTATTTTTTTATAAATACTTAATGTATAAGCATATCCAATTCCAACACTTAATCTGAACCACCCCCCTCAAGCTAATAATGTGTGTAAACTAGATTTTAAGAATAATTTCATTTTTCAATTTCACCTATTCATTTTTGGACAAAGTGTAAAATGTGTATAACAGAGCTTTAAAAAAAAAGCTTGACCAAATTGAATTCTGGCTTACAAAAAAGCTACTTGTACATTTGCAATGAGGCGTTTACATTAATCTACTAGCTTCACTTTGGATACTGAAGTAGACTTACCCGTGATAGCATCACAATTGTATAACCTTTGTCATGGTTAAAAATAATGGGTGTTGCAATAATACAATTTCAAATTACCCCTAAGATTACCAATATTCTTCATGGAAACTCCCAAAATAATAGTGGCACAATTTTTCAAAGTTTAAAACGCACTGGAGGAAGGTAAATTTTGGCATTTCTGTAGTACATAAGTGTAACAACAGAATGAAAATGAATGGAGCTATTAATATTTACAAATTTATAAGTTTGTATACTGTACTCAAGCAACTATTATCTAGTCTAAAAATGAACAATCTGTGTATTTCCACTCAAATTGTAGTATTATTCTAGTTTATTGTTTTAAAAGACTCGAATGAATTTTAAATACCTAGTTAGACTCTGTAGGTTAAAAACACAAATACAGTAGTTCTTATTATTGTTCATCATTATTAGAAAATGTGAATACATAGCTTTAGAGAATCATTGGTATTAATGGTTGTACAGAGTGCTTCTTTAAAAAAAGAAATTCGAATAACAATTCTTTTGGTTCATAAACACTTTTACCGAAATAATAACCCCCCCCCTCCCCTCCCCGAATAATAATTGTGGGTCTGACAGGCCCACAGGAGTTTTCACAAACGTGTGCTGGTAACACTGTTTACTTGGGGCATTCCATTCTCCCAATACCTTCCCCCCTTTTCCTCCCCTACCTATTTATATATTGTTTGTTCATTTTTTGTGGATACCGTGACCTTGACAGGTTGTCTGTTCATAACATGCCCGTCTCAGAAGCCCAGCGTTAGTGTATTTTAAAGAGGGTATATACGAATTGGTCTAATTATCAGGATAGTACTGCAGATAGTCATAGTACTCACCCACGTGGACGTTTAACCGGACTACACTCGGCGGAAATTACATCTCTTTAACCAGACAATTTTTATCAGCCCATCGGTTTAACCGCACTAGATCGGCACCAAAATGGCTGTTCTCGTGGGAAAGATTTGAGACCAGTAACCACGTGTCTAAATACAATGCTCTCCTAAAAGTCAAATACTGTACAGTATGCATTAAAACGGCCTGTTTTAACGAGTTTTTGGGGACGTCGGTTTACCCGGAAAACCCGTTGTCCGGACTGGCCTCGGTCCCAAGGAGTCCGGATAAGACTTTACTTTATTATAAACCCTAACTCCTGCAGCTCGTAAAACGTTCTCTGTACAACCAACCAATACCGAACTGTGGCACAATGGTTGTTCATAATGGTGCTAAGAATTCTTAGCTAAGTTACGTAGCTTTATCGTTTTTATTTTACTTAAATTTTTTGCAACAAGTGTAAGATCTTGTTTTGCAAATTCCACAACTTGCAAGATAAAACTAAAAAAACTATCTTTAGTGATAAAAGCAAAGTTGGATTAAAATCTCATTACGCTATATTAAAATCGCATAACTCAGGTGTATGGTTCAAAAACTAACAAACTCAAATATTAGTTATTAAGCTAGTCCTACTTAAACACATGTGATTGTTATTATATGGCCTTTATTTTTAGAATTTGTACAGTAATAATTGCTTCAACTAAACTATGTTTTTAGAGCAATTTATGACAATGCGATGATTGATATTAGTTGCATTTATCTGTTTACTTAATAATATTGTTATCTTTTAGAGAGCGAAAACGAGAACGCTACTTTTATATTGATGTTAATAATATGTAAATTCTAATTGTGTTATATGATTTATTGTGATTTTATTAAAGTGATCTCGTTTTTATTATAAATATCAATGTGATAGTTTGTAGATTACTGTTGTATATTTTTTAAATACTGCACAATATGATAAACCCAGAACAGAAAAATAAATTTATAAATTATTTATGTCAAATTTTGTTAAAAATTAAGACACAATTTATTCTTTAAATATCCACCTTACAAGGCCTAAAATGATTTTCTGACATATTTAATTGCCTAAGCTCAAAAGATTGTACCAAGGATTGAATTTTAGATTTACAGAGAATGTATCTACAAATTTTTTAAGAATTGGAAAGAATAGATGTGTTAACCATAAGTTTTTAATTCAGTTCAGTGGATTGTATAAAAAAAATAAAAAGGCAGATCTAAACTCGTGTTTGCAGAACATCTATTCTTTTTAATTATAATAATGTGTGATAGATTTATGATCCAAACCTTATAAAGTATTTAAAATACTAAGTTGTATCAGTTACGAATTAATATCCTTGGTGTCATCCAAGCATATGATTTTCAAATTTGAGCTTTTTCCCAATTTGTTATTTCTATTTAAAACTGTACAATTTAAGAACACATTTGACCTAGGGTTATCAAATTTAAGTTATAAATGAATTATACAAATAAAATTTCTACACACACTATCTTACATTTGGCTATAGTTCAATGTCATAAGGGTGCTCAGGATAATTTTAATTGTGTGAATTCTGTCAAGGTTTTTAAACTTACTAAATATATTATTTGATGCATTTTTCAATAGTAACACTTTAAATGCTTTAATTTGTATTTAATTTACAAATAACTTGTACTGGACATGTTGAATGTATGCCAATAAATTTTTGCAGCACATGGAAACGTAATTACAAAAACTTGCTTGAAAAACTTGTAATAGCCTACATTGTAAATCTAGGTGATATCCATATTGTTACCAGTATTGTACAAATTGTTTATTGTGGAATATAATAAAGATATATGAATTTACCAAACATTTATTATCTACACCAATCTGCATACAACCAATAACAAAAAGATTCTTTTCTCATTAGAAAGCTAAGGTTACTAAACCTGCAAACTAAGATAAACCTAAGATAAAGCATAAATAAGACATCAGTAAAAAATCTGTTACTATCACACTGAAATGATAAAAATTATTGATAAGTAGAAAGTTTGTAGCACAATTCAAATTTAAAATTACGAGAGAACCCATGTGCAAATAGTGCATTTAATAGGGTTTGAAACTGAATTCCAAGTTAAAAATAATTTCAATACCCGTTTACTCTTTAAAGATCTAGATCTACACCATAGAGACTAAAGTTATTTATCTCACTAAGAGCATCAATCATATAGAAATTATCAAAGCAGTAGCCTATTAAAAATCCATTTTCATAAACTGTATCGTCTGTCTCTAGTTTACAATCTGACTAGTTAAGCATTCAACTGAATGATCAGCTGGCGGATTACAATTAATATTTAACCCGTTATAAAGAATGTAGTAAGCAACACTGGTTCTTTGGAAATGAAATGTAAGGGGGACAAAGCCTTGAAGGAAATTACCTTTCTTGTTGCCATTCACAAGTGCCGGATCATAAGCTTTAAATGACACATCAATTGTTAAAATTGGTTAATTAGAACAGCTGAAAAAGGATGGTACAGAAAAAAACCCTTACTGTGTTAAAATAGATTATGATAGAGCAAGAAGATGAAGAATCATATGACTATGAGTCATTGACACTGAATAGTGCAAGTAGACTTCTCATACTATTGCAAATTTTGAAGATTTTGCATTATTTTTACGTGAAATTAAAATGAAATGAAAATTTTATTCAATCAGGCAAAGTTAGGGTTGCATGACCTTTTCCTACACTTAATCTGATGTGTGTTTATGTTGGTAACGTCTGAGTGCAATGATGTCGACTGAATTAATCTCTATTATTTTAGAGTGTTTTTCTGATAGATGCTTTACTCTTTCATAAGTAAACCATTATTTTAAGAATTTTTTAAATTAAAATGGTTTTCAGTTGGCATAAAAAACAAAAACTGAAATGATTGAATCGGTACAAACTTAAAATTCAAACAGAGCTAATCTTAGAATTAATTGTGTTTGGCTGGTCCATAAGGATGAACAATCTATAACAAAGCACGATCATTGTTCAATCTGTTAAATGATTTTACCAAGCATTTGATTTCATAACTCAATATCAGTAGTAGCTATACAATGTTTTATGATTTAAAATAATTATAAATTTTTCTTAGCATCCTTAGTTACTAATCCTGTTAAAAATGAAAAAATAAACATCATTAAAAACATGAATAAGACAATTAAATAAATTACCCAGTAAACTTATCAACTAAATGATTAATTATTTTAACAAACATCACAAAACAAAAATATAATCTAATTATACCATTAACAAATTAAAAACCATTCACTAACAACTAGTTATTCATAAGAAAAACGATAGAAAAATTAGAAAAAGAAAAAAAGTTTGACATTTTTATGATCACGAATGTTTATTCACAAAGTCCCTCCTGATCTCATTGGTTGAGAAAGAACTGGTCATCTTGATGTCATTGAGGCGGAAGGATGGTGGCAGAGCCGAGGTCCGTCATTCGGGCATACTTAACCTTCTTCTTCTCCAGCTCATCTTGCGCCCACAAAATCAACTTCATCAGGTTATACAGCCGAGGCGTAGTAGGCTCTTGGAGTTCAATTTTCAAAATGGCAGCGTTTAGCTCACTTGCCACCTGAAAAAGGTAATCATTGAGGGATTGCCGGCAGGAAGGTGGCGGATCCGAGGTTCGTCATTCGGGCAAACCTAACGAGGGGGCACTTCACCAGCTCGTCCTGCGCCCACAAAATCAACTTCCATAGGTTTAACAGCCGAAAAGTAGCAGGATCTTGGTGTTCAATTTTCAAAATGGCTGTGTCTAGCTCACTTGCAACCTGAAAAAGGTGATACGCAATCTGAAGAACAGAATGTACTGTTACCTTGCTTGTCCAAAAGCCATGTCGCAGGAACAGCAATGTCTGGTTTATCAGCCGAAGACATTAACACTAGCTATTGTGTTGAGATGCAATTCATCCCGTCATCATAGTTTATTTAAGTTACTGATGTATGATTTGTGCTTTAAAATTTAATTCATGCATATCGGTCAATTTATACAAAATTGGTTTTTAAATTCTTACCAGTTTAGTAGACTAAATATGTTAGCCTACCTTTGAAAAAAGGGATTTTATTGTAGATCGGTCTTTAACAGAGTTGATGAGGTTTTCTCGTCTCACACTATGGACTGGCAGCAGATATTCACAGCCAAAACTCATTCAATCAACCATAAAACTACACAAAAGCTTGTGTAAACATAAAACTTGCTAAATAACCATGGTACCTTTTGCCTGTGAGTCTGATTTAGAAGATCGCTGAATGGACAGTTATTGGGTTCCTCGAAGGCCAGAAGAGCGAGTGTCCTCTCCAGCTCATTCAGCACTCCGGGATCTGATTCTCCGACCTCGCTCAGTTGGTCCTGAGCGAATTGCAACGCCTCCTCAACATTCCCCGCACGGATCAGCTCTATTAGGTGGAGTTGCTGCAAAAATAAGGTTTTTTTTATTAGATTTAGGTTAAAACATTTCATATCATTGGAAGTTTAATGGACTAGCAAGTTTTTTTCAACATTCAAGAAACGTCCTCTCTTTTTGTTTTCTTTAGTCATAAGAGAAAAAATTAGGTTAGAAAAGTTGTCTTAGTCGGAAAGTCTTCTTAGTTTGTTTCTCTTTGCGCTTGCAAGACCTTTTTGTAATCGAGACATTTAGGACATGTGCCGTGTTAATTAAGGTAAACATAATGGCAGCTGCTAAACTATTTTTGTGGCATACAATGTCATTGTTTTTAAGCTTAGTACATTAAAAAACAAAAATACTTTCCTCAGGGTACTGATTAAAATTTATGTAGGCTACAAGCATGTATGTACATTAGCCTACATTTTTCAATCCTCAAATCATTGGTTATAGCAAAAAAAAAGAAAAAAGAAAAAAAGTTAGGCCTACAAAGAGAAAATTTTGTAATTCTGTTTTCAGACAGGGGGAATAATTAATGATATAAATTTTAAACAATTCCATCTTACTCAATCAATTTTGATGATGGCAACACTGATTGATAAAATTATCAAATCAACAAGGTACAATAAAACAACATCATTGATAAAATATATGTAGTCCTCAGATTTTAATCAAAATAATTTTTAAAATCAATTTTGCCCTGTCCACTGGCTTTATAGCCAGGCAGACGGCATACTTGCACTATTTACATATAACCAGCCCTACCTGCAGATGGAAGTACAAATATCTATCATTGTCTAGAAGATCCGGGTGAAGCTGGTTGACTAGGAGAGTAGCTTCCTGGATCCGGCCTCCCTGGATAGCGTCCCTGATCCGGATCCGGTTATCCATCAGGTTCAAATCCATCGAAGGCTGCACTCCCGACTCCTGTTGAAACTTTTCTGCCGCCTCCTTAAAACCCTCTGCCGGCAGAAAACCACTTGTTAAAAAAAATGTAAGAATGTTATACTGTGGTCTTGTGACTTAAATACGGTAATATTTTTGAAGTTCTTGCCCACTCTGCCAGGTTTTTTCTAACCAGCCATAAGTGTATCATTTTGAAGGTTTTGTCAAATGTATATTCTAGAAGTGTAATGGGATATGTCAAAATCAATTACTTTTAGGATAGAGGTTTATTAAATGATTGACAAAGTAACTGTAATCTGAAAAATATTGTAATCATATAGTTCAGGCTTTTTAATAGAAGGATGCAGATATGTAACCTGAGATTTCCAGTGATAAGTTAGGGGAAATAATATAATTTTTGTTTATCAAAGGCATTTTTTTCTCAAGAAGGATATTCATCAAATAATTTCTGACTGATATATTGTCAAGGTCAAGTCAAAACAATATTTTCAGTCAAAACAGTAAGGTTTTGAACTGCAACAAGTTATATAAAAAAAAATCAACAACAGAGATGCTACATTTCAATGAGAAAGCTTTGTGTTTTGTAAGTATGGTATTTATTGTACAATGAGTGTTGCCGTAAATAAACCAATTGAATTGAATTGAATTACCCTAACGCCCTTCAGCCTAAAATTAGTATGGGGCTGAGTAGCCTAACTAGTAAGAGTGAGTAGCCTAAGTTAGGGCCTATTGAGTGAATGGTTACTGACTAAAAATCACCTGGTTTTTTAGACTACTCGACACTTTCATTAAAATCCAATAATCTAGGACAGCTTGGTCCATATTACAAACTATCAAAGAGCTACACAGTAACCTACTGAGTTTTAAAATCTGAATCAAACTGGTTTAACCTTCTGTTCATTAAATTAAATAAATTGTTCGCTTAATGAAACCTTTAAGTAGATTCTTCCTACGGCTACATAAGTTAAAAGCTGTTGAAATCACCTGTGACTAAGTAGTTCATTATTAGTTTATTCATGTCGCTCTGATGTACGTGTACGTCCTCTAGTTTGCTCATCCACTCATCCTTTGAAACACTCTCTGGTTTAGTAGCGTAGCTCATGGATACCGGACTCTATGAATATAACAGAAACACAATAAGTGAAAAAGAGTTGGAACATCCAGTAACTTTTGGAGGAAGACATTGGTGGAAGAGTTGAAGATGGTAGGCAAAAGAGAGAGGCGACCAACAGTGTGGTGGAAAGGGAAACGAACAGTAACAGACTCTTAAACACTCCAGAAATTTACAAAGATAAGGAAAAAAGGAAGAAGTACTTGAGTGACTATTCTTCTTATAACTTACAGTGGCGAATTCTGAGAGCCTGGGTTTTGAGAACTTTGTAGTAGGCCTATTATAGCCTTAGCATTTAAACTTTCTAACATTCCTGGGTGTTAGGACTAATGTTTGTTGGTCTTCTACCCCTTATTTACTATTTTTTTACATGAAATAGTCTCCAGACTATAAGTTGGTATATTCAGACTATAATATAACTGTAGCCTAGCATAATTGATTTTAGCCCTACTTTGTTAATTAATGAACCACCTATTCATTTTATCTAAATTAAACTAACATATTCAAGAAGAAAATATTCAGCCAATCGTTAATCGTTGATTAAATCGTAACGTTTCCTTAAAAAAGAATGCATCACTTGACTTTAGGTTAAAGAATGCAAGCAACCTTCAACTAGGTTATTTTACTTAGACATTTTCCCAGCTTTTTATGGTAGGATAATTAATTGTTAAAAAGTTTTATTTACCCAAGTTCTATCGTACTACTTACAATGCTAAGGAAGTGTTACTATTAGCTTTTGGTATTCTGATTCTGCAGAATGCAGATTACATACAAGTGATACAACAAAGCTCAAAAAGTTGACATTTCATTTCACATTTCTTCACTTTCTTTTCAGATGCTACTTTTTTTCTCCAGTTGACAGCTGCTGTTCATACAATTACTTTCCTACACATACACAGAGGTAGAACCCACTTTTCAAACGTACTATCATTGACTATTGGATACGTACTATCATAGATAAAACATACTCCCTTGTACTATGTAATGTAATAGAAGAATCTAAGCGACTTCCGACCTTCCCACAAAAATAATATTCCATTAAAAAATACATTAAAAACAAATACTTAAATAAAAATAACATACATAAACCAATATTGTTACAAATGGGCTAGCAACCCAGATAGGGTAAAACAACCCACAAAGTGGTGAATAAGATGAAATAATTTCATGTTGTTAGCCTCCGGATCACTGGTATGGTAATAAATAATTGTTTAAATACCTTACACGTGCTTATACTGTCAAAGTGATCCTTTGTAGTCTAAATAGCTACTGCAGTTTCGTTCGGTATAGACCTGCTCTCCGTGCGTATCGTGTTTCCCGGTACCGGCGTTTTTGTAATTCTTGTTTGTTTATTGTCCGTATTTTCGTTTGTGTGTAACTAAATGGCTTTTAACTACAACGACTTCCTCTGGAACGAAATTTGATGTCCTTGACAGCCCGGAGCCCGATGAAGTTCCTATCGGGAACGAAACTGCAGTAGCTATACAGACTAGGATCACTTTGACAGTACACTATAAGGTATTTAAACCATTATTTATTAAGATAAAATTGCAGAAAGTTGACTTCATGGTACCATTATCCAAAGTCAGCTATATAAAAATTAAGAATAATTAAAAAGTTTTGCATTTTTATATTAAAACCATAGGTAGGTAACTTTAATAAAATAATAACTAATCAGTAAAAATGAAATATAAGAAACATCTTCATAATGAAATGTACATGAATTTTGAAGACATAATTGTACCCATCACGGCCGCGACATCAGCTCATTGATTCGCGCTTTATTAATTTAAATTTATATTTATTAAAATATACAGAATTGAAAACCAAAACAATATGAATTGGAAATCTATTTGTGTATATTTAAAGCTGAGTCAATATTTTCTCGTCCAGTAACCAAGCTTTCGTTAAGCCCCCCACACACTACCAGACCAAACCTCCAGACCAGACCGTCTGGCAGCTGGCAGCAACCAGGCCGTCTTGAACGGCTCTCTCTACACACTCCCAGACCAGACGGTCTGGGGCCCATTTCATAATGAAGTACAAACTAATATTATTAGTAAATCAGCTGATCGCCCAATGCAAATCTAATGGAAATTACAAGTTACAAGCTGTAACTTGTAATTTGTAGTTTATTATGAAATGGACCCCTGGGGCCCATTTCATAATAAACTACAAGTTACAAGTTACAACTTGTAACTTGTAATTTCCATTAGATTTGCATTGGACGATCAGCTGATTTACTAATAATATTAGTTTGTACTTTATTATGAAATGGGCCCCTGGTCTGGTAGTGTGTGGGGGGCTTTAGATACGAATACCATTACCATTAGTTGATCCAAACAAAACAGCTGTTACAACCCTACTTGCGACGTTGCTACTTCGAAGGCCGTGGCCTGGAGTTAAAGGCGGTTGCGTGATTCAACTGCTGTCTGTTTCTGCCACTCTTGGAGTGTAAAGTCCAAATATCCCCATATTTTTATTCGTAAGGTTAATTATGCTTACTCCGTTTGAATCTGTACTCCTTTTAGATTGACAAGTTGATAGTTTCCTGTCTGTGTTGCATTTCATGTGCAATCACTATGTCAATCGCCCCAATAATCTGTGGTAAAGCCAATAAGGAAAAACAAGGAGCATGGAGCCAAAGTGGCACTAAACTTATATAAAACTTTAAAATCTGTCTTCGATCATTGGTAAGTTGACATCGAACATATTGTTGGGCCGAACACCGGAATAACAATTACCGAACAGCGTTAACAGCAAAAACTTGACCTGAACAATCACGGCCAGGGCCGTGGTTAACTTCATACGTCTATAAGATAACAAGGCAGACAGGTGACATCATCGCCACGGCCGCGTTTAACTCCAGGCCCCGGCCTTTGAAGTGGCAACGTCGGGAGTGGGTTGTAACAGCTGTTTTGTTTGGAAGAAATTAATGGTATTTGTGTATTTACGAAGGCTTGGTTACTACTCTCCACTGGAGGGGTTACAGGAGTTTTCTAGTACTGTAATACCATCAAGACACGTGGTCTGTAGGCCCAACGTATTCAACCATGGCCATAAGATAATGTGGTAGACAGGTGACATCAGCTCATTAATTTGCACACTTTATTAATTTAAATTTGAATTTATGAACAAACATATTATTTATTAAAATATTGAAAATAAAACATACAGAATTGAAAACCAAAACTATATGAATTGAAAATCTAGCAGCTAGAACCGAGGGTTCCAATTTAATTATTTATTTATTAGGAGATCCTAATCGTAGTGAATGCAAGGCCCCACTAGTCTAGTGGGGCCTTGAGGAAAGGAAAGTCGTAGACCAACAGGAAAGTAAGGAAAAGGAAGTATTCGGATAAATGTACGAGGATGAATTGATTAATGAGTATTAATGTTTGCCAATAAATATAATGTCGATAATTTTGATATTACATCTCTAGAGACGATTTCACATAACGTGAACTCTTTGGTGACGCTCTGGGGTATCGTGGTATCGATATAGTAGCATAGATAAAACATACTTTAGTCTATGATAGTAGTATCGGGTCGCTGTCCGAGTCCGACTTACGGTAATACTGTAATTGCAGCAATTCGCGATTACATGTACAATCAACAGTGTAGCTTTTTCGGCTTTATGAATTTCAATTTAGATCTAAAGAGTTTATCCTCTTTGCTGCACCACCAAGTTGAACTGATGAGTTTATATCTACGTTTTACAGTTTATCAATATTTATTTATAATGTAAAGTGTTCTTCATACAGCAAAACCAAAAATTAAGTCAAAGCTTATTTTAATTCTTATGTATTTAATTTATAAACGTGTATAATTATTTTATCAATGTATTGAAAGTTAGTAACTTGACTTCTCTTCGTTTGAGAATGAAGAAATGGCGACTGCGAAATGTTATGACTGTCTCGTAGCTAAGTTATTTGTGATTAATTTGTGTATGTGAGTTTTTACTAGTGTATAAACTTTGTCTTGACTTACATCCGAAACATGGCTTCTGAAAGGTAAACTATTAAGGATGTATTCCTATACCCCTTGCATATAATACTCTATTAATCGATACAATTTTTAGACAGGGGATTCCATTTGGGCTAGGCCCTGTCAGAATGTATCTTTCAGTATGAAGTTGAAGTAGACTATGTTGTTACCTACTATTAAGTTTTAATGTCTCGATTTCTTTATTTAAGGTTAGCATAGATTGGGAATAATTATGTCCTAAACAAATCTTAGCTAATGATGATAACTTTCTGTGACCATTACAATATTTTAAGTGTAGGCCTCAAGTTAACTTGGACCCCATTAAAGGTGTGTTTAAATTATATTAGGAGTAGGCCCTAGACCTACTAGGCCTAACTGCAAGTTAAATAGTTTAATCTGCTATGAACTGAAACCCTTGAAAGCTGCATATTCATAGGTTTCATGAAGAACATAAGGCCTTAATCATTTTGAATGACCAAAGGTAACTTACCTTTAAAGAGAACACAAAAACTTATGTTGGTTCAGAATCGTAGGTAAACTTAGGGCAACTTACTTATTTACGTATTTTAGCAGAACATAGGTTTTTCTAACAAAAAACAAAATCAGCATAGGTTAAGCTTTCGTTTATGGCCACTATGTATAGGCCTATTGAGATGAAAGTATTAATTAACTGGAGTCACTAACAGAATACGTTCTACCGTAGTTAAACATTAGGCCCAAGTTTAACACTATTACGAAACCTTGGTCTGACAGGCCCACGGGAATTTTCACAAACGCATGTTGGCAACATTGAATGAAGATGCACATCCCTAAGTACAATACTCGTGGTAGACATAAAATAAGTTACCAGCACCTCCGTTTGAGCAAATCTTTAAATAGCCATGTTGTTATGTGTAAGAAAGCTTATAATAAGGTAGGCCTACATAGCAAACTCTAGAATAAAATCAAACACGTGAGGGAGGGCGAAGAGCCCTATAAGAAATTGCCTTTGTTACCATTCGTCCCTCCGCTAGATAAGTTAATTTAACCTATGACACCTCAATCGTGAAAATCGGTTAAGTTAAGTAGACAGACGAAAAAGGGATGTTAACTTACAGAGAAAACACTTATTGTAGGCTAGTACAGTATATAGATCACACTTACCTTGTAGTATGGATCTCTTAAGAAAAAAATAGGCCTATAGCCTAACTTGATCCAACCCAACCAAATGATTAACAGTGGAACCTTGACAAGAAGACCCTCGATAACAAGTCACCCTTGATAAGTGTCATTTTCAAATCCCCTTAAAATTATTTTACCCCTAATCACGTGTTATTACAAACCTCGATAAGGTCAACCTTGATAACAAGTCTTATTTTACAATCTCACATGAGAGTCTTGTTATCAAGGTTCTACTTTATAGCAGTAATACAAGTTACAATATAACACCTGCATCATACGTTGTGTTGGTAAGTTTAAATCAAATCCAATTGATTACATACAGTCCAATTGTAAACAACGCTAAGATTGTTGTTAGGCCTAGTTATGGAAAAATGTAACCTTTAGAGTCAGGCCTAGACTGTACAGTAGAACCTCTTCAATCCGAACTAGGCCTAATTGGGACCAGGGGTAGTTCAGACTATTGAATAGTTTGGATTACAGAACATGTAGTTTTTACATGACAACAGCTAAAACGTGGATAAAATGGATAGTAATTGGTACAGAAGTGAAAAATTATGTACCTATATAGATATCACAGGAAGAATATACGGTCTACTGTAGCTTTTACCGTAGGCAGCTTGGAAAGACCTAAGTTAGACGTTTTATTCAACATTATTCATTGACAGCATCTATAGGCTATATTTAATACGCGACATGAAACTTTGTGAACAATAAGGTTTTTTTGTTTTGAGATTTAACCCCACATATTATATACCAAAATGTTCATCTAGGTGTGTAGATATGCAAACTGGCTTTAGATTTTCGAAATATATATTGTTAAGGGCGTGGGCTGCCCTCAAAGTTCCTTCCATAAGGATAACATTCGTGATTGATTTGAATGTTATTATATTCTGAAACAGATGTCAATACATTAGTTATCAAATGCCAGCCGTTTTGTTTGGCTTTGAAATGTAAACAGTTTGCATGTTTTTTAAAATAATTAGAAGCCCGGCAAAGAAATGTTACCTTTAGGACACGACGGGAGAAAAGTTTTACATTATTTTCGATTAAACATGCCAAGGACCCGACGACAAAGAAATATTGCCGGTCGCTGGAATAGTTAGTGGCAACGTGTAGGCCTACTTAAAAAATTACACTGACAAATACAAGAATTCAGCAGTATTCACTTGGTGAGACGGCATTTAAATGTCAGAAATGTGGTGTGCTACATTTTAAAGAAGAACAAAGAGGACGAGGCGAAGGATTTTCATCCTGCTGCCATAAAGGAAAAGTGAATCTATCACCATACCGAGAAAGCTATTATATCGAGAGCCTACTTAATGGAGCAAATCATTTGAGCAGAACTGAGTACAACTTGAGTACAACTCTGCACTCGCAATGGTCAGCACTCGACACAATTTATCACTCAATTGGCACCTGACAACCGTCAGAAGAAGAGCATCCCACATATGCCCAAATTTAAATCTATGACGTTGAAACCGCTGTTCAAGAAAGAATGCTAAACAAAGCTAATGGCTCTTGCAGCACTGACCTCATCAACATTTTAATTCAACATTTTGATTTTAATTTTAACATTTTAATTTTGATTCAACATTTGGTTGATATTAATCCATTCGCGCAAGTTTTCAGCATGATGAGCTCCGTCCTGCAAAACACTCCTACCGAACAGCAAAAAGAACTTAGAATGCGTATAGCCAACGATCGAGCTCAAGACCAACGTCGATACAACGACGCAACTTTTAATGACGTATCCTAATTTATTATTCGTGCGAATTCGCACGGGTTCACCTAGTCAGCATAATTTGCTGTGCTGACAGACCATAAACTTGTTACGGATAAGATATTGTTTATAGTTGAAATTGACAGGAAAGCAGGCTTACCTTTAAACAAGTCCATAGAGACACATGAAACATCACAAAAGTAAAAGTAGAAATTTTCCACTGGAGAAAAAGGTTAAATTTCCTTAATAATTCCTGGCAAATTCCCTATCTATTTATCAGATATTATCCTAACTGAGGCAAAAAATACCCTATTTTTGGACCCTAGAAGTGTGGCTGAAGTAAACTGTGTCATATAGCGGAATTTAATAATTTCATCCAATAGACTTGTTCATCCATTGGTCTACTTGTTTGTGAACTTTGAATAGCTAACCTATATTACTTATGTGAATCCTGCATTTTTCATAAACTATTGTAAGATGTGAGGCCTTTATTTTATGTTTGAATGTTTGTTTCATGTTAGGTTATGTTAAACGTTTGGTGAACATGAGCATGCTAAAATTAGTCTGCTCATGTTGACCAATCGTTATTAAAATCTTAGTTATACGTTATACTTTATTAAGTTTGTTGGAATCTGTTTATGGTAGTGAGAGGGTAAGATTAGTGTTAATTTTCGTATTTATGTTTTATGTGCATCATATGAATGGCCATCCATGATTGTCTATTTAATGACACGCTCTGTATTTAAAAATCCAGACATTCTTCTCTTGTTTTGATGACAAAATTCTAAACACTGCTTTTTAAACTTATTAGGGTACGGTAATCTGAAACTTGCACAATTGAATTTAATTAAATTTATTTCACAATAGGCCTAGTTGTTATTATGTAGGTCTCACTTGATTAAAAACTACAATCTGAGCTAGATTAACCAGATGTAATTTTCTTCTAAAACTTAGGATAGGAAATATAAAATTGAAAATTAAAAGGTCACTTGAAAAGCTATCAAAGTTTTCATTTAGTATCTTTAACATGGTTTTGAGAAATCTTTATATTGATAATCCTTTAAACCAGATTTGGGTAGTTATTAGTTGGTTTACCCTTTAATATCTATCGTAGGAGTATTTAAAATTTTAACTTGTGGAAACAGAGGTTGTAGCACTCTTGTCACCTCCGAGTCTTTCTTCTTTCAAATGGTTTCCATAATCTTTTGTTTCCTTGAAAAATTTGTGATTTATTCCTTCAATGTCTCTATCGTCCTCAAATTCTTCTATTGTAATCACCTTTTTCTTCACTAGCTTAAAGTCTGGAGTGTACTTGGGATGAGATGTATAATAAGTTGAGTTTAAAGTTATCCGAGTGGTGCTTACACTTCGGTCGGCCTTTGTTGATGTGAACGTTACGCTTGTAGCATCAGTCTCCACACTTGAAGTAACGTCAGTGCTTGAAGTACTTTTTGAGGTTATGTTTTCTTCTGTCTTAGTTTCTTTTTCATTTTTCCCACTATTCTTTGATGGGCCTGAGTCTAAGCTATTGGAAATCCACTGCTCCCGAAGTATATTTACAATGTCGTTGCTTTCGTCGTAAGGCTTTTCATGAGAACGGGTAGGTTGAGATTTGCTCATCATTATTGAAAATTGTAAGACATGGAGTAAAATTGAAACATAGATTTTTATTTGCATTGTTTTGTTTTTTACAAAAATTTATTTCATTATTAATTTTCATTAAAAAATCAAAAAAGTTAAGTTACTGTTAGTTATGTTGAAGGTTAAAACATAAATCAAAACAATGTTAAATTTATTTTTTCAATCATATGTTATTGGTATTTTTATTAATGTTTTTGTTTAAGTTATAGGTTTGAAAAATCATTTTGGAAATCAATAAAGTTTCTGTTGGTAACTAGCTGAATGGAAAAAAGATTTCATTTTATAGAAAGTATGTTTAATCAATGAATATCTTTTTTATTTGTATGATCATACTTACTTCACACTAAACTTATCAAGTAATTTAATAAGTAGATGAATAATTATTTTGGCTTTGTCAAATTATATGCACCTTTGTTCATATAATGGAGATGACATTTTTGCATTGGATCATCTAGTTTCAATATTATTAAACTGTGCGTAGTATTTTTTAGCTAAGCAAAACAAAGTAAATATATTATTTTATTGATTGTACTAACTTGATATTAAAATTCAATACCAACATTTTTTTCAGGTGTTATTTTCTGCAGGTATTATTTTTATCTTAGAACAAGAGGTAAATTTGTATTCTAAAAAAGTATTAAACATATACAAATCTAGAAAAGCACCAGCAAATTTTTAGTTTTGTTACAGTAATTTATATACACAGGGTGTTTAAAAAAAGGTGGGGACATATTTTGCCTAGTGATTCCTTGGGCCAAAATAAAGAGAAAATCAAGTAGGCCTATACCTAACAATTTTTCCAAAATCACTTCGTTAACCAGATATACGCCATTTTGTATTTTTTACATAAACATTTTTATCTTTGGACTTTTTCAACTGATCTTTATAAAACTTGGTACCGGTATATGTATGTTAAGATAAAAGACACCCATGTTAGAAAAAAATTCATCTTGATTCAACTTACAATTTCAAAATGGCGGCCGCTTTTTAATTTAAGTTTAAAATATTAAAATGGCCACCATTTTGAAATTTTAAGTTGAATCAAGATGATTTTTTTTTCTAACATGGGTCTCTTCTACCTTAATATACATGCCAAGTTTTATAAAGATTGGTTGAAAAAGTCCAAAGATAAAAATGTTTATGTAACAAATACAAAATGGTGGATATCTGGTTAACGAAGCGATTTTGGAAAAAAATGTTATATGTGATTTTCTCTTTATTTTCACCCAAGAAATCACTAGGTAAAATATGTCCCCACCTTTTTTGAACACCCTGTGTATATATTTTTAATAATCCAACTTATGAGGTAGAAACTAGTAATTAACATCAGAACGATCGGTTGAGAGCTCAGTTTAAATGTGTTCAATTCTTGGAAATGAAATGTCTACATCTATCAATGGTCAAACATTCTACACTCATCCTAAATCTATGCTCCCTAAATTAATCACAGAAGTTGCTGGTTTATTAAGACAATTAAAATATTATTTAGAGACAAACAATTTAGAGCATTTTTATTTTATTTTATATATTTCAAATTTGCCTTTAATTTGATGGTAAAACCAAACCTCTGACACTGCACCTGTTCAAACTTGTTAAAAGTATTGTTGCGTCTGCTATACCACCTGGCCTAATTGTTACCAAGGAGCGATAACCTGTCTTCCTCTTGAATTTAAATGCTGTTAACCTGTCTGGAATATAAATTCACTTTCTAACTGAACTAACTGTTAATGTTTATATTTAGGTCCATTGAAATGAAATGAAACCAGTGCTTTATTTTCATTAAAACAATGCATTACAAAATAATAAGATTTTTTCATAAATAACTCTTCCATATACAAAGAAAATATCTACACAACCTTGAATCACACTTATTCTATCGTGTTTTACCTTACTATCATTTTGTTTTGTTTAACTGCACTATATCAGCATTAGCCCAAAGGACTGTCAGCTGGGCTGGCAGCTTTCATACAAAATATTTTTATTTTCTCCTTATTTAGGTCCATTGGTCCAGGTATATTGAACTGTACAGTAGTAATAGTCCAACATTGTAGTTTTATAATTGTTGAGAAAAATAATTTTTTTTTTCCTTTACAAGTCTTGAAATTCTGTTTGGATTGAATTTTTTCTTAGGATGAAAAGCTATTTGCACCTTTAACTTTAATCTACCGGTACTGTCACTATTTTGTATCAAAAAGTCCATTGAGCATTACCAATTCCTTCTCAAGCTGCAAATTATAATACCCCTGTAGGAAACCTGCAGACTAAGCGAGTTTACATTTGCCTAGTTGGGTTTTAACTCAAATATTTTGTAAAAAATGGCAGATTTATCCCATATTTAAATAACACTAGTGTACAGTCCCGGCCACGTAAAGAGAGAAAATGTCCAGGTAGACCCGGTCAGGCCTAATCCGCCGTTGTCAAAACATAGCTATTGTTTTGAAACCGAGGGGGCGCGCTACCCCATCCCAGCGGTCATTGCTACCTCAGCGGTCATTGCCTGCTGCTTCTCAACATCGACTAGCCAATCAACGAAGCGACGTAGAATTGTGATTCAAATTTTGTGATATTCGTCTTCACTTTGTGAATAAAATGACCTGTCACTTAATTATAGGCGATCACCCGTTCGATTTATAGAATATGTACTGGCCCGAGTTATTTCTAAGAATTAAAGGGAGGCAGTAGCAATGACCGCTGGGATGGGGTAGCGCACCCCCTCGGTTTCAAAACAATAGCTATGTTTTGACAACGGCGGATTAGGCCTGACCGGGTCTACCTGGACATTTTCTCTCTTTAAGTGGCCGGGACTGTACATGTTGCTCGAAATCGAGCAATTACAAAGAAGTGCAGGAGTTATTTATAAACAAATAACTTGTTTAAAAACTAATAACAGTCATAATTTCTGATGATTTTAAAAGAGTCAACTATAAGATTATTAACTAAAGGAAATGCTCACTATTTACATGACAGTCCTATTCCAGTTTAAAGGGTTGATTTTTAACAATCAATCTGTCCATGGACGCGAAAAGGTAAGCTTACAATTTAAGTCAACGTAAAAGGCTGTCAGCTTTTATAAAGTACCGTACCTAAAGTTGTTTAGCCAATATGTAGACAATAAGGTGTAGGATACTTTAAACTCCACAGGATAGAGTTAGGCAAAAACTGGCAGAACTCTGAAATGGTGTTATTTATCATAGGCTTACTCATATGCCAAATCCTTAGAATAAAAATGCAACATTATGTTTAATGATAAGGCCTACCTAAGTTTGCTGCTACAGTGAATGTAATAGTGAGTGTTTTTAGTAAAATATTAATTGCTTACGATGAAATAAATAAATTTACCAAATTTTAATCAAAAAGTATCCATGAACTTGGAAATTTTAAATTTAAAGTTTTTTTTGAATTTTCTCCGTAAGCCGACTGAGCCACCGACTCACCACTTACTTTATCAGTATATTTGTACCAATGTTATGATTCCTTGATGTGTTGATGCAGAATGGAGTGGGTGGAGATCATAGAGCCTCGGACCAAGGAGCACATGTATGCCAACCTAACTACAGGCGAGTGCGTCTGGGACCCACCCAAAGGGGTGCCTGTGTGAGTATTTTTGATTATTTCAGGGTTTATATTGCATTAGGTCCTTTGCGATAGAAGACATAGAAGAGTAGGTGTGGTTCTATGGGGTAAATAGTATAAAGGGTGATTCAAAATGAATGACCCAGTTTTAACGCTCTATAACTTTTATGCTATTAAACTTACCGCTATAAAATACACATCAAACGAAAAAGCAACTCAAAAAGTTTATGCCTTCCAAAGACAGATCATTTAACAAAATCGATCCAGCAGAACTGTAGATTTAATTGTTCAAAGTTAAAAAGTAATATCCAACTTTTTTTACCACTAGAAATTTGGACGTTACTTGTCGTTTTTGCAAATAACTTTTAAATGGTGAGAAAATCTACCAAAGTGGAAGGTAATATTCCGAAAGAGTATAAAATTTCCTACAATCTACTAATACGCATTTTTTGAAAATACTCAAGAAAGGTACCAAAAATTGCCTCAAAAGGGGGAAAAATAAAAATCCCCGTCTTGAGTGTAGACAATAAACATAGCAAACATTAAATTTCACACTTTTTAATTTTAAGCCAAATTTAGGCTACATTTATTGAGTGTTTTCAAGGAATGCATAATAGCAGATTGTAGGAAATTTCATTCTCTTTCGGAATATTACCTTCCACTTTGCTCGATTTCCTCACCATTTTAAAGTTATTTGCAAAAACTTCAAGTAACCTCCAAATTTCTAGTGGTAAAAAAAGTAGGGGATTACTTTTTAACTTTGTACAATTAAATTTACAGTTCTGCTGGATCGATTTTGTTAAACTATGTGTCTTTGGAAGGCATAAACTCTTTGAGTTGCTTTTTCGTTTGATGTGAATTTTATAGCGGTAAGTTTAATAGTATAAAAGTTATAAAGCGTTAAAACTGGGTCATTCATTTTGAATCACCCTGTATTTAATCACTGGGGCCTAAAGTGACTGTCTTTAACATGAGCTTAAGTTTTTACGATCAAGGCAAAGCCGAGACGTTGAAAAGACACAAAAATGAAATAGTTTTCACTTAAACATATCCTCAAGAAAACGACTTCTAGCTTTTTTTTATTTAATTTGCTAATGGAAACAAACAGCTGTTAAGTAAGTGATTCAATCGTTTCGTCTATTATGATTGTGTTAGTATACATTATGCTATCGATATGTTGAACTATTTAAGGCTACTATTAACTACAATCGATTAAACAATTGATACATACTTCCGCTTCATGCCTTTGTTTACAATCGAAATTTACAACTGAGTTGACAACAGCTGATTTTTACTCCCCAGGGGCCAAAAACTATTTTTAATCCCTAGAGAGTAAAAATGGTACTTAAGACCCACAACACATTCATTAAAAACGGCTGTTAAAAAAAAAAAAAAAAAAAAAAAAACAGTTACACCACACACTATTGACTATAGAAACAAAACTCAATTTGTATAACTGACTTGGATGCTGAAGTAAGGCCTATCTACAGGGTGATTGGTAATCAGTGTGACCAATTTTTTTTTGTGTAAGTACAAAGTAAATGAAGTGTGATGATGCATATAAGAGGTTCCAAGTGTAAAAATTGGCTTCCCAAAGAATTATTTTAAGTTTAAAAAAATAACCATGTTTTTAAAGTTAATATAGCAATTTCTCAATTACCTGTAAATGGATTTGAGTAGATAATGTCATTTTCGTGTTCTACATTAAATTTGGAATAAGAATAGGCTAATAGAAAATGATGGAGGATCAGTTGTAAAAACGGGAATGTTGCTGAAAGTCAACAGTCCCGGAAGATCAAATAATTTATACCTGTGCCGCTAGGTCAAAAACTACAATGTTTGCAGTGTCTGTAGATCAAAATTCCCAGTAAGTCAAATAGTACAGTCCGAGCTAAAAACGTGGTCTATGATAAAGCAATTGACTTATTGGGAATTTGACCTAATGCAACAGCAGTTTTAATATAACGAAATACGGTAAAATACAAGTTCAGTTTCGCTGAGTCAAAAGTGCCGGAATATCAAAAGCAATAAAAGTGAACGTCGATTCAGTATAAAGTAGACCTCCTGCAACGCTTACTACACCAACAAAACTCGCTTTTAGTTACTTCGTGTTTTGTCATAATTAGAATAAAGCTAAAATTATCATATTTGGTACATAGCTTATCTATTAATGCTTCTTGCCAACTGTTTGGTCAACACTGTAAATAGGTATAGTTTATGTAATAAAAAGTCTTTCGTCAAAATTTGTGGCATGAAATACACGCAAGGGCGATTTGAAAATTTCTGGTTATTATATACGTTTGTAAAAGGAGATCCATTTAATTTTAGAACTATTTTATGAGTTATAATGTAGTCTACACATAAACTGTGTAAACGTATTACGCCTCGGAAGGGTTGAAACCTGTCCAAACTATCATATATATTATTAAAACGTAAATGGGGTTTTTTCACATTCTGAATCAACCAGTCGACGGATTTTCATTATTTTTGTGTTGAAAGAAAGATAATTTTGAGAACCAGGGAATGTCAAATCCATAATTATAATTAAGGGTACCAGTTTTTTAGAAATTAAGTTTTAATTTTTTTAAAGTCTAGCAGCCGACGCTAACCTTCTAAGCTAGCTTTTAGTTCAATATAATTTGCTTAACATAACAGCTGTAAACATTCAGCATATGTGACACAAATTTAAAGACATATTTAGAGTTGACTTATTTATACTATGTGTAATGCTGACCATTGATACATTCAATTCTTAGGTATGAGGATGGCAGATTAATTAAATATGCATAGTAAACTAGTAGGATGTTCAAATTAATTTTTAAAGGAATCTTTGTAATCATTGATTTGTTTTAGTCCCATATAATTTGTTTTAACCAACAGCTGGTTGAATAAAATATTGTTCTATATAACTACTAGCTGAACCCGGCAGACGTTGTCTTGCCTTTGACTATTTATAATCCCGCGGGCTTTGCCCCGTTTAACTTCTTAATTTTCAAGATGATCTCGTTCGCATGGCTCAATCACGTCCTGGTTGAAGTTCGTTCGCTACGCTCACTCACCTTTAGGTTGGAGCTCGTTCGCTACGCTCACTCACCTTTAGGTTGGAGCTCGTTCGCTGCGCTCACTTGCCTTCAGGTTAGCTCGTTCACTACGCTCACTTGCCTTCAGGTTAGCTCGTTCGCTACGCTAACTCGCCTCCAGGTTGAAGTTCGTTCGCAACGCTCACTCACCTTTTGGTTGCAAATTAGCTGTTGTCATAAATGTAAAAGAAATAATAGTGCTGCACCCTGTTGGTAATCCTTGTAACTTTAATGCTATTGAACATCATAGAACAGAACCAACTTGTTTAATTGAAACAGCTGTTAAGATTCATTAATTCCATTTCTCATAAGGTTAACATGGGAAACTCCAGAGCCACTGGGGCGGAGCCGATTGGACGGATCACGAAATTGATGGTGTATAAACCTATTCCATGACATTCTACACGTATGTACCAAGTTTCGTGGCAATCGGTTCAGCGGTGTCTGAGTTTATCACTGCCAAACAAACAAATATATATATATATATATATATATATATATATATACAAACATCCTCTTTTATACTTATAGATTAGGTTTTTGGTGAATTTTCCATATAGGGAATAAGCTACTAAACACCTGGACCCGGGACCGATTTAATTTTTAGTTTTGAGGTCCCTAGAGGCCAAAAACACCATCCGTTCAAATTCATATATACAGGGTGATCGACTCAAGGAGGCCACCATTGGGAAATCGGAAACGGTAAGAATTAGAGAAACCTTTAAATGGGGGACATTCCTGTATTTTTTGTGGCAGTTAAAAATATGATTTTAGTTTTTTTATCATGTTTTCGGATAGAATATGCAATCTAAAAACTTTTTTATCCTTGACATTTTTTCGATAAACCCACTCGTTTAGGAGTACAGCCTATGGAAAAATGACTTCCGGTGTACATTTTACATCATGTAGCTCCTAAACGAGTAAGTTTAGAGCAAAATTGCAGAAAGTAAATTCGTCTTAGAATTGCATCTACATTCCTTAACGACTATAAAATAAAAAAGTTTTCCACTTTTCAAGTTTGCCGCCATTTTTAAAATAATATAATTCATATTTTTAATGAATTTTATGGTCTTTTTTGGAATGTGGATGCAATTATAAGACTTTTTTACTCTTCGCATTTTTGCTATAAACTTACTTGTTTAGGAGTTACATGATGTAAAATGTACACCGGAAGTCATTTTTCCATAGGCTGTAACTCCTAAACGAGTGGGTTTATCGAAAAAATGTCAAGGATAAAAAAGTTTTTAAATTGCCTATTCTATCCGAAAACATGATAAAATATAGGGTGTTCCATAAGAAATTTCAAATTTGGCCGCCATTTTGGAAAATGGTGGCTGAGTAAAAAAAAGAAACTAAAATCATATTTTTAACTGCCACAAAAAATAAAGGAATGTCCCCCATTTTAAGTTTTCTCTAATTCTTACCGTTTCCGATATCCCAATGGTGGCCTCCTTGAGTTGATCACCTGTATAGCCTATATTTATTTATTTATATATTTTCCCCGGGGGGAACCCCAGGACCCCCCTCCTTTTTGGGGGGTATTCCATACCCCCCAGGCCCCCGGTGACCCCAGTGGCGTTGCTTGGTTAAATTCCAGGGGGGGGAGAAGCCTCAAATTTCCCAACTGCTTAACATAGATTTCCCAACTATTTTTTTTTAGAAATCAATTTCTGTACTATTTTTAAAAATCTACAAATTATTATACTACACTGCATTAACATTCAATTCAGTATTTATAAACTTGCATTAACAAAACATAGCTAGTTTTACATATATACAAAATTTCTAAAACTTCTACCAATTCATAATGAAATGTTATGACTTCAAAAAACTTGAACAAGTAATGTTTCAAAAAACTTTACAAACCATTGTGGTAGCAGACGTAGCAGTGTAAAATTTTAGGGATATAAAATGAGCCTCAGAGTACAAAGTAGTATAGAAAAAATATTTTATTACAAAATAATTAAACTAAAATACTTTTAGAAGATAAAAACAACATTTTAACATTCATAAAACTTACAACTAGGGTAGGCCTAAACAAGTTTGTAATGATGAAATATTAATATCAGTGTTGTAAATAATATATATTATTCTAGTCTAGAAAAGAATAAACCTAAAATAAGACTCGACTCGTATAAAATAAAAACATTCAACTTGGTTGATAATAAACTTATACATACAATAAAAATGTTAACCTTCATCTTCATCAAACTAGAACTTAAACAAAAATCTAACTTAGAGTGAAAGTCAAACATCAAATTTTAGGCTATTTTTTGTCCACGTAGATCTGTTTCAGAGTAATTAGTTGATTCATTTTTGTAAATCCTTAATTAGGAATGATACATAACCTTAACTTGTGTAGATTTTTTAAATATATTCAGATAATAAATATTGCATTTAGGTTATTAAAAAATAAGAGTTTTAAAGGTAATACAGATTCACAAAACCTATCTTTAATGTTATTTTAATCTGCTTATTAGCAAGTACTCCGGTCAGTTAGCCTGCTCCAAATACCACAAAAAGGGTATAAAATATATTTCATGTGACTGACGTGAAAAATATTTTTGAATTTCTTGTAAACACTAACAAACAACATAATTAAACAGAAGGGCTACATTGATTGCACTTTCAAAATTCAAACTCGCAGACGAATCATTCAGAATCATCAACACAGGACAGGATCAAGGTAGCCAACATAGTCCAATAAGGAACAAAAATTCTCGTATACGAAATTCCAACAAGCTATACCGCTATTTGATTATTGATTTCTTAAAATAAGGCGTGTTTAGCCATGGTTTAGCCTTGTTTAATCAAAGTTAAATTAAATCTAAGAAATGTCAAGTTTATTTGTCCAAGTATTTTGTCCAAGTCAAAAAAATTTTTATCTTTGATGGATTTTTGCAAATATTTAATTTTTTTTCAGTTTAAAAATATATTTTTCTTGTATCTGACTTCCCAACTGTCCCAACTCGTGGCAAGGAAATTCCCAACTTTTCTCTTTCCCAGATTCTAGGGGGGGGAGGCTCCCCCCCCTACCCCCCCCAAGGCGACGCCCCTGGGTGACCCCCCTAAAATATATGTCTAGGACCGCCCTTGTCTTCTTTACCTATAAAACACACGGGATACAGCCTTTCTTCACTGATCACGTAATGCGTGATTTTCTATAAAGTCTTGGAAAAATAAAAGGTAAAATAGATAGAATACAGGTGTACTGTATGTGGTTTACACACTATACTATGTGTAAACTAAAGTAACACTGTTTTATTTGCGTTGATATAAGCAACGGTTCTTGCAATTTATTGCTTATTGTTTTTTAGAGTTGTTTTCGGACTTACTCTGTTTTCGGACTTATTCACACTCGTATAAGGTTGTCCACAGCTGTTAATTAATAGTCCATACAGTCAATTAATAGCAACAGAGGTCAAGTTTGGTATCAAGTTAAAGGTTTTATTCATAAAAATACATTGCCGCAAACCCAAACTCAAACGATGATGATGATGATAATCATGTTAATGATGTAGCTAAAACGTATCGTTTGAAATTAAACAGCTGAAAATAAGTGAAATAGAAAAGGTTTTTGTTAAATCCATCAAAGTAAGTACTAATGTACTTGTGATCCCTCCCCCTTCGGTTTCATGTATTCCTCTCAATCAGTTCAAACCTAGGAGGATTAAACTATAATGTTAATTAATGTTAAATCCTCCTAGGTTCAAACCTGAAACACCCAGATCGAAACTCACCTGTCGTTATTTTAACATCGCCATATTTTTTTACTATATTTTTCAAAAAAAAGATTGTATTGATTTACTTTGGATTTTAAAAATGTGAACGTTTTATTTTATTAAAGATTTATATGGTGATACGTAAATATTGTGGTGTAGTAAAGTATATTATATTGTAGTTAAGTGTTAAATTTTGAAATTTTAAGGTTAATAGAGATGAATCTTTTTGAATAACATGGGTCTCTCCTACCTTAACATACATTCCAAGTTTCATTAACATCGGTTGGAAAAGTGTAAAGATAAATATTTGTATGTAAAAAATACAAAATGGCGGATATCTGGTTAACGAAACGATTTTGGAAAAAATGTTACGGTATCCTTCATTTTCTGTTTATTTTGACCCAAGGAATTACTAGGTAAAATATCTCCCCGCTTATTTTTAACACCCTGTTTATGATGTATTCTTATTAATATAAGTGAAAAGTGTAAGCTGGTAATACAGAAAGATGTTTTATAAATAATATGAATGAACTGGTGATTTGTATATTCATATTTTTCTTGTCCTTAGAAGTGTAAATTAAAAGTCCACTCAGCAGTCCCATCGTACGATGTAGTTCTTTCCATGCGTTGCGAAATGCTAAATTTGCCGTCCTCTTCAACCCAAGTTATCTATTGAACCACTGATTGTAAAAAATTTAAAAAATATATATTTTACGCATCACACTTTTAGCTACAACTTTGCCACAGACAAAACCTCTCTAACCCAAAAACAAAACAAAATCTCGCATGCTAACTTTTTCATGTTAGAAATCACGATTTAAAACTATTTCACCATACATTTTTCAATTTTTATTAATTAGATCGGTAAATAGTTTAAAGTTCCAACAAAATAGTCATCGAGTAGGACCACCCAAGAAGCTCTGTGCCAAATTTCAAAATTTTAGCACAACTTTAAGTACACCAAAACACGAAATTATTGAAGTCATGCGTCGAGAGGACTATCGTTGTTTTTAACAGATTATACTTTTGACCTTCCGGCACTGTTGACTCAGCGAAACTGAACTTATATTTTATCTTATTTCGTTATATTAAAACTGCTGTTGCATTAGGTCAAATTCCCAATAAGTCAATTGCTTTAACATAGACTACGTTTTTAGCCCGGACTGTACTATTTGACTTACTGGGATTTTTGATCTACAGACACTGCAAACATTGTAGTTTTTGACCTAGCGGCACAGGTATAAATTATTTGACCTTCCGGGACTGTTGACTTTCTGCAACGCGTCCGTAAAAACTCCATTAGATTCAAAGACAAAAATTAAGGTGTTTGATAAAAAAAAAACAAAAAAAAAAAAACATTGGTTTATTGCATTTTTCTACACCCTGTATACAAGAAGGTGCCAAATATGTTTAAAACAGTGCCATTTTATAAGCTTTCTTGACCATATGCTACACCATTGAGGTTTAGATATGCTTTTGTTTGTTTTAAACATGTTGGCGTATTTTACATACATCAGCAATTGTAATCAGTACTGTCTGTTGATGGCTTAGCCAAACTAATAAAGTACACATATTTTTTTCTAAAACTGGCCCCAACTTTAACAAGGGGATGGCATGCCTGCTTCCAGTAATAGTCAAAAGGTTACAGTCAATCTTTTTGTAAGAGCAGTGACTACAGGTCTCAGTATTTTGAGCATAAAAAAATTCAAAATGTCAAGTTTTTTGCACAAACACCAGGAAAATGTTACATGCACATTGAATGGTTTGATTCCAACCTCATACACCATCCGAGTTCTCCGAATCCTAACAATAGATTTTCAAGGCTAACTATGAAAAAGTATTTTTGTTAAATGTGTTCAGGTACTAATTTCATTATCTGGATAGGAAATACATTGGGTATTGTTTAAAGTCAGTAGCCTAAATATTTAGCCTCCAAATAATATTTTGAAAATTGTGTTATCTTGAAAGATGTATGTGGAATTAATTAGCTACGGCGCGAGTTGTGCTACATTACCCATGTGTTTAATTACTGTCATCAATCAACTTCAATTAACACAATTCCACACAAACAAGAATGATGTCACTTCTAGATTTGTCAATATGATTGTTTGTCTTAAAATACAATTCTATTTATTTACAGAATTTCATTTCACCATAAAATGACAGGACATTTGTCAATACAGTATTATTATTACTTAAAGCTAAATATTACAAATAAAACAAATTTTAAGTATTAAACCTCCTAATTTCTACTCAAAAATTCATTTAAACAGGCTGTAAAATGTTTTGGTCTGCAACCAGTCTTTACATTTTTGCTTCTTTCTTTTTGGAATGGTGATGTTTTTTAAATGATCATGAACTAAGTTATACATTTTGGTCCAATACATTGAAGTGATGCTTCACAATAGTTGAGGTGGATAAGTCACAATGTGTGTTGACATTGAACTTTTTGCCATGTCTGTGCCATAACATTTTTGAATCCTGATCCCAGATACTAAACTCCTGAGCTACCTAACTTTTTTCTAGTGAAATCAAGGTTAACCCGATATGTTTAACTAGACTGATTTTGATATTGCAGTAAGAAGACTGACAACAACCAGTGGTGGGAACTGTTTGACCAAAATACCAGCAGGTTCTACTACTACAACGCCACCTCTCAGAAGACAGTGTGGCACAGGCCGCAGAATTGTGACATCATACCTCTGGCTAAGTTGCAGGTTAGTAGCTTTACCCGTGCTTTGCTGTTGTAGTACACCTTTAACCTTTACCAATGATTATGGAGTTGTTGGGTGGTTAAGTAGTTATAAAGCTCGGCTGGTAATCAGAAGGTCTTTTTGATGGTCCAAATCTGAACCCAACTGTCCTTGATCATTGGCATAAAAAAAAAATGGTTCTGGTTAAAGACCCATCTAACCTGTAGTAACGATTTACAAAGCTATACAAATCATCTTATCCATTCTACAGTACCCATAATTTACAAATAGCTTAAAATTTGCATCCAAGTATGTTTTGTCGCACAGACAAGTAAGGTAAGGAGAAAATTGCCTACACTAAGTGTCTGGCACTAGTCTCTGGTGTACAGCCCAAAGTCCAACACTGCCCTGGTTGCTGTGTTAAAGAATTGATTGATTTATGCCATTGGGTTAGCAGGCTTGTTTGAAGGGGAAGAGTTCATCCTGGCACAAGAATACATCCAAACATTAAGTTATACCCAATAATTCTATATATTCTATTCATTTTCTATGTTCTATATATTCTAATACCTAATGTTAAAACTGAAGTCTTTTTTGGTTGAACTTGCTGGCAGCAACAGTGAAGTAAGTACTATTAATTGTTCATAGTATGGGTTTAACAGACGGCTCACCATACTGATGAAAATAGTAGAAAATACACAAATAAACTCATAAAACATGGGATTTTCAGAGCTACTAGATCCTTTGTCAGAAGTTGAGTCTTTATTCTTGCTGATTTTGACAACCTTTTGAGACTTATTCTAAAAAATGACTTCCTCATACATTGTCTATCTAGGAGTTTGGTTAGTATTAGTGTTAATCATTATACAAAAATATAATAATTCTAGTATTTAAGAGAAATGTAGATATTTAACCTGATTTTGATTGTAATATTACAGACACTGAAACAAAACACAGAGCCTGTTGTTCAAGATGAGGTCAATGAATCTAATTCTCACAAACCCAAAGAATCAGTCGCTACGCAGACTCCTGGTCGGTCCCGCACTCATCATGCACATTCTACTAAGGTAACTTATTCATAACTTTGCTTTGTACAAGGTGTAGTGTAGATATTTAAACATTTAAAATATCTTAATATCATTCATGTTTTCCTTTAATTGAATATCTTTTGCCCCAGGTACAGCTAACCTTTGAACGTTTTGTGTTGTAAATCTTATCTTCCTTTGTCATTGCCCATGGTACTATTGTGTTCCGATGCACTTTGTTGGCTAAAATGTGACAATGTGCTTATAAGGGGAATGTTGTCAGTCTAGTCAACCAACCCTCAATTTGAAGAGCCTGGGCAATTATTCTCTTCTAGTTCAAAAGAGGTGAAAAGATTGTGTTCAGAAGTAGTTGCCAAGTTGTGAGAGTATCGAAATCCCATGAAGAAGACGAGATCAGAAGAAACCAAATACCTTCTTGGATACAAATGGCCATGGGAGTTAGAGATGTAGATTAATATCATAGATTTATACCCCTCATAGATTTATCAGCTTTATGAATCACCTGAGAGTTTACCTTTTTATGTATTGGCAAATGTTTTTGACACCCAGATCTTCATTCTTTCTAAACTTTGTAACCTAATAGTCCCTGTACTGTTTGTCTCAGAGTCAAGATACTGTCGAGAGTGGCCGACAGTCTAGCGGGAGTGGCCGAGTAGCCACAGAGACCCAGACACAGACCTCACCCCCAGCTTCCCCTCGGACATCTCGACGGTCTCACCACCATCATCACCATCATAGGTACAGCGATTATCAGTTTATGTTTGAATTTAAACTTTGGTATTATACTGACCACACCTAATAATAATTATAACCTAACCTAAGGGTGGACTATGTTTTAGGCTAGGATAGATTAGCAAGATTTTGTTTTTGAACTAATTAAAATCTTATTTGGCAGTTGATTTATCCGTCTGATCGGTATAATACTAATGTACCAAGTTATGTAGGTATTTGTTTTGTTGTATTTGTCATGCTACCTATCTATAGTTTACCTTTTTGACTCAGTCTATCCAGCAAGACCTGGTCAATCAGGTCGAGGGAGTAAGTAAGCAAGATGAGTGATGTAATAGTCATGGTTATCTTACAAAAATGTAAAAAAAGTGGGTTCAAGCTATGGTCACATTTTGCCACACAGTCTTAAATTGCGGCAACTATTTAGGAAGGCTTTTAAAATTGTAGAAAGCTTCATCAGCAATGATTGTGACCATAATTTACTATGTTGCCGCGATCACAGAAGTTGATAGTGATGTCCATTGTGGTAGATGATGGTGATTCCACCAAGACAGCTGGAGATGATGCCGGTTTTTTCAAGACCGATAGTTTTTCCAACAGACCAACAACTTATTAAAACTGTTACTTATATTTTTAACAATCCCATTCATTTATAATAAGTAATGGAAACAATTTATTCATTCATTAATCTATTGACAGTTTGATACAAGAGTGTAGTTGTGGTTGCAGGCATCAACATGCATCACAGCAGGCTGCTCAGACTCACACACCCAGCAGGATGCCGTCTACAGGGGCGGCTGACAGAGACGGACGACCAAGGCGAGGCAGTCACGGGTCCTGGTACCACAGGACGACTCAGACTCAGGTTAGTTGACTGTTACTGCTCTATATCAACATTATTGATTTACCAGTTTCAATATCGTCCCTTGTATCTCTCCATAACGCTCCTCTCTCTTGTCACTTGTTTGAAATATAATTTGTTTTCAGCGTAAAAATCCTCTTTTATGATGTTCTGTCTTGTTTTGTTTCATTGAAACTCTTGCTTATGTTTACTTTTCTATTTTAGATTTTGCCGTAGCAATTTAAACTTCTAGTTTTTACATCTTCAACTATTTTGTCATTCCATGTTAATCACATATGGTCTTTTTGCACACCTGACACCTCCCTTTGGTATACAATTTTTTTACACTTCTTGTACAGCATTTTCCTCTATTACATATATACATAACCAAGCCACCAAATCGTTTAACACTGTCAGAATATCTGATCTTATGGATAGGTTCCTGAGCTCTCTAATTCTTCAGTATAAGTTACTTCACATCCAGTTCCTCAATGACATCTATACTTATTTAATACGCAAGCAGATTTTTTGTGACAATTACTCCTCCAAAACTACTGAACCAATCGTCATGTTTTTGGTGTCATTGGAAAGAGCGTAACGTGAAGTTGTGCAGGAAACTTTATTTTTAGGGAAATAATGAGAGAGTGAGGCCCTGGAGCCCTTTAAAGATTCTTATCTCTCCATAAGATTAACATGAGAAACAAAAATTGTTATGAAACTCCAGCTGTTGTCAGAAATCAAAAGTGAGAAGATGAGCATGTTAAACAGTCAATAAGTTTGCTAATTTAACAGTTTGCTACAATCATTTGCTGACTTGATTGAAATTCGTTTTAAAATAACGCCTGTAATACCATTGACTATATATTATAGTCAATGGTAATACTTAGCAATTGCTCGGATTCGAGCAACAGGGACACTATTTAATATATTTGTTTTATTTCTTTTAACTCCTTAGAATTTGTATAATGTTAAACTCCTAAGTAAAGAAAATCTAAAAATGTCATTTAAAGCAAATTGAAATAAATACCATAGTACTATGTGTCATTTTGTACTACCACTATAGATAAACAAATTCTATGACTAAATCCAAAATAATACTCCGAGATGGGACTTTTAAAATGAGGTAATTGAGGGATGTTCAAAATATTCAAGACAGACAAGACAAATTAATAGGACTTGACAAAGATGTGTATTTATTTGACACTGTTTACAAAAATCATAATAATTAATAAAAACATATGTTAGTTAAACTGTATATGAAAGAAGGCAGGCATAGATTAGACATAGATTATTACATTCTCTCCCCCCCAAGAACTAACCATTCAAAAATTAGTTTCTTTTTCCTTTTCATTAGTTTTTTCTTTGGAGCAATAGTAATTTTTGGCCGAGGCTTGCGAAGGCTAACTTTGGCACTCACCAGTTCTTTAGTGATTTTCACTTTGAGCATACGTTTTCTTCACATTCCATAGAGGTTTGGCTTTAATTTGTTTTTCTTTTGTTTTCACTTTCTTCCTTTTCTCAGTTATCGCAAAGATCTTGTTCTTGATTTTGACACTAGATTCCAGCATGGCTTACTGACAGTACCTCTAAAAATGCCCAAGAGATCAGCTGGGACAGAGTACAGAACACTTTCAGGCAGAAAGGTAAATCAAAAGAAGAATTTATAAGCAATCACTCGGTAAATAACCGTGTTTTATTAAGAGTATGTCCAGTGACATTATATGGTCCAAGCTGTCAGATTGACACATATGCACTTTTAGATGACGGTTCAACCATATCTCTGCTAGATTCGAGTACTGCCGATAAATTAGGCATCAGTGGTAGCATTGAACCCCTTACCACTTGTTGGTCAAATGCAACTAAACATTTTGACCCAACGTCCAGACGAGTTGAACTTAAAATAAAAGGGCTCTACGAAGACGAAGTTTTCACATTGACTAATGTAAGAACTCAATTTCCCTTAGATTTACCTCAACAGTCGATCGATTCAGTAAAGCTTCGTGAGACATGGTCTCATTTAAATTCAATCGACCAACCTCTACCAACATCTCATGCCAAACTTACCATCTTGATTGGTCAAGATAATTGCAACCTAATATTGACAAGGAAAGTTGTGGAAGGGCCTCCTAACTCGCCAGTTTTATCCTGGAGTTACTTAGGCTGGTCGTTGCAATGTCCAGAATACAGTGAAGGACGTATCAATGACAACTTTGCTCTGACTTGTTTTAAATATGATAAATTGTACAAAACAGCAAAGGAATCATTTGAGATTGACAAATATGGTGCAGAAAACATCTCACAAGAAGAAAGGACTCGAAACAAAGATATAAAAATTAAAACAGCACATTTAGCCAGGGATCCAATAAAAGAAAAAGGGTTAGAGAAGGAATGCCAACCCCTGGAGGCTAAGGATATGATTCAAGACTCTGAGAAACATTCTGATATTCTCACCAGTGTCCAGACAGTCCGAGTGGCTGGAGAGAAAACGGAAGAGCCTGATAAAGAAAATGAGATAGGTCTAGTTGACGATGAGCCGATAGAAAATTCCAAAATACTTCAAGTCTTGAAGGAAGCCATGCTGGAATCTAGTGTCAAAATCAAGAACAAGATCTTTGCGATAACTGACAAAAGGAAGAAAGTGAAAAGAAAAGAAAAACAAATTAAAGCCAAACCTCTATGGAATGTGAAGAAAACGGAGAACGACTCAGAGTTGATAATTTGTAACGGACGTGACATACAGTTTGACAATACCCCATTAGACACAAGAAGAAATATGTGTACTGGAAAGACCACAAGAATAACAATGACAAGCAAACAAACAAGTGTGCTCAGTGTGGATGTGTGTTCCCATGCCTGATGGCCTTGTTTGAACACAACTGTAGTTGCTTAGAGGAACCTGCAATGCCAGAATTGTGTCTTGAGAAGCCGGTGGCGGAGCCGCTAGGAGACAGTGTGAAGGACATGCCCAACTTGTCACCTGTGGTAATCTCCAGAGACGAGACTGTCGAGACTTTGAGGAGAATTAACGATGGCAAGCAAACAAACAAGTGTGCTCAGTGTGGCTGGGTGTTCCCATGCCTGATGGCCTTGTTTAAACACAACTGTACGCCACAATGTTGTCTTGAAGAGCCGATGGCGGAGGTGCTAGGAGACAGCGTGGAGGACAATCCCATCTTGTCACCTGTGGAAACCTCCAGAGACGAGAATGTGAGGAGAATGTCACTAGTGGACGATTCAATTAACCTGGTCAGTGACGAGAGCTTTGACATCTCTCAGTACCACAACAAGTCCGGCAGTGATAACCAGAGGAATAAGAAATATTCTGAAATATTCAAAGAAATCAAACATCAAAGAAGAAAACGTATGTTTAAAGTGAAAATCACTAAAGAACTGGTGAGTGCCAAAGTTAGCCTTCGCAAGCCTCGGCCAAAAATTACTATTGCTCCAAAGAAAAAACTAATGAAAAGGAAAAAGAAACTAATTTTTGAATGGTTAGTTCTTGGGGGGGAGAGAATGTAATAATCTATGTCTAATCTATGCCTGCCTTCTTTCATATACAGTTTAACTAACATATGTTTTTATTAATTATTATGATTTTTGTAAACAGTGTCAAATAATTACACATCTTTGTCAAGTCCTATTAATTTGTCTTGTCTGTCTTGAATATTTTTAACAAGGGATTTACCGTTTATACTCATAGAGAATCTCTAAAATCCCCTATTTGGGACAAGAGAACAATTATGAAACAAGTCAAAAAGTTAAAGTTAGATTAGCAGTGTGATTCACCTAATAGGATCCATTGTAAAGCCTATCTATTTCCACGTTACATATTCTCAGTTCTTGTCTTCAACTAAGCCTTTCCATCTTCTCCTTTCACAGTCCGTCCTTATCCACCATCTGCAATCTCCCACTTCACCACTTACAATCTTCACCTTATTAATCAAAACCTCCTTAACACACTAAACCAAACAATCAATCTTTTCAATATAAGCAGTACAGTAGTTTCAATGTAATTAAAAACTACATTTCACTGCAATTTTCCAGACTGGCCCAGTGCAAGAGTCAGGACGGTCTAGTGACTCCAGTTGTGTTTCGTTGAGCCGCAACTCCCTGGAGTCTTCAGTCAAGCCACTAGAGTCGCCTAACCACGGGCTCAAACACTCTCCATCAAGTGGTCTGACGCTGTCCACGTCCACTCCGGTGCTGAAGAAGAAACCTCTCAGCGATGCCAATGCGCAGCCCGAGCGGCAGACGCAGGAGCGACGACCTGGTGTTTCGGTGCAGAGGAGTGCTTCCAACGCCGCACACCTGCCTGCCAAGCAGAAGAGCTTTGATATTGATATCAGTGAGTGATCAGTTAGCGATATCTCTCAATGTTGATAAAAGTTCTTGTATTTAGAGTTGTAGCCAGTTTTAAAATTAAATTCATGTTCAATTTGGCCGACAAAGTGTGCGGATGTTAATTACTGATTTCTGTAAAATTTTGAGCTTTCAAGCACAAAGGCACACTTCGTATAAGTTAGAAATAACATTTGTATCTAGCCTTTGAACAATATATTGCAAAAACAATACCTGCCTATAAAAACATTGTGTCTGGATTGGAAACATGGGTAAAGCAACCAATTACAACCCGGATCTATTTTTACAGGTGTGGGTGGAGGCTACAGCCTAGGACATGAGAACCGCAACACTGGAAGTGTGTCTAGGACACGTCCTGCACTGTCCAACAGTCAGTCTAACCAACAGCTGTCCAGGAGTCGTAGTCAGACCACCCCTCAACCTGTTGTGAGTATACATAACATCAATTGAAACAATTTATATTAACATGATCGTTGTTCTCTATTCTTCCTCTCATCTTTCAATGGCATAGCCAATACACATAGGAACATAAAATATATAATAGCTACTAGTATAAATATTAAGTTATGATATAGGCCTACATAATAAATTGTTTGAATACATAGTTAGTGCTTGTTTTCTATAATTCCCCTTCCTAATTTATCTTCCTTTTTAATCATCCTCATTAATATACCTCATTACCCTTCTTCATTCCCTTTTCCCATTAATCTGCATCATTAACCTTCCTCATTAACCCCCCTTATTATTCTTCATCATTACTCTTAATGATTAATCTTATTCATCTTCCTCTTTACACTTCCTCATACCTCTTTGTTATTCCTATACCTCTTTGTTATTCCTCTTCCTCATTATTCTTCCTCTTGCCTCCTCATTCCCTTATTCTTTTCCCTTTTATCTCTTCCATATTCATCCTCCTCTTCACTTATCCCTCATGTGAGAGGGTCTCTTGCACCTCATTCTTCTTTTCTTCTTCCTCCCTTCCAAATAATTTATTTTTTCTAATCTTCTTGCTATTAATTAAAAATAGGTATTTACCTTTGTCTACAGCTCAATCTGTTGTAACTTGAGTTACGGCCGTTTCGGCATTATAATGCCATCGTCAGACGTTGAACATTCAGCTGAAGTAGCGTCGTCATAGTTGAAACACAACACGAACACGAATAACATTTTACAATTAATAACGAAGACACAACGAACAGGCCTGTCGCACACACGGTACCGGTTGACATTGCCACGATCTGAACTGGATGCCGACTAGAGGTTAATCCTGCATCGTTCTTTGCGTAGTGGTGTTATCAGCTGACCTTTGTACTCCTGCCTTTTGTCTCTTGTCCTGGTCTAAAATACTATTGAAAATGATGTGTGATTTATATTGTAGTTTGTCATTTAATATTGTGTCATCAAAATTATTTTCTGTATAGGCTCTGTAAATTTCGTATTCTTCTAATGTGTCCAATTTATTTCCTTTCTTGCTTCATACATGTCATGGTTTTTGTCAACCAGGTGTTGAGCAAAGGATGATTTTTGTTTGTCGGCTCTTGGACATGGGTGATGTTCTTTGTACCTGGTTCCGAATGTCCGTCCAGTTTTTCCTATATAAAAGCTCGGGCAACTAGCACATTTAATTTTGTATACACCTGACTTCTCACTTTTGTCGATTACACGATCAGAAACGTTTAATTTATTAATTGTCTTGTTGTTGGTCTTGAACGCCAATTCGATACCATGTTTTTTCAATTCTTTCGTAAGTGAGTACTGAATTGAATGTGAGTACTCTACACACACATACTTCTTCTTTTGTGGTTGGACGTCTCCAGACTTTTTGTTTTTCATCTTACTTAATAACCTGTCAATCATATTGCTGTTGTACCCATTAGATAGCGCTATGTGTTTTATCAAATTGAGTTCTTTATTAAAATTGCTGTCTGACATTGGAACATTTAACAATCTATATAACATACTATTATAAGCGGCATATTTCTGTGATGGTGGATGGTATGACGTGTTATGGATGGTTTGGTTTGACGTGGTTGGCTTACGGTAAATGCTGAAATCCAATCTATTGTCCAATTTTTCTATTGTCAGGTCTAGAAAATTCATTTTGTTTGACTCCTCAATTTCCATCGTGAATTTCAAATTTGGGGCAATATTGTTTAGATATTTGTGTAATAATTTACACAAATATCGATATACTCCTCGATATACTCCACACAAGCAAGAAAGGAAATAAATTGGACACATTAGAAGAATACAAAATTTACAGAGCCTATACAGAAAATAATTTTGATGACACAATATTAAATGACAAACTACAATATAAATCACACATAATTTTCAATAGTATTTTAGACCAGGACAAGAGACAAAAGGCAGGAGTACAAAGGTCAGCTGATAACACCACTACGCAAAGAACGATGCAGGATTAACCTCTAGTCGGCATCCAGTTCAGATCGTGGCAATGTCAACCGGTACCGTGTGTGCGACAGGCCTGTTCGTTGTGTCTTCGTTATTAATTGTAAAATGTTATTCGTGTTCGTGTTATGTGTTTCAACTATGACGACGCTACTTCAGCTGAATGTTCAACGTCTGACGATGGCATTATAATGCCGAAACGGCTGTAACTCAAGTTACAACAGATTGAGCTGTAGACGAAGGTAAATACCTATTTTTAATTAATATCACAGCTCAGGGGCTAAAATGGATTTTAATTCTTGCTATTACATATCATCAAGACATTGTCCTTTACTTATATTACTGCATTATTAAATTCCCTAATTCAGAACACCTACAACAATTTTACATTCTATACAGCACTTATTAATTCCATTTCAATAAACCTTAGTAAAACAATTTGTTTAAAAAAATGTATATCTACTAAAGTAGTAAACTACAATATATTTGTTCAGACCGCACCTCTGTCAGTGTCCTCTACACTCTCCTTGGACCAGGAGGAGGAGGACTCCATGCATGAGAAGTACTTCTTGTCTGGGAACACACAACTGACTAGTGGACGAAGATCTGTCGAGTCTACACCTCAGGTAACAATTTCTCTGTTGAAAGGTCCGCGGTTACCTGATATTTCCGGATCAGGCAAACCTGGTCTGAGGAATCGGGCCAGAAATAATTTTTGGGTCAAGCTCAGGTCTGATCAAGCTATTTTTCTTGGCCACAGAAATCTTTAAACGTTTTATCGTTTTTATATTTAGTGGTCTTTGTACAATGTATTTACATTTGAGTGACATAACCTAACTAGGTGTTATGTTTGCAGGCGCGCAGGAAACACCAACACAGATGTCCCAAGCTGAGCCCAGACTATGCCAACCTCGCCAGCAGTGTTCCTCCTCCACCTCCACAATCAAGACACTCTCACTCGTCTTCCTCAAACTCCTCTACGTTAGCCAACGCCCACCGTCTGCAACCTGCACATATTGTTACCAGGTTGGTACTACTAGATGAGGGTATAGGGTGCAAGGGCAGATCAAGGAATATTTTTTGACAGGAGGTCAGATGGCTTCTTTTTGAGAAATTGTGCAAAATTTTAACATTAAATTACACATACTCCTTTATTCAACAGTTTAGTGAGAAAAAACATACTTTAACTAGAAAATGCAAAATTTCAAGAATTTTTAATTTCAAAATAAGTATTTTTAGACTAGTCAGGCAGCTTACTGTATTTCTAGAAACATTTGGGGGATTTTAACCCCCTTAATCCCTCCACTCTGTCAAAGATCACACGGGTAGCAGATTTTAATATAATCGCATAACGCCCCACTCATTAACCAATTTATTATGGTTGGATTGTACTGGTTCTCAAATTCGCAATAAGAACTTGAGAACCGGTACAACCAGGCTACCTATCGTATTAGTGTCTTCATTAAGAGCCTGAATTCTTCACCAGTATACTCAAAAGGGCATCAACGTGTTTAGTTAATTGTTGTTTCAAAATATCTTTAAGCCTCCAAAAATACAGCTTTTTAGCGAATTTCCCTATAGGGAAGTAGCTATTACCGTAGGTCTCATGGTAAGACTTAGGCCCGGGACCGATTTACTTTTTCATTTTAATGTCCCCAGAGGCCAAAAACACCATTCGTTCAAATTTTTATATATGTATATATATATATATATATATATATATATAGATATATATATATAGATTTATATATATATATATATATGTGTGTCCGTGAACACGATAACTTGAGTAATTTTTATCCGATTTTGATGAAATTTGGTTTGAAGGTGTAAGACGGGATAAACTTGAATGAGTTCGCGATCCAGCATGATCGGACCATGGGAACAGGGTTTTATGGGGGGTTTTATGGGGTAAAAATTGGTTTTTCTCACTTTTTACCCTCAAAACACAAAATTTCCCAATTTTTCTCTAAACCTTCTTAAAGAGCTTAAAAAACAAACAATTCAGTATATCAAAGTGTTTTGTACGGTTATTGGTTACGGAGAAAACTAAAAAAATGGTAAATTTAAAATTCCCATGTTATTCTTATGGAGAATATTGTAAAATGTTGTAGTTTGCTTGTTTATGGATATATTTTGATCAAACTTGGCAAATTTATTTATTTTATAGTAAGCTATCAATATTTTACTAAAACCACACTACTTTATTAGTTTCCTTGTAGCAGCAAACCTAGGTACTCGTTAAACCTAATGTTATTTAAATAGATCAATTGAAAATCAATTCGGCCAAATGGAAATTCGCTTAGACGGCAGGTTTGCTGCGGCGGGGGTATTTCTAAATGAAAATAGGATTTTTTTTACCTTAAAATTTACCAAATCAAATTTCCTAATGGTACATAAAATGAAATAGTAACTCAATTTTTGTTGTTGGCATCATCAAGTGGTTGAGCTTAGGACGAAGTATCACTGACGTAAGTTGGTACACAAAATTTTCATAATATAAATGTATCTGGCCATTTAGTGACAGATGTTGTTAAGCATTGTCTACAACAAGCCATTTTGGTTTATACCTGTTAAGGTTCACGAAGCTATTGCTTATCGTCTATTAAGTTTACTTGTGATTCTTATCAGTTTATGCGTTTACAGAGACAGAGAGGCAGGACTGTCAAGTAGTGATAATGAGAATGACTCAAGCACCAGTGTGTCCTCTAGTCCTAGAACACAGCCACTGCTACATCCGGACACTGCTACCAACGAACACAACGACAAAGGTATCATGATCACAAGACAACGTATAAGCACTGCCAATTAGTGGTCAAATATCCAGTAGATTTTGAAAACTGGTAGGCAAGGATTGCCACAACATTGTCATCATCTCCTGCAATCATAACAACACTGAATACATCTTTTGTGATCTCAATTTGGGTAACGTAAGATTTTTGTCCTGAAAGAAAAAACTCAAACATTATTGGAATCCTGTCTGAGGATAAAGATTTGTATTAGATGAATTGTAAGAATGCAAGGTTGATTATGCAATGTTGCAATGTTGACTGCAGGAGTTTTCTGTGACTTATCCAGGGCTTTTGACTGTGTGGACCACAGGTTGCTGCTGATCAAATTGAAGAATATTGGCTTGGAGGGAATGGCACTAGAATTATTACGATCATACCTATTCAATCGAAAGCAGCGCACAATAGTAATAAAAAAATCAATAAAATATTATTCTAACTGGGCCAGCGTTACATATGGTGTTCCCCAAGGTTCCGTACTTGGGCCTTTATTATTTATTATATTTATTAATGACTTGCCTAATTGCCTTTCCACAAATTCCTGTGCTTTCACTTTGTATGCCGATGACATAACTGCTCTTTTAAAAAGAAAAACACTAAGTGAACTTAAATTAACTTTTGACAGCACAATTAAACAAATCAATGAATGGTTTGAGAGCCATGGCCTGAAATTAAATGAATGTAAAACTAACATTCTTCAATTTAAACTCAGAAACATAGTTACAGACACCACAATCAGTAATACAAAAATTGTTAAGTTTTTAGGTCTAAATTTAGACTCAAAATTAAGTTGGTCTGATCACATTCATCATCTAAATAAAAAATTAAGGTCAACAAGGTATTCACTAAGTGTAATATCCAAGGTCACGCCGCTAGAAGTCTGCTTGACAGTATATCATGCGTATGTTCATTCTTTGCTGGCTTATGGCGTCACTCTATGGGGTAACTCTGCAGAGGCCAAGAAAGTGTTCACTTGCCAAAAGTCAATTCTCAGAACTATTTTTCACCAGAAGTCTAAAAAAAGCTGTAAACCTTTTTTCAAAAAACATTCCATTTTAACATTACCTTCTCTTTATATATTTTAAATAGCAAAGTATGTTCATGCAAATCCTTTCTTTTTTGAAAAATATAAAATAAATCATAACTATCAAACGAGAAATAATAACAAAACTTTTCAATATCCCAAACATTCGCACACAAAATTTGAAACTGGGCCTCTTTACATGGGATTAAAAATCTACAATCATTTACCTAATTCATACAGAACTTTATCAAAATCAAATTTTACATATAAATTGAAAGAGACTTTGAGCCAAAAAGCATATTACAAAATTCAGACGTTTTTTAAAGATAAATTGTAATAGTTTTTACTCTTGTCAGGGTATAATTAGATTAAGGAACCTAGATATAAATTAGATATAAATTGACCATGTACCAGCTTGGGAATTACTTTTGTAATTATTGTATCAGGCGTTATGTACAATAAAGCTTTGTCTATTGTATATTGTCTATTGCAGCATTGACCAGTATCTTAAATATGAAACATTAATTTACATTATCTAAAACATAATGCATACCATAGTGGTTCATTCATTTTTGAGACTGTTAGTAATGTTAGTAGTGTGTTGTTGAATAAATATTAGTTAGATGGCCTGAAATGAACATAGATTTTGCAAAACTAAAGTTATAGGCCTAAACTCTACTTTTTTGTTCAACAGTTCTGAAACGACCAACGTTCAACAACGTGGAGGAGCGACACAACAACTCGCTGCACAACAGACGAGCTGTGCTGAAGAACAACGGCAATCACAGCTTGACACTGTGTCCAAGGGTGGACAACAAAACTGACTCTTCACCAGTGTACTCCAACCAGCCAGTAGGGGTGGGAGGGTTCATACTGGAACCTGAGATGCAGGAACACCTTCTACCCCTACAGCAGTATATACTAGAACAGGCTAAACTGTCAGGTAGGCTTCTCTGAGAATAGTGCTAAAAGATGTTCATGATGTACATAATTTTTCCGTAACCATGTAAGACAATTTTGTCAATATAGTGGGAGATGTATTTAATTATGCTATGACTATCTGATGCTTAGGATTTTTCAGTGACCGTGGAAGATGTTTGTGATCTTGTTGTGAACACGGAAGATCTTAATCATTTCATCGCAATATAGGGAAGATCATGTATAATATTATGTTTAAGCCCATTGTAGTATTTCAATTAACATTTTGGGAAATAAACTCTTTCTTGGGTCTTGGGCAAAAATTTTGACCTGACCCAAAGTAAAAGTCTGCAGATCCTTAACAAAATTAATTAATTTAATTAATTAAATATTTATTTTATATATATGTATAATGTATCTATTTTTTATCTAGTTACAGTAGACCCCCTCTTAACCGACCTCGTATTAACCGATAATCGGATTATCCGCCTTTGATCGTAAAATAATACAGTTTGTTTTAACCGACCTTGCTTTGAGAGCAGCTCGGTTTAACCGCCGCTTTCTAGGAATCTCGGCATTTCCGCTCCCACTCTGGGCGATGAGAACTGAACCATACGCTTATCTCCACAGGATATGACTAACAATAAGTTATTTTGTGTTGATCACAAAAAATATAGGATAGCCTATTGTCAGTTTGTCATCATCGTTCGTAGCTCGAGCACATCTGATCAGATATGTTATCTGTGCGGCAAATTTATAACATCATAAAGTGCGTTACGATTTTGAGAACTGATTATCTTATCGCTGGAGTAAACAAACAATGCAACTTGTAGGGAGGGCAGGGAAGGGGTGTTAACAACTCCAAGGTCAAGATAGTTTTTGTGCCTCGAACCTCCAGTGAGTGGCCATAAATAAACGTCCTGTCTTGTAACAAAATTGTCGCTTGTATCTTTAATGACGACAAAAGGTTCTGTACTGTATTACGATGTATTTGAAAAGCCTTAATTAATACACTACAGTAGTAAAGTTATTAAAATAGGAATTTTATTGACTCTTGCCTAGTATTATAATATATTCACTGAAAGTAGGCCTATTTGACTTAACCGTGTTTTGTGTTTATTTGTGACATTTCTATCAATATGAAAAAGGAGATAAGAGTAGTTTATTTTATAAATAATGCAAGTATGACTTCAAAATAATGATTATATAATTCTAAATGAATAGCACTTCATTATGTTATGATTTTAGGGATTGCCCGTTTTATCCGACCTTTTGAATTATCCGACCTAGGTCCGGTCCCATTAGGGTCGGTTAAGAGGGGGTCTACTGTATTAGGCGATATAATGTATGATGTATTGTTCTGAACGCCATTCATGTATACTTTTGTATATATGTGAATAAAGTATCTTTGAATTGAATTGAATTAATGATGATATTTCCAAACCACACTTACTTGTTCAAATTAATTTCAAAACTAACACAATGAAACAGCTTTATGTAGCAAACAGCACTAGATCAGCAAGCTGTTTCTTGTTTTTTAAGTTGCTGTATTGGGCAAACTTAAGTAAATTGTAGTTGCTGGTGTTCATGCAGCTAATTTAATGATTCAATGTGATTGTTGTCAATTTGTCATTCACAACATTTTTCTAACAAATACTTTTACAAATCACTGGCTTGATGGAATCCATGGTACATATATCCTTCTCACAGTACGTTTTTGTGGCAAACTATAACGGCCAATTAGTAAGGAGAGAGCTAGCCATATGTTTCCATAGTGAAAAAATTCTTACAAATATTTTTCACGCAGGTTGCTACAGATTCGGCGACAGTCTTGTGGAGGAGGCAGATTCTCTACACTCGGACGAGGAGGACGCAGGTCAGCTGCTACAAGGAGGAGTAGAGTACGACAGTGATGAGTTTGCCGATGACGAAGGGATGAGCAACCAAGATGACTCCAGCAGCCAGGAGTACCTGCATGATGAGCCCAGCTATCTAGATACTGTAGAACAGTACAGATACGCCAACTGGGAGAGAAGTTACCCAACTGGTTAGTTGTGATTTTGACTTTAGATACAGATATTACAAGTAGACCTACTTAGGATACAGAAACCAAGAAGTGACCTTCTTAGGATACAGATACTGCAAATAGGCCAACTTAGGATACAGGTACTGTAAGTACTAAGTAGACATACTTAAAATACATAGGCCTATACTGCAAGTTGGCCTACTTGGGATACAGATAATGCAAGTAGACTTACTATACTTACTGCTTACTGCCATGGCCACTTGTACCCTAGCTGGTACTTGGCCTCGCCAACACGCTGTCGCCAATAGTCTCGGTCCCATGCATCTTCCTCTACAAGCCTCATCCTTTCCAAATCTTTTCGTACTTGACCCCACCACCTGGCTTTCGGTCTACCTATTGGTCTTCTTCCCCTCGGATTTCCTCTGAGTGCTGTCTTCAGTAGACTCTCCTCCTTTCTCCTCAGGATATGGCCAACCCACCTTAATCTTCTACTCTTAACTTCTCCAATGATATCAGGGTCTTGAAATAATTCTCTTAGCTCCCGGTTGTGGCGGATTCTCCATACTCCATCTTCACATACTGGCCCATATATAGTTCTCAAAACTTTGTTCTCAAAAGTTATTATTTTCTTTTCTGAGTTCTTGCTCAGGATCCAATTTTCCCCTCCATATAAAAGTACAGGTCTTACTATAGTTTTGTAGATTCTAATTTTTGTCTTTCTCGTTAAAAGTTTTGATTTCATTAGTTTACTGCATGCGTACCAACTCTTATTTGCTAAATTTATCCTATTCTGAATTTCCATGTCTTCCGTATTTTTGTCAGATAGTAGAACGCCTAGATAGGTGAAATTATTTACTCTTTGGAATTCATGGTTGTTGACTTGAAAAAACTCTTCATTATTTCCAGCTTCTCCTCTTGTTACTATCATGAATTTGGTTTTTGCATAATTTATTTTTAGCCCTACATACTCAGTTTCCTTTATTAGTATCTCCGTTAAAACCCTAAGATCTTCTTTTCTTTCGGCCATCAGTACTACGTCATCTGCAAAAGCTAATATATTAATATTCGTTCCTAGTAGACTTACTATCCAAGTGTAAAATTTTTACATAGGGTTTGAATTGAGATTTGTATTGTTCTAATATGCTCTCAGAAAATAAAATTCTCAGTATTAACTTGATGTAAGATTGATGGTTACATTCTTATCAAACAAATTGTCTCGTTCAATTTATATTACAATTGTTTAGTTAGATTTTATCACTCAAAAGGTCTGTCCTATTGTTTCAGACAAATTTTTGTCATACTGGTCCAGCTTTCATGGACTCTGCAGATCCATACTAAACTACTGCATACATAAACCAAAATAAAAATAGTATTGCCTGTCTACTATGACTATTATATGTGTTTTTGTAGATGGTCGTGTCAGTGACTACGTAGTTGACAGTCTGGAGTCTCGTATGGCTGCCTCCAGTGGCTACAACACCAATGTCACCTCTCTGTCACAACAGCAGACCTCCAGAAGTAATAGTCTAGCCACTACCTTGTCTGGTAATATGCGTATAATTGATCGGTGTCGTGTTTGTGACTGTTTGTCGTCTGCAGCTGTGTTTGTTTAGCTTTTCAAGTTGCTAAAAAGATGTTGAATTACAATTTATTTTAACATTGTAGTGTACAGCTGAATCAGGTAAAATAAATGACTTTTTTGTTAAATTAGAAGTACGCTTCCATGGTAAAGTAGACTATTAAATCTTGGCTTTGAAAAAGTGCAATCTATCGTAAAATTTCTTGACGTTAATTACAAAAGCTAGTTTGTAAACATGTTATATATGTACAAAAAAAAAATTCCATAATGTAAAAACCATTCTGTACAAATTATTGCACTGCAAAATGTTATGCTTGTAAAATATTCTTTGCAGGAATACAATTTTTTTTTACTTTTCAATAGATTATATTGCAAGCATGTTAAATTCAAAGCTATTAGGACTAGTTTTCATAGAAATGTTATAATCTATAGTTAAAATTAAATGGGATATTTTTGATTTGTAAAGTTTAGTTTTTTTATTGCCAAGGACTGAGTCAGTGTTCTTCTGCTGCTCACAAAAAAAGCTACACATAGTAAAAGGTTACTGAGGGAGTTAAAAAAGGTGTATCTCATCTTACGAGTTCAATCCTTCCTATAATATATTCATCCTGTTCAACATTTAGTTGTGCTCAATAAATTTTTTAGATCCGTTTAGGACTTGGTATTAATACAAAAAATTGGCACAAAATGTGATTGACGACTTAAGAGAACTTTCGATAATCAGCCGATAATTTTGTTTCTAAACAAAGTTTTAGGTTTAGCCTTCAAGTAAATCTTTCTATATAAGTAATTTGTTATTCACTAATGTAAATAAATATTCTAAATCATAAATCACAATGGAAACAATAAGAGATTTGTTTATACGAAAACTGATCAATTCTAAATACCGATACCAGTTTAACAAACATAAAATTTTATATATGAATTGTTCACACTATATAACAACAACAACAGTATAACAACCCCTGTCTTTATGTTGTTACACAAAGTAAATTTGTAACCCCTAAAACAACATTACGTTGGGACTGATGTACAACATTTTTTTCAGGAGCTTTAGGAATAAATACTACGTTACCATTAGAAACGCAACACGCTTCTTTGAAAAGGAAGAAAGATCCACCAGCGCCCGCGCCAGTCCTGTATTCTCCTATTATGGAACGAGCGGAGGTAAGTGTTTAATACTTCAGTAACAATACCAAACTGTAGTGTTTGTCCCGCTTTATGTATTCTTCTTTTATACCTGGCAACATTCTTTTCTGTCCATGTTATTAAGTGAGGCCTAAGTTAATTTAGTTTGAACTTGTTATTCTGCTTCAGTTCAGTTCCAAACAGTGGAACAGATCCAAATAAAATTTAAAGTTTCTGCTCATAATTGAGTATTGATTGTTATGGAGCCGATGATTTACTACAACCAAATGTTTCTATATGAAAACTGAGTGCGAGTGCCAAAATATTCTAAAAGATATTATCGATGTCTGCTTTCACGCCCTTTCTGTAATTCCTTGCATTCTGGCTATTTGCTGCCACAAAATTATTTAGACTTACTTATCTGAAATTTAACTTATTTAAACAAAGTTGCAAAGTTGAATAAGGACCTTAATTTTACAAAGATGTTAACAATGTACACATTTATTTTGAAACGTAGTTATTGTTTGCATGTTATTCCATAATTTGAATTCTTGAACCGCGGGAGACGACGATAGCGTTTCCGTGACCACGGGAAACGACGATGACGTTTTCGTGACCGCGGGAGACGACGATGAAATTTCTGTAACCGCGGGAGACGATGACGACGTTTCCGTGACCGCGGGAGACGACGATGACATTTCCGTGACCGCGGGAGACGACGATGACATTTCCGTGACCGCGGGAGACGACGATGACATTTCCGTGACCGCGGGAGACGACGATGGTGTTTCCGTGACCACGGGAGACAATGATGATATTTCCGTGACCTCGGGAGACGACGATGACGTTTTCGTGACCGCGGGAGACGACGATGACATTTCCGTAACCGCGGGAGACGACGATGACGTTTTCGTGACTGCGTGTGACGACGATGACGTTTCCGTGATCGCGCATGCGAACGATGACGTTTCCGTGACCACGTGAGACGATGATGATGTCCAAACCGCCGCGTTTAGTGATTTTGCCGCGATAACGCATGCGGACGATGACGATTCTGTGACCGCGGGAAACGATGTTGACGTTTCCGTGACCGTGGGAGACGACGATGACGTTTCCGTGACCGCGGGAGACCACGATGAAGTTTCCGTGATCGCGGGTGAAGACAATGACGTTTCCATGACCGCGGGTGATGATGACGATGTTTCCGTGATCGCGGAAGTCGACGATGACGTTTCCGTGACCGCGGGAGACGACGATGAAGTTTACGTGACCGCGGGAGACGATGACGACGTTTCCGTGACCGCGGGAGACGAAGATGACATTTCCGTGACCGCGGGAGACGACGATGACATTTCCGTGACCGCGGGAGACGACAATGACGTTTTCGTGACCGCGGGAGACGACAATGATATTTCCGTGACCGCGGGAAACGATGTTGGCGTTTCCGTGACCGTGGGAGACGACGATGACGTTTCCGTGACCGCGGGAGACCACGATGAAGTTTCCGTGACTGCGGGAGACGACGATGACATTTCCGTGACTGCGTGTGACGACTTAGACGTTTCCGTGATCGCGCATGCGAACGATGACGTTTCCGTGACCACGTGAGACGATGATGGTGTTTCCGTGACCACGGGAGACAATGATGATATTTCCGTGACCTCGGGAGACGACGATGACGTTTTCGTGACCGCGGGAGACGACGATGACATTTCCGTAACCGCGGGAGACGACGATGACGTTTTCGTGACTGCGTGTGACGACGATGACGTTTCCGTGATCGCGCATGCGAACGATGACGTTTCCGTGACCACGTGAGACGATGATGATGTCCAAACCGCCGCGTTTAGTGATTTTGCCGCGATAACGCATGCGGACGATGACGATTCTGTGACCGCGGGAAACGATGTTGACGTTTCCGTGACCGTGGGAGACGACGATGACGTTTCCGTGACCGCGGGAGACCACGATGATATTTCCGTGACCGCGGGAGACGACAATGACGTTTTCGTGACCGCGGGAGACGACAATGATATTTCCGTGACCGCGGGAGACGACAATGACGTTTTCGTGACCGCGGGACACGACGATGACATTTCCGTGACCTCAGGAGACGACAATGACGTTTTTGTGACCGCGTGTGATGACGATGATGGTGTTTCCGTGACCACGGGAGACAATGATGATATTTCCGTGACCTCGGGAGACGACGATGACGTTTTCGTGACCGCGGGAGACGACGATGACATTTCCGTAACCGCGGGAGACGACGATGACGTTTTCGTGACTGCGTGTGACGACGATGACGTTTCCGTGATCGCGCATGCGAACGATGACGTTTCCGTGACCACGTGAGACGATGATGATGTCCAAACCGCCGCGTTTAGTGATTTTGCCGCGATAACGCATGCGGACGATGACGATTCTGTGACCGCGGGAAACGATGTTGACGTTTCCGTGACCGTGGGAGACGACGATGACGTTTCCGTGACCGCGGGAGACCACGATGATATTTCCGTGACCGCGGGAGACGACAATGACGTTTTCGTGACCGCGGGAGACGACAATGATATTTCCGTGACCGCGGGAGACGACAATGACGTTTTCGTGACCGCGGGACACGACGATGACATTTCCGTGACCTCAGGAGACGACAATGACGTTTTTGTGACCGCGTGTGATGACGATGACGTTTCCGTGACTTCGGGAGACAGTGGTGATTCAGGATTTTTCTGTTATCGCAGAAAATGATTATGGTGTCTCTACGACTGTGTTAGAAGATGATTACAACATAACCTCGAGTTTGGCTTGACCAACAATTTCAAAATGGCACACTTCTAGAAAGTTTTTTTAAATATTTTTTTGTAATATCTTCACCTTTAACGTGGTATTTATTTAATGTGTTTAGAAGAGTTTAAAACATAAATTGGCTACGTGCAATTTTTGTAATTTAGCATTATTATTTCTGTAGGCCACTTTTAAAACAACCCATTACTTCAAAATTGTACTATATGAAAGTACATAGAGAATGCTCTTTACGATAACTAAAATAGCGAGCTGTGTAAGCGCTAAAACAGCATTGCGGGAGTTGGCGCAAAACGCGTTGGAATTTTTTTTACTCATGAATTTTTTCTGGTTGGCCTGGTGGACACCCTGATTAAGAAATGAAACTGTTCTAAGCTAACCTAACATAACCAACCAAACTTGCTGTATTATTTAAAAATTCCGTTTGATAACACTAAAGGCAAGCGGAGAATATTAAACGGAAGTTTTAATGTTACAGCAAGTTTGGTTAGTTTTGTTAGGTTAGTTTAGAACAGTTTAATTTCAACATTTTTTAAAATTATTGTTTGTTGATTCTGAACAATATTTATTTATCGTAGTTGTCAGCTGATATGTTTCCATTTGTTAAAATCGATATATCGATAACAAAATCATCGATGATAATGAATGTTCCCTTTAACAGGAAAGTACCCAAATAAACTTTACAAATTAAATGAAAATGAAACATATTTAACTGTCATCTGAAAGCAAATATAGAACATTTTAATTGGAAAGAAATATGTCTTCAGGTCCAATTGTTTTGCTAGGAAGTATTTGTGTACAACATCATGGCCACAATTAGATATGAAGACATATTCAGATACAATCTTTGTTCCCAACTCTAAACTTTCCTGGTTGAAAATGGTTGTCAGTGACAGTATAATGTTTTATGGACTCTTCCTACTTCGGATAATCCTGCTATTCCAAACAAAATACTTTAAGCCAAAGTTCATGTGGCCTGTTACATCATTAACCCTCACATTTCGAGTTTCTTTATGTTTCTGTAGATTTTCTATACATTATTTTGATTTATTTACCCTTAGTTTTATTGTTGTGTAGTTGTCAGTTTCACTTACGTTGTGTTATTTTGCATGTAGAGAGTTGACTACAGACGACAGATATCATCTTCCCCTCCCTGTGGGTCTGGCCCCCCACCCTCTCCCCTTCCACTTATTACTCACTCTCTCCCATGCTCCCCTTCCCCTCTCTCGGCTTCTCTTCAGTACGAACAGGTAAAACACTTGCATCCCTGTCTCTCTTTCTCTCTGTTCTAAATTTTAGGGGTGGGCGAGTATTTGACTATCGAGTATTTGAGTATCGAGTACTTACTTGGCCTTTTAAAAACACACAAGTTGAGAGGGTCTAGTGGTATCATCAGCAGTTTCAATTATAATTTAATTGTACTATTAGTAAATTTGCTGTTCCAAACTGCTTAAAATACCCCAATTTAATTTAGGAAAATCACCTTTTTCTTAGTACAGTAGAACTCCAACTATCCGAATCACTGATTATATCCCAATCAAATCCCAATCAACTACAGAAAGAATTTAAGAAGAAAAAATCTTTATTAAAGATGGTAGAATCTGTGATTGCCGGCAAAATCCAAAACCTCTCTGGTGATGATGTAGATATCATCGTCATCTACCGCGGTCATGGAAACAACAAAGTCTTTTTCTGCGATTTCGCCAAAATCTTGAATATCTTCCTCAGTCTTGTAGAATCTGTTGCATATAATAACTATTGGACTATGTTTATTATATTTAGTACTCTTTGACTTCCTTATGAGAATTCAAATGTTTTTGTTTTACATATGGTTTTCTGTTGTTCATTAATTATTCTGTAAATAAGTTTGACCAATTTAGTACATCATAAAAGTTTCTTCCAGTAAAGTATTCTTTTCATTTCATTCTATTTAACTTGTAACAATAGTATTTTATAACAGGTTATGGGTCCAGACACCCTTATATTGTGTGTTACAGGTTTTAAATAGAATAATTTATTGCTTGAGATAAAATCTTTAGTATGGAATTTGTTATGCAGAAAATGGAATTGCTGCATGGAAAGGACAACTGGGATGATTGGAAATATCTAATGCAAATTAGGCTTAAAGGTATCCCAGATGCATACGAAGCCATTTCTGGTAAAATGGAATTGCCAGAGAAACCTAAAGATGAAACACAAGCTACAGAAATGAAAGAATATAAAATGAAGATGGATAAGTACAACAAAACACAGTCAGAAGTAATGTTTATGTTAGCATCTTCATTAAGTAAGGAAGTAAGAGCTCAGGTAAGAAACCTAGAAAAACCAGATGAGGTTTGGAAGGAGCTGCATAATCTATTTGCGGAAATAGAGGAAAATAAAGCCTATGATATATGCTCTCTGTTCTTCACCTACAAATGGGATCAACACTTGGATATGGCTGGGAACCTATCTGCAATCAAGTCATTATGGGTAAAGCTTCAAGAAGAAATTAAGAAAATCCAAGACAAGAAAGAAGATAGTTTACCTCAGATATTGTTGATTTGCAAGATTTTTGAAATCCTACCAGCAGAATATTCCAACTTTCAGACAACTTGGTTAATGATTCACAAGGATAAAGCGAGAAACCTTGACAATCTTACAAATTGGCTGTGTACAGAAGCAAGAAAGCTGACTTCAAAGGAAAATGAGAAAGAAGATACAGCTTTAATGGCGGTCAATAGATCTAAAGAAGCCAAAGGTAACTTAGTAGGTGTACAGAAAAACAGCAAAAACAATGATAAAAAGAAAAAGTTTCCATGCCACTATTGTCACAAGAAAGGACATTGGTTGCAAGAGTGTCAGAAATGGATAGCGGATGGAAAACCTGAAAGAAAACCTGAAAAGAAAAGCTTGGAAAAAGAATCCAAACAAGCAGCACTAACCATATTAAGTAATTGTGTTTTTCAAACCCAGAATACTACCGCATCACATGATTGGTACGTGGACAGTGGTGCTACCAACCATGTTACACATTGTAGGGAAATGTTTACTGACTTTGAACAATTTGAGTTACCTCATGCAGTTACAATGGCAAATGGACCACAGACAAGTGCTATTGGTAGAGGAACAATTTGCATGGAAGCAAATTTGGATGGTATTTGGAATACAGTAAAGCTAACCAATGTATGGTATGTACCTGGTATTTTTGCAAACCTATTTTCAGTAACCGCTGCTCAAGATTTAAATGTAAATAGTAAATTTGTATCGACATCCAAGGATTGCACTTTGTTTGATAGAAATGGTAAACCACTCATCAAAGGACATCGAAGTCAAGGCGGAGGCTTGTTTAAATTAGCAGTAAGAAAATCAGTAGACCTCATGGCTGTTGTGGAAGGAGTTCCAGCTGTTAATCAGTTGCAGTTACTTCATGAACGACTAGGACATCAAAGCAAAACTCATGTACAAGAAATTGCAAGGAGAGAACTGAACCTTAATCTCAAGCTTGACAATGAGGTACCGGTATGTGAAGGTTGTGCTTATGGAAAAATGCACAGAACACAATTCAGAAGCAGAGATGAACACAGAGCTTCAGTACCTGGTGAAATCATTCACTCTGATGTTTGTGGACCTTTCTTTGAGTCGATTGGAGGTTCAAAGTACTTTGTATTGTTCAAGGATGACTTTACTCGCTACCGCAGTGTTTATTTTATGAAGACAAAATCTCAAGTTGTAGAGAAGCTGAAGCAGTTTCTTGCAGAAGTCAAAGTCACAGGCCATGTAATATGTAAGTTGAGATGTGATGGAGGAGGTGAATTCGACAATGAAAGTATTAGACGAGTCCTTCAAGTGAATGGAATACAACAGTTGATCACAATGCCATACACACCACAACAGAATGGATCTGCAGAGAGAGAAAATCGGACCATAGTTGAATGTGCAAGGTCAATGATGCATGCTCACGGTGATCTGCCTCAAGGCTTGTGGGCTGAATTGATAAACACTGCAGCCTATATTTTGAACAGAACTGCTAAGTCATCAGTTGCCGGAAAGACTCCATATGAATCATGGTTTGGAAAAAGACCTACGATAAAACATTTACGGGTTATCGGGACAGATTGTTTTGTCCATATTCCAAAGCAGAGAAGACGTAAGTTTGACAAGAAAGCGATGAAATGCAAACTTATTGGATATGATGGTAATGATGGATATCGTCTCTGGAATTCATGGAAATGTACTGTCATTCGGTCCAGGGATGTAAAATTTTTGAAAGAGTCTATTAGTGAATCCATAGTAAATAGGCCTATTTCTTCAGAAGAAAAAGTCCCCGATGAAGCAAAAGATGAGAACTGTTCAGCCCCTGTAGTAGAAAATGTCCCCATTCTCTTTCCTGAAGATGAATCGGAAGAAGATAAATTGACAGACGAGGAAGCAGAACAACAGGAAGAAAACGTTGTGCAAACTCGCCAACTCCGAGATAGAGCTATGGTAAGGCAGCCCATTCGTTTTGAAGATTTTGTGATGAGTGCTGTTATGGGGAACACACACTATGAACCTAATACATACATGGAGGCATCGAACTGTGAAGATCATCTGCAATGGCAAAAAGCAATGGAAGATGAGATTAACTCACTTCACATGAATGAAGTGTGGACACTTACTGAACTACCCAAAGGTCACAAAGCCATACCTTGTAAATGGGTATACAAAGTAAAAACAAATGCCGATGGATCCATAGAGAGATACAAAGCCCGTCTAGTAGTAAAGGGATTTGTACAGAAGAAAGGAATTGATTATAATCAAACCTTTAGTCCAGTAGCAAAAATGCCAACAATCAGAAGTGTTATCGCAGTAGCTGCTAATGAAGGCATGAAACTTACACAATTTGATGTGTCTACTGCCTTTTTGTACGGCAAAATAAATGAAGAAATTTATATGCATCAACCGGAAGGATTCAGTGATAACAGTAATCACGTCTGCAAGCTTAATAGAAGTTTGTATGGTTTGAAACAAGCACCAAGATGCTGGAACGAGAGAGTTGGAATGGTCCTAACAAAACTGGGACTGAAAAAGAGTGATGATGATCCATGTCTTTTTATCCGTAACAACAATGGACATAAGTTAATCGTTGTTCTATATGTTGATGATGGACTCATTGCTTCAACTCATGATGAAGACTTAAATTCATTACTAGTAGAATTGAAAAAAGAATTTAAAACCAAGTCAAAACCAGCAGATTATTTTTTAGGATTGGAGATTTCCAAATCTGGTGAAAATATCAAATTAAGTCAAGGAGGATATGTTTCAAGAATTTTGGAAAGATTCAACATGGAAAACTGCAGATCAGCACCAACACCTATAGTAAAATCTGAACAGGAAGACAAAAGAACAGATGAGACGTCTTTCCCGTATCGAGAAGCTGTTGGAGCTCTTATGTACCTCATGGTTAGTACCAGACCGGACATAGCGTACGCAGTGAGTGTCGTCTCCAGAAGCCTAGAAAATCCTACAATAAATGATTGGTGTCGAGTGAAGAGAATACTCAGATATCTTCAGGGTACTAAAGATTGTGGAATCGTGTACAAGAAGCACATTGGAAGTGGCGTTCTTAATTGCTACAGTGATTCAGACTTTGGTGGTGACCATGAAACCAGGAGATCGACAACAGGACTACTGACTCTGTACGCAGGTGGAGCGATATCATGGATAAGCCAACGACAGCCTTCTGTTCAACTTTCCACTACGGGAGCAGAGATAGTAGCTGCGAGTGAGGCGGCCAGGGATGCAATTTGGTTAAAGCGATTACTAAGCTCATTAACTGAACTTAAAAGTACACCTGTGATCTTCGTAGACAATGAAGCTGCTATATGTCTAGCACAGAATCCAGAGCATCACAGAAGAACCAAACACATTGAAATAAAACACTTTTTCATTCGAGAACAAGTGACAGCAGGAAACCTGGAAGTGAAGAAAATTGACACAAGTGAACAACTAGCTGATTTGTTTACAAAACCTCTTCTTGGACCAAGGTTGAAGGTTTTAAGACAGAAAATTGGACTGGCTTAACGTTCCCATGAAGTCTCTAAGGAAGCCTTGAGTAGGGGGAGTGTTGCATATAATAACTATTGGACTATGTTTATTATATTTAGTACTCTTTGACTTCCTTATGAGAATTCAAATGTTTTTGTTTTACATATGGTTTTCTGTTGTTCATTAATTATTCTGTAAATAAGTTTGACCAATTTAGTACATCATAAAAGTTTCTTCCAGTAAAGTATTCTTTTCATTTCATTCTATTTAACTTGTAACAATAGTATTTTATAACAGAATCATCTTTGTCTCTCACAGTTATTAAGAATCATAATCCAAGACTGCAGCGTAAGCGCAAATTTTTGTACGAAAAATCTTCACAGACAAGTTGTGCAATCACAATAGTAAAAGCTCAGGCTAATTTCTGTATGATACCTTGAATTTTTGTGAAAATCCAACGATCTGAATTTTTTACTATCCTAATGTAATAGAGTCTTAATTGATTTGGATAATTAAATTTTCACTATGTTTACATAATTGTCATTTCAGGGTAAGGGATGCAAACCCTTAATTTTTTTCTATGGGGATTGAACCCTTTCCTCTCGCACCTAAGCCTAAAACGCAAAACACTACGATTGTAACACAAAAAAAGTACGTATTCTTAATTTTATAGACTATAACAACAATATTTTTTACTATATCGGAATGAACAACTATTTCCTCAATGCGATATTCCAATAGTTGTTCAATTACTCAACATAACTTCAAAAAATACTCGCCCACTCCTACTAGTTTTATTTATTTTGCTTATCAATCTTTTATTTCTTATTATTGACTAGTCAGATTTGTTCATTTCTGCCTCTACAAATAATCAAAACATCTAACAGAATACCAAACTGTTTGTATTCACTGTAAAATAATATTACTACTACAACATTCAAGTTGGTTTTGATTAGGTTTTAGTTTGTATCTTCTAACACAAATGCCATGATATAGTAACAAGGTAAATAGGATTTATGCAGTACTAACATAGGTTTATGGAAGTCTTATTTTGTTGATTAGTTCTTAGGATAATTGATTAGTATAGAAGAGGTGTTGTATTGTCTTCATATTATGACAAACTAATACACTAACAGCTACTGACAAATTTCTTATTTACTTGGTTTTCCTTTCCTGAATTAACGTATTCAATTGTAATGGCTTTTTGCTTCTTCTAGTTATACGTAAATTGTAAATAGCACGATTCATTAGCTCTTTATATTCTGACAAAAGTTTTATTTTGAGCTATACTACTTTAAGAGAGAGTTGTGTGGCTGTGGTCAATAGGAATAAACATGGTGGTCAGTGTTAACAAGTAGATGGGATATTAACCCATTTATTCAATTCAAGTACACAGTGTGAGGAATGAAAGCCAATTAATTTATGAACAGTACATTTAATACTATTTACCGTAGACATATAAATATCGCATCAAAACACAGCTTATCTTATGCCATTTTAACTTGGTGGAGTCATTTTTCCATTTCTTGGAAGAAACGTCCTTCAATTGACGAAACTCTTCTACTTGACATTCCTGTAGCTGTTAGAAAACTCCATCTAATCCTTGTTAAAGCATTATTTAGGAATCGCTTAAATTTCCTGAGAAACCATTGGTTTAAAAGCAAGCAAATCTTTGGGACGAATGTGAAAAATCTCGAATTTTGAGTAGCCAATGGGCTTTCAACAACGAAGGCAAGCTGGCAAACCACAGCAAAATCACAGTTTTAATAACCCCATTGTACTATATTTACTAAAATGGCAAAGTTAAATTCAGGTTATTTGCTCAGCTGTTCATCAATAATTGTTGCATTACTTATCATACAGGGTGAATAAAAAGTCAAGACCCCCCCCCCCTCTAATATTTTTCCAAGTAAATATACAGAGATATCCTTTTCCTCACCCTGTATAAACTAATTCTTGTCCAGCTGTAATATAGCCTATTTTTTTCTTAATTTATTGGCACAGAATTTTTAACCTCCATAAACTACTTTTATTTTTACAAACAAAGAGATTTTCTATGTTGATGTACATATACCTATTTTGACAATGTCATCTGTTTTGTTGTGTGTTATTTTTAAAGATATATCTATTGTTGCAGCTATCTAGGGTAGTTTTGAATAAAAAGCTGCCCTCTGAAAGCGACATAGAGAAGTATGCTCAAGACAATCTCAATATCCACAAGAAGGGCATATTTAGGAAAAAGTTCTCCATCAGAGATATGCTATCTTGGTCAAAAGTGAGTATAAGATTATTGATTATTCCTTTTTTAAATTTAATTGCTGCTTTGAATTCTTGATAAGTAATTAGTCTAGTTTTAGAAATGATCTATTATGTTTGGATGTAGATATGCATCTAGAGAATGTGTTGTGATAACCTGCAAATTAATTAACTAATTGTAATTTCTTTAAACAATTTTTAAGATTAAGTGAAGGTTGTCCAGTAAACCAGGTCTCCAAAAAAGCTAATTCAAATCGACGAAGTTCCATAATCTTTATTTGGTGTGTTTAAAAACTTTCATTGTGCAATGTTTATGGTTGTTTTGGAATCATCTCCTAACAGTTCTACAATCCCTTGCACATGCAATGCTATAAAATCGTTGATAACTGTATTGTGGCTAATGAACTACAACAACTGGCCTCTTGAAAATGTCTACAGCCTTTTCCAAACTCCCTCAATCATATACGCACATTATTTTACGCCCGTACATTTGTCTCCTCATACTGTATGTTAACTGGCAGCGAATTTCAGTAGGGGTTGAACACTTACAAAACTACCAAAATCTTATCACAAAATGCAATTTATACTTAACAGGTGCGTTAATTTACAGTTCCATCATTAACAGATACTAAAACAAGTGTCAAGTAAAGTTGGAGATCGACTGGAATTGTGGCGGGGGGAATATAACTATGGTGATAGTTAAAGATTTAAACTAGTTCACTCTGTTGCATTGGTAGCTCTTTGAAGTCCTCAATTCACAGACAACCCTCTTTTGCAACTACCAAGTGCTTATTTCCCTAAGTCTTGTTCTTTCATAGGTATATTTTGTGTGTGGCATTTTGGTATTTTTAGGCTGTACCCTTTACAGCTTCAATTTTATTTACTAGTAGATTATTTGTATAACTATTAGATCATACAGCGTATCAGACAGTATGCAACATCCATTAACTGATTACTTTTGCAGGATCCAATCAGAAAGCCGATGCTGGTGTTGTCGGACAAATCGCTCAAGAAAGACGCAGTGGAGATGTTCAAACTCGTGCAGATCTACATGAGCGATCGTAAGGCTAAGCTAGGCATGAGTCTGAACAGTGTAGCCCTAGAGATCTGCAACCTTGGGTACAACAAGCCAGCCTTGCGGGACGAACTGTACATACAGATCTGCCGGCAGACGACTGAGAACCCTCGCAGGTATGTCTGCTTCTCGGTTATATTAGGAATGGAGGGAAATTGGGTATTTCATTATCAGGGTAAAAACCATAAGACAGTTGTAAACTGTGGAAAATCCTGGATTTAACCTTGAATTTTTCAGTAAAATATTATTGATGGGCTGATTCCAATTCTCAACATCTCATAAGATTCAATACTGATGTTATTGAGAAATGGCTGATTTTGGATATTTCATAACATTGGATGGTAATTCTAGGATCTCAGAATTTATTTTAGTGAATATGGTTTATTCACTTCTGGTCCTCCTTACTATGGTCCTTTTAACTTGTGTCAAAAGGTAAATTAAGTTAATAAAGGAAACTGAATTTGATTTCATAGATGTAGCTACTAATGATCTGAGTAATAATTTGTTACAAACAATAATGTGATTAAAATTGAGTCAGTGAAAATTGTTAGGTATGAGTTCCAAACCTAATTAACACTTTAACTTTTATTGTACAGGGAGAGTCTTCGAAGAGGATGGGAACTTTTAGCGATATGTCTTTCATTTTTCCCACCGTCACCCAAGTTTCAAACATACTTGGATAGCTATATGAATAGGTGAGTAAAACATTTATATTATGTTTTAAATATTGTGTTGCAAATGGTATTGCTCTGAGTTCGATATTCTTTGTGTCGTAAAAGGATTGTCAGAGACATTTTCCATCTATAGTAATGGAAGCTGCACAATATTTTGAAATATATTATCTGATCCCTTCTTCAGGTGTGAATGACCCTAAAAGATAGCAAGGTTTCTACTCAAACTGACCAATAGACAAGGAATTCAATAGATAAGAACAACAGATGTTTATAGCAGTCAAATCTAAAAAGGCAAACAAAGTAAAATTGTCAAATTTAAAAATTGAATTTTAACTCTACTAAACAAACAATGATGACCACACAGTCCGAAGATTCAAGCTCCACGATTTTCTATTTTTAATTCTTTTTCTTATTTGCCTTTTTGATTTAGATTCCTTTCCATCTGAAGACAAGACCACACTCTACATCCCAAAACGTTGTGAAACTTTTGTTTTACTAGTTTAATGAGTGAAGAAAAGTTTCCACAATAATCCCTCAAGTATCTTAAACTCATCCCCAATATACAACGGGGTTGTATATTCTAGAATTATTCGATTTCATACATTCAGTTAAGAATGAGCTACCAGAAACAATACATTTTAACCACAGGTATGAAACCCGAAATGAAAATATATTTACAGAATATATTTACAGAACTTTAATTTAGAACTTTTTGTATTTAATATTTTAAGTGATTAATTTTAAGTTAAGTTTAAATGTTAAATGTTTTATGTATGGATTTAATTTTGACAATGCACTTATTCTAAATGTTAAGACATGCATGGAATGTTTTGTGCAAACAAAGTATGTCTATGTCAATGGCATCATCAAAAATGAAGATTAAAATAAAGAATAGGATTTAAGTTTTAATTTAATTACTTATCAATCGGATTTATAAAATCTAAACTGAGACACATTACTGTCCTGAAATATGACAAAGTCCTACTGAGTCTGTCAACCAAATCGTCACACAAGTCGTAAACTTTGTCGATAGCACTTTGTAAACAATCAAAAAACTCGTCTTCGTTACTTGAAAATTCACATTTCTCCGTAAAATTCCGACTACCGTTCATCACCAGTCTGTCAATACTGTTGTTAATTATTAAAATCTCGTTTTCCAACACTACTAAATTTACTTTAAGATTTTTCATCCATCTGTTTAAAGGGATGTCGACCGGAACCGATTGTTTTTGCACAAGCTTCCACTCACGACAGTCTAGTAAGGTGTTAAGTTTGATGAAAAGTTCGACACTGTCACTCGAGATGTTTCTATTGTCCGTCGTGTACAAGACGTCTTTGTTGAAAGAGCTCAGTATGTGTTTGCTGACACTGTGAACTGTTAGTTGAGTGTTGGTTAAGCTCACGTCGATGATTTCGTTGATCTCTTGTATCACTTCTTGTAATTCGTTATATTCTAGTTCCTGAAAATAAAAAAAATGTGTCAGAAAAGTTGAACTTTGTAAAAAAGCCTTGTAGTTTTTTTAATAATCAAAATTAACAATACCAGTGTACCAAATAAAATAGATCTATGTGTAGTTCTTTTTTTGGATGTATTTATATACTGAGTAGCTTTCATGATTTTTTGATGAGTGGCTCTTAGGATGTCATCGTACGCTTTGGGACTAAGTTTTGTTAGTATCTTGCAGTATTTAGTGGTAGTGATCCCTGTATTAATAGTGTGCCACAGACCAGAAAAACTGGGAATTATATTATGCTTGAATTTGTTGTTCCGTGAAAAATGGGAAACATATGGGAGCTTTGAAATTTCACTGTGAAAACCTGATTTTAGTCAACGGCCACAGAAAAATCATGAACGTCCTTTGTAGTGACAGAAAAATCAACATCTTCTGAGGTCATGGCAAAATCGTAAAACATCTCTCGGTCATGGCAATGCTTCCTCAGTCACAGTGAATTCTTGACATGGTCCGCAGAAACAGCAAAATCGTGCAAAGTCTTTCTGCAGTTACGGCAAAACCAATAACATGCTCTGCGGTCAGGGTGAAATCGTGAACATCTTCCAGGGCATCTCAAAATTGTGAATACCTTCCAAGGGCACGCCAAAACGGAAACATCTTTGGAGGTTACGACAAACCGTGAACAACTTCTGCAGTGACAGCGACACCATTGTCACCCACTATCGCAGAAAAATCATAAATTTTTCTTGTCTCAAGCTTGTCTCGATTCGACTTGAGGTTGGCCCGATAATTATTTTCGACTTGTACTGATCCCTCGGACCAACTGTTGCCGACCTAATCTGAAATAACAAGGGATCCTTAGATCCCTAGTAAAATCATAGACTTGGTAACCAAGAATCATAACCTTTACAAAAAGGTTTTGCTGACAGAAAACCCAGGAAAAATGTGTGAAATTTTTTCCCACGAGTTCCCGATTTAAAAATAATAGACTATAGATCAAATCCACCCAATTTTTATTGACTTTAACTTAAATCTAGTTTCTCAGTTTTTTGTAGTGGTTGAAAAAAACTTACTTGAGCACCTCTTTTGATGTCAAGTTTCATCCAAGCTTTTCGTTTTGCACCAGTTCTAGGAATTGCAATTTGGTTAGGAGGCAGAAAACAGCTCAAAACATACTATTAAAGTATTAAATATCTTAACCCTTCCCGGACGGGCAAAATCATGACATAAGACGGGAAAAAATTAGAGGAAAAAATAAAAATTATTTTTTAATATTTATGTTTTGTTATACATACATAAAATAAACACAGTGGAACACATTATTCTGTCAAAATAATTTTTTCTCGTTTTTAATTATGCGGATATATCCGCCACCCGTCTTTGAAGATGTGACCATACAACGTTAGGCAATAAATAAAGAACAATATGTAAACAATAAATAAAGACAACGTAATGTTGAACGTGAAACGTCGAGGGGGGGGAGCGTAGGAGTTTTGGGGTGTGCGCCAGGGGGGATGAGGTTCAGGAGAGGGGTTGGCGCGCGAAAAAGGAGAGAGTGCGGGGGAGAGCGCAGTCATGGAAAGGGCAGGAAAGTGGCGCCTTGGTACCCCGAAACTTCTGGTTACTGCTCAAGCACCTGCCAGTCTGTCTGAAGGGAAGGCGGATATAACCGCTTCCCGTCCGGAACATCAAAAACCATATGCGGATACATCTGTCACCCGTCCTTTATCGCCAAAGCCTTAGGCGGATATATCTGTCACCCGTCCGCGAAGGGTTAAGAAGTTGTGTATTGTAAAACTGTAAATGCAAACAATGCCTCAAATTCCTCATAATATTTGATATGATGGATTAAATTACCTCACTGGATGTTTGCAAGATCATAATGAGGAAGATGTGTATAATGCGCTTCATGGTATAGTCTCATTCTGAAAATTAAAGAAAAATCATATAAATTCAAATTATGTATCATAACATACAATTATTTTCCTCTATTACAGATTACCTTTATAATAAGTTCATTGAAACATATAATCGCTATTTTTATTTAGAGGGTATTTGACGATTTTATATTTATTCAAATATACAATATGTGTTCCCTAAAGTCCTTTTAAAACTTTAAAATTTACCATTGAGTTATCAAAACTAATATAAGTTAAGACTTCCAGGTTGGAAATTTAATTAGTACAAAAATTTGTCTTGTTAACCACTAAGAACAAAATAATTTGTTTATTGTGCGACTAATCGACTTGACTCAATGAGTCTTAGGTTTGACAATAACTTTAGACTCAAATAGAAAATGTCTACTTCTTTCCATAAATGTGTACTTTTTTAATGACTTCACAAAGAAATATATTTTGATTGTCTCTCACCGACCTGTGCAAGTGTGTCTTTATAACATTTTATTAAGTTATTAAAAGAGATAAATCTAGACAATAAACTATCTTGGCAAAAAAAAATTCCTTTAACAACTAAACACATACGTATGTAAACTTGTCTTTGTACATGTAGCAAGCAAGAGTTCATATAACAATGAACAGTGAAAATAATCACCTCATAACGAACACAACATAAAAGTGAAGTAGTAATTACTGTTGAGGTGTACAGTTGGGGTTATGAATATTTAAAAGTATTATCTCAGTTATGAGGTTTTTATCACTGAGCATTAGGCATATACAATGTTGTATTCCTCAAGACACAGTACAGCTAAATGTTGGTGTAGACAAAAGACATCGTATCAGACTTAGTTAGAAAGTTGGAATTATGAATTTTCAATTTATTTTCATAAAAGTTGTGAAAGAAAGTAGAGCCCATATTATAACAGTGATTTTATAGAGATCCATTGAAATATTAATGGATTTTCATCATATCTGTGATGTGATTAATTATGTGATTAATGACATCGAATCCATCATTAATGGATTTTCATCATATCTGTGATGTGATTAATTATGTGGTTAATGACATCAAATCCATCATTAATGGATTTTCATCATATCTGTGATGTGATTAATTATGTGATTAATGACATCAATCCATCATTAATGGATTTTCATCATATCTGTGATGTGATCAATTATGTGATTAATGGCATCAAATCCATCATTAATGGATTTTTATCATATCTGTGATGTGATTAATTATGTGATTAATGACATCAAATCAATCATTAATGGATTTTCATGGTTTTGACTATTGCCTGTTTACTTATTTATTTATCAATCTTTTCAGAAAAATTTTGATGAGAGGATCCTATTTGATCTTTCAAATGTCTATATAAAGATCTGTTTCATTCAATACAAATTAGTAGCATTTATAAAACAAAATATTTACACAACAACTTGGATGATGTCATGAGCAAATTTAAGTTTTTCTTTGTTTACTTTATTTTTAGTTTAAAAAATTTTACTTTGTTGATAATTCCTTTCACATTTATTTATACATGGCATAACATCGTTTAAACCGTAACAATAAAAAACTTTGTAAACTTTAAACTTTTTAATACAGTTTTGTTATTTATTAAAATAAACCATAGAGAACAAAAATTGTATTTCAATCAACAGATGTCAGAACTAGTTTACCATATGGTTTATATTTTCTATCAAAATACAACTAGTTCATTGTTAGTTTTAAGTGCAATAAATATCACTTACCAGAAATGATGGTTTTGTGTAAAAAACAGAAGATGCACAACAAATGGTTCACATTTCTAGCTGTATACTTATGTGGCACTGTCATACACACAGTTGTGTACATACATATGATTATCAGTCTGCCATCATTACCATTACAAACGTTAGGAACAACAGTATAGACGCTCCTCTTTCCATTTCAACTAGCCTACTATTTTCTTAGAGTTTCTATGTAAATCAGCTGATTTCACAATCTCATTGTAATAATTTGGATCTTAAATTAGTTTCGTTCTTCTAATATCTTGGTAAATTGACTGATTTAACACTGTTGTACTATTTGTAAATATTTAGGTTAGGCACTGCTGTTATTAGTTCCTGCATAAATCAGCTGATTTCACATTGTTGTATACCAATTGTTATTCACATTGGGTTTTCAATACACACATTTATTACTAAAATTTTAACAACACGAGTTACATCAATTGAATTTAATACAATATTTTCAAATCAATTTAAAGTTTCTGCTGTAAAAGTTCCTCTTCCCCTTGATAGGAATTATAGATATAAGTGTAACATAAATTTTTCTTAAAACAAAAAATTCTTTCAAAATACTATTTAACATTATTTACTGTTAATAATAATAACACAAATTTTTTATGGCAATTTTTAACTATACACATAATTAAAATAAGATTAACTTGAGAATAACTGAAACAATAGATCAAATATATCTTAGAATTATTAATTGTCCCTTTCTTCAACAGTTTTGTTAAAGGTTGTGAGCTAGAAATTAAAACAAGTCTAGAAAAATGGTTAAGGCGTTACAATTTATTATGGAATTTAACATATTTTCTACTATCATTGGCATAACCATAAAACATGTTACAAACTTATCACTTAGTATTGGAAATTCTCTACGGTATTTGATTTGTGTCTATGAAAATATGAAAGTCTTATAAAAGAATCTAAAATTTTAGCAACCCGCTTATGTCACTTATAGGTATAACAGCTTTAAATATTTTTCCAATATATTTTTGTTTAAATATTTTTTAAATTAAAATCTTATCACAATTCATTAGCAGCAAAAGCCTTAAAAGGTTTTTCTGCATTCTTTTTATTAGATTTAGCAAATTTGGTCTAGTGGTTTATGCGTAATACAAAGACAGACAACCAATACATCTAATTTTTGTTAACAGAGATTCATTTGATAAATTTGCTTTACCACACACTGAACAGATACGGATCAGTTAAAGCCAAAATTAGGTGATGACAGATTTATTTTTTCAGGTTAATTGTTTTGATTAAATTCAGTTTTGTTTCATTAATTGTAAATTTAATTTTCATGATGCTTCACAGGCACAGAGATCCAAGCTTTGACTTCCCAGAGGTAGGCAAGTGGCCGATCCACGTCCAGGTTAGCCACTACGCCAGTGTTGCCTGCAAGCGGCTAGAGAGGGGTGGAGAGGGGGGAAAGAGACCGCCGAGAAAACCCACATTGGAGGAGATCGATCAGGCTAGAGTAAGTTTAAATATGATAATTTAGAGGTCTGTTGATTGTGAATTGTGTGTCAAGTTTTGATTATAAGGATTTATCAATTGCAGAGACTCGCTTCTTCTAATTTGCTTAGAAAATTCTATGAATTTGGTTATGAATTTATTTTTTTTTGTCCTATTTTCTTGGTAGTCAAGAAAGGGGTTTTAGTGCTTTACTTCAGATTTGAGGGTTGATGGTTTGATTCTCGTCCCAGATGCCGTTTTACATTGTCTATCACCTAATGAAATATTTAACAAAAGGTCAAATTTAAATAGTTACAAGACCAAGATTTGACCGTTCCCTAACAAAGAACCTAAATAATGCCAAATATCTGGTTCATCAGAAAATAATATTTTTGTAACATGTGTCCGTTTTAAAGTTCGATAGGTTTTGTATTAACGTTAACTGACGAATCTACTTGTTTATCTAATGATTCTGAATTATTTTGTTCAGGAAGTATCAGAACAAGAGTAAAATTATTCATCGTCTACCATAATAATTGTCAATGCCGGTTTCCTACTAGGCCGCGTCCCAAGGATGCAAGCAAAAAGGAGCCGCAACATCGTTTTGTACAAAATGTTTTATTCAACAGTGACACAACAACGTTGTTTGTTTTTTTTTAAGTTATAAGTTGTCTTTTTATATAACAATTCTATTTTCACTTATTAACAACAGGCCCACATTAATTCATTGAGGGGGATGGCGGTGATGTTCCCATGATTGGGGACGACAAAACTGGGTCCTCATAAGCGTGGGTGACAATAATGATGTCCCCGTGATCGCAAACATTGTTCACAATTTTGTCGCGAGTGTAGGAAAGTTCTACAAATGGGACTAATTTGGCCTAGGGACGCAATTACGCTAAATACTGCACACTAATGGTGTTCAACAATAAATAAGATCTGTATCATTAATCTTGCTGTGTCGTTCAGTTGCAGATCTTCAGACCAAGCATGTTCGGGTCCACTCTGCAAGAGGTGATGGCCCTACAGAAGGAGAGGTTCCCTCACTACAAGCTGCCATGGATACAGACCACTCTATCTGAAGAAGTACTGAGGCTACAGGGAGCCCAGACTGAAGGCATATTCAGGTAGGCTGGCTACGATAGACCTGACTAAGCACCCACATAGAATTATGATATGTAATTAATACAGTGAGTGTTTTCGCTGTAACCCCGTTTTTAGCTGTATTACTGAACCGATTTTCACTATTAAGGTGTCATTTTAAAGCTTATGATCCAGTGCACATGCGAATGGTAATGGAACTTAAGGACTTTGATCCCTTTGCGTTTAAATTATTTCTAGGGTTCACTTTCAAAGATTCAGTGTTTGTGACAAACTTTCTTTATAATGGTTTAAATATGAATTGTAATCCAACAGCTCATCCTTCAGTTAAATGTTTAACCACGGCCAGATTGTAAACAAGAGGCAGAAAAAACTGTTTATGAAAATGTGTTTTAAATAGCTACTTTTTTAATGTTTGCAATCAGATTGAAGTAGATAAATCACTCTTAACACGTTGAGTGCTGACTACATCAATTGATGTAGTACGTCACGAGCGCCCCTGGCGGACTACATCAAAAGCTGTAGTCGCGCCACTCCAACTTTATTGGTTCAGTGTGAGCTCAGACATAGACGGGGAACGTTGTATCGCGCGTCAGCCTGTTGTGCCAGTTCTCGAGTTTATTTTGGCGCGGATCGTTTTCAGCTCCGGGTTTTTACTTCGGCACGGGACCGTGGTAATCTCGTACTTTTGTGTGGTGTGTGTAAATGTGTTTGTGGTGCAATGGAGCCTAATATTGACGATGAATTGTTGGAGAATGTGTTCTCGGATGGTGAAAATGACTCTGAGGAGAGTTCTGACAGCTCCGATGACGACGACGGGGTGTGTCCAGCATGGAGTCCGACCCTTGGCGCCAACGGCATGCGTGACATCCCATTCACAGGTGATCCTGGACTGAAAGTGCCAATTCCCGGTAACAATAGTCCTATTGATTGGTTTGATTTATTATTAGATGTTGTATTTTTGGAAAGTATCGTATCATTGACAAACGATTACGCATTTGAATTTTTCTGTGGGCCGAATACTAATCCCAAGTCACGAATTGGAAGATGGAAAGACCTTACTCTTGAGGAACTAAGAACCTTTATAGGCTTGTTGTTGCACACTGGTTCTATTAGATTGAATCGTCTTTGTGATTACTGGAAAACCCATTACCTTTATGAAACATGTATTTTTAGCAAGTTCATGAGTCGAGACCGGTTCCAAATAATACTAAGATGCCTGAATTTTTCAAGAGTAGTGACAGAGGATAGGCCGGAACCCGCTAATGACAGATCATATAAGATCAGGAGTATCATTGAGTATTTCAACAACAAAATGCGTGAGATTTACTATCCGGATCGCGAGCTTACCATTGACGAAGAAATGATTCTATGGCGTGGTCGGTTAGTTTTCCGGCAATACATCAAGGGAAAACGCCATAAATATGGTATAAAAGTTTACTCCCTAAACGAACCTGAGGGCCTTCAACTGCGTTTACACATCTATACAGGGAAAACTGACCCATGTGCCGGTAAAGGACATACAGTAAAAGTTACCTTGATGCTAATGAACGATTTTTTGGGTAAGGGCCATGCACTTTTTATGGACAACTTCTACAATAGTTTTCTTTTGTCGTCCAAACTCCTACGTCGTTTGACTTACACAACTGGAACCTTGCGCAATGACCGTAAAAATACACCGGCAGCTGTCAAGTCGGCCCAATTGAGTAAAGGTGAAACCATTTCTAACTACGCCGAAAGTGTCATGATTGGTAAATGGCGTGACAAGAGGACTGTCTCGTACATTTCAACCCAATTCGATAATGAAATGGTCACAAGCAGAAACAAAAGGAAACAGTTGAAAGTAATGCCAAAGGCCGTTATGCAATATAACGCGCATATGAAGGGGGTTGATCGCTTGGATCAGATGTTGTCTTATTATCCATGTGAGAGAAAAACACTCAGATGGCCAAAAAAAATCTTTATTCACTTCTTGCAGGTAGTCATGGTCAATTCATTCTACCTGTATAACATGCATAACGTTGGCAACAGACTATCCCTGTATGATTTCCGACAGAAAGTACTCGAAGCACTCTTGCCCCCCAAACCAGCACCAATAATGAGGACCCCCACCACAGGCAGTATGCACAGGCTGTCAAAGAACGAAAAAAGAAGATCAAATGGAAGCCATGCACAAAAACTTTGCAGAGTATGTTCCAAAGAAGGCAAAAGGAAAGTGACCGTCTATGTTTGTGCAGTGTGCCCCGGTGAACCAGGACTTTGCGAATTGCGATGTTTCGACAAGTTTCACGAGGACATCGCCGAATAAAATGTATTATGACAATGGCGGTGGGTGGGGTTGTAAATAGTTTTTGAATAGTTTTAAATTTTTTCTATAATTGTCTTCTCTGTAAGAACAGTGTTTTTATAAATAACAATAACTCTTTCTTTGACATTGTGTGTGAACTAATTTTTTGCATTGACGATCGTTCTAAATGACACTTGGAAGGATTGTATATAATTTTGTGTGGTTATTATTTCAATAATTACCGACTTTTGTGTCAAGAAACAAGTTTGTGGGTCGTTATACACAAATGTGACAGTAAATAGACTACTTCTTCTTCGCGGTGACTTAGCAAACCGGCCCCACCGGCGGACTACATCAATTGATGTACCGGAAGTGACGTCACCAATAATGACCAAAATGGAGGCCTGGGGATCTTCTAATGACATTTTGGATGCATTCACATCATTTACTTGGTGAGTTATCAATAATCATATTTCAGCACTTTAGGCACGCAATGCTAACCCATTTCAGCACTCAACGTGTTAAGACTTTATGGTGTAGATCTAGAAATTTGAAAAGTAAATGTGTATTACATTATTATTTTTCCATTTAATTAAGCTATGAACCCCATTATGCGTGATTTGCGCATAGGTCCCCTCGGATTCCAAAAATTTGGTTTAAATTGTCAATCACAAAGTTTTACACTAGTAATTATATTCTGGACCCTCTTTTCCTGTTAGCACTGCATCATCTGTGTGTTGTGTAGTCCTATCAACCTAGCGGGTAACATCTAAAGAGAAATGTTTTACTATATGACTCTCATTGACTTCCAACCGTATGTTCAAATGACTGATTCATTCTATTATTACCGATTTGTTGTTTACAGGGTATCTGCGGATGTAGATGAAGTGACTAGTCTCAAGATGCAGCTAGACAGGTGGGATCGGCCCACAGACTGGACGGACGCTCACACTCCTGCGTCTCTGCTCAAGTTGTGGTATAGAGAGCTGTACGAGCCACTCATACCGGACACCATGTACAACGAGTGTATTCAGCATCACGATAACCCAATCCGAGCGATACAAATTGTCGATAGTCTTCCAGAAATCAACAGGCTCGTTTTGTCCTACCTTGTGCGATTTCTTCAGGTATGTTTTCCTAGGTTATTTTCGTCGGGGTATATTGCTACCTGTAGGTGTTATAAAACTGTTTTGGAAATTAAATTTTTCCCCAACTCTTCTCATTTTATGAAATTTTGCTGAGCTAAACGATGATTCTGTCTTGTTTGGAGTACATAAATTTATTGGACTAACATTGATAACAGTAAAGATGAGTGATTTTGTTTTTTCCCCTTATGTTGAATCTGTGATATATGATTGATACTCATTAATAGGGAAAAAGACTCTATTTTTGTTATGATATTTTAATTAGATTTTAATAAATTTCTCCTTTAGGCCTACTATATCAGTAGAGGTGTGCGAGAAGCTGGATTTTTGAGACGAGCCAAGCCTCCTCATAAAGCTTGAAGCTTAAAATAGTGGTAAAAATGTCAGAAGTTAGAAAATGAAGCCAAACCAATAATTTATTCTTTAGACATTGATGGCACAAAGCATTGTGCGATTGTACATTTAAGATGTTGCCACAATTGCCAGGGATGATTACGGCATGTTGTGCTGTGTCAATGCTCGATGGCAAAGTGCTACGATCACACATTATAGTTATGACGTAGTGATCAGTTTTCAGCCTTGGCCCCTGACTCCAAAATCAACCACTAAAACTTAGTTCCAGTCCTTGTTTGTTAGTACTTAAAAATGCTATTTAACTACACCATAACATACAAATGCATTTTGAAAAGATTAATTGTGACGAATTAACTTATGGCATGGCAGTACAATACCTTCACTTTATACTAAAAATATCAACTGGATTAAAAATCTCAGGCTTGCACTCATTTATGTATTGTCAGTGATTTAAATTGTATAGCTGCGGTAAATCGTTATACTTCATTTAAATAAGTAGATATTTGCTTGGCTTGATCAAACTTCTTTGGTCCGCACAAATCTCATATATTGTCTTTGACGGAGTTGCAGTGAATGATTAAACTTGTTTTAACTGTGTAGATATTTGCACGGAGCGAGGTTGTACAGCAGACCAAGATGGACGCCAGCAACCTGGCCATGGTGATCGCACCTAACTGTCTGCGCTGCACCTCCCACGACCCTCGCGTCATCTTCGACAACGCGCGCAAGGAGATGGCGTTCATGCGCACCCTCATTCAGTACTTAGACACCAACTTTGTGGAGGGAGTCGTATAGAAAGGTAACGCCTTGTCTTTAACTGCTCTGTAATGTTAAGGATTGTTATTTTTATAGCTTGAAAGCTCACTTTAGTTTCTGAATATGCAGTTGTTTTAATACTGGATTATCACCTTGTCCTGCAGTTCTTGTGGACAAGTATTTAGAAAATCTATTATGCATAGTTTAGACCGGAAAGCGGAAAGGTTTTAAATTTAAGAAATACAAGAGTATTGATCGGAAATAGAGCCTAAAGATTAAACTGAAAATATAGTTAAGTACATTGTCTTTTTATAACCTACATAATTTATCTTGGTTATCAAGTGCCAAGTTTGCAGGACTACCATATTTTGAAATCATCAGACAATGTAATACAAAGTGACTACCGGATCCGCTGGATCCGAGCTAGAACCGGCACCAAATCGGATCCAAAAAATTTCGGATCTTTGGCTGGATCCGGTTTTTAAGGATCCAATTTTTCCGATTTTTTTTACTGACACAAAGCTGTCTGTATCCATGTACAAGACCGATTTTGTCCCGATTTTTTTCTAAATGTCACAGTACTGTATATTACGACGTCAATAACCTCTATGGTTAGGCAATGTCACAGTACTGTATATTACGACGTCAATAACCTGTATGGTAAAGCAATGTCACAGTACTGTATATTACGACGCCAATAACCTTTATGGTTAGGCACTGTCACAGTACTGTTTATTACGACGTCAATAACCTGTATGGTTAGGCAATGTCACAGTACTGTATATTACGACGTCAATAACCTGTATGGTTAGGCAATGTCACAGTACTGTATATTACGACGTCAATAACCTGTATGGTTGGGCAATGTCACAGTACTGTTTATTACGACGTCAATAACCTGTATGGTTAGGCACTGTCACAGTACTGTATATTATGACGTCAATAACCTGTATGGTTAGGCAATGTCACAGTACTGTATATTACGACGTCAATAACCTGTATGGTTAGGCACTGTCACAGTACTGTATATTACGACGTCAATAACCTGTATGGTTAGGCACTGTCACAGTACTGTATATTACGACGTCAATAACCTGTATGGTTAGGCAATGTCACAGTACTGTATATTACGACGTCAATAACCTGTATGGTTAGGCAATGTCACAGTACTGTATATTACGACGTCAATAACCTGTATGGTTAGGCAATGTCACAGTACTGTATATTACGACGTCAATAACCTGTATGGTTAGGCAATGTCACAGTACTGTATATTACGACGTCAATAACCTGTATGGTTAGGCACTGTCACAGTACTGTTTATTACGACGTCAATAACCTGTATGGTTAGGCAATGTCACAGTACTGTATATTACGACGTCAATAACCTCTATGGTTAGGCAATGTCACAGTACTGTATATTACGACGTCAATAACCTGTATGGTTAGGCAATGTCACAGTACTGTATATTACGACGTCAATAACCTCTATGGTTAGGCAATGTCACAGTACTGTATATTACGACGTCAATAACCTGTATGGTTAGGCAATGTCACAGTACTGTATATTACGACGTCAATAACCTGTATGGTTAGGCACTGTCACAGTACTGTTTATTACGACGTCAATAACCTGTATGGTTAGGCAATGTCACAGTACTGTATATTACGACGTCAATAACCTCTATGGTTAGGCAATGTCACAGTACTGTATATTACGACGTCAATAACCTGTATGGTAAAGCAATGTCACAGTACTGTATATTACGACGCCAATAACCTTTATGGTTAGGCACTGTCACAGTACTGTTTATTACGACGTCAATAACCTGTATGGTTAGGCAATGTCACAGTACTGTATATTACGACGTCAATAACCTGTATGGTTAGGCAATGTCACAGTACTGTATATTACGACGTCAATAACCTGTATGGTTAGGCAATGTCACAGTACTGTATATTACGACGTCAATAACCTGTATGGTTAGGCAATGTCACAGTACTGTATATTACGACGTCAATAACCTGTATGGTTAGGCACTGTCACAGTACTGTTTATTACGACGTCAATAACCTGTATGGTTAGGCAATGTCACAGTACTGTATATTAAGACGTCAATAACCTCTATGGTTAGGCAATGTCACAGTACTGTATATTACGACGTCAATAACCTGTATGGTTAGGCAATGTCACAGTACTGTATATTACGACGTCAATAACCTCTATGGTTAGGCAATGTCACAGTACTGTATATTACGACGTCAATAACCTGTATGGTTAGGCAATGTCACAGTACTGTATATTACGACGTCAATAACCTGTATGGTTAGGCAATGTCACAGTACTGTATATTACGACGTCAATAACCTGTATGGTAAAGCAATGTCACAGTACTGTATATTACGACGCCAATAACCTTTATGGTTAGGCAATGTCACAGTACTGTATATTACGACGTCAATAACCTGTATGGTTAGGCAATGTCACAGTACTGTATATTACGACGTCAATAACCTGTATGGTTAGGCAATGTCACAGTACTGTATATTACGACGTCAATAACCTGTATGGTTAGGCAATGTCACAGTACTGTATATTACGACGTCAATAACCTCTATGGTTAGGCAATGTCACAGTACTGTATATTACGACGTCAATAACCTGTATGGTAAAGCAATGTCACAGTACTGTATATTACGACGCCAATAACCTTTATGGTTAGGCACTGTCACAGTACTGTTTATTACGACGTCAATAACCTGTATGGTTAGGCAATGTCACAGTACTGTATATTACGACGTCAATAACCTGTATGGTTAGGCAATGTCACAGTACTGTATATTACGACGTCAATAACCTGTATGGTTAGGCAATGTCACAGTACTGTATATTACGACGTCAATAACCTGTATGGTTAGGCAATGTCACAGTACTGTATATTACGATGTCAATAACCTGTATGGTTAGGCACTGTCACAGTACTGTTTATTACGACGTCAATAACCTGTATGGTTAGGCAATGTCACAGTACTGTATATTAAGACGTCAATAACCTCTATGGTTAGGCAATGTCACAGTACTGTATATTACGACGTCAATAACCTGTATGGTTAGGCAATGTCACAGTACTGTATATTACGACGTCAATAACCTCTATGGTTAGGCAATGTCACAGTACTGTATATTACGACGTCAATAACCTGTATGGTTAGGCAATGTCACAGTACTGTATATTACGATGTCAATAACCTGTATGGTTAGGCACTGTCACAGTACTGTTTATTACGACGTCAATAACCTGTATGGTTAGGCAATGTCACAGTACTGTATATTAAGACGTCAATAACCTCTATGGTTAGGCAATGTCACAGTACTGTATATTACGACGTCAATAACCTGTATGGTTAGGCAATGTCACAGTACTGTATATTACGACACCAATAAGAAGTGGATAATGGACCTACCATCTACAGCCTGGTCACCAAGGATCACTATTGGGGGAAACCGACTAATTCAGACTACAACGAAGCTTTTAACCAGCTTATAACAGACTTCCAAGACTAAGAAGCTTTCAACTCTCATCTGCTCAGCAATGGGATGCGTCAGAGATCTAATAAAGCCACAACACTTTATTCAAAATGTTATTAACTTCGAACGGCAGACTGGCGCACGTGTGATCATCGTCTCCTATGACCAAAAAGCCGGGCGGAGGCTTTGGAGAGGACTTAGTCACAGCGAGTTTGTGCACACCTTGAGAGAGCTGATCCCACCAGCTGCAGCCACCCTTACACCGCTGGAGCTGACTGGCGCCAACACCTCCACCACACCCTGTCCCGGCAACCACCTGCCCGCATCTCCCCATGGTTCCAGCCGGTGCCAAAGTGTAGTGAGTGATGTGAGCCAGCCAAGTGAGAGTGAAAGTGGAGGTGATGGTAATATCACCCTCAGCCCTGTCACTACCCCTGAAATGTCAACCACCCCTAGCCCTCCACACTCTGTCAGTCCTCCCCACTCTCCAGATTTAAAATCTCCATTCAGAGGGTTTGCAACCCCTAATTCTGATCAACTTAATTATATAACTACTAAAATAGAAATGTATAAGATTAACAGACCAAATGCCATACCTTTTTTAGGAAATTTGACCACGTTCCCCCCATTAGTTACAAAGTAATACCTAACATGACTGATGTGTTTGATAATGGGCAGTATTCTTTTCCAGAATCTGATAAAGGCGACAAAGGTATCGGTAATGAAATTGTGTTGTCAAAAAATCTAAGTAATTGTATAATGCACTACAACATTCAAGGAATTAAGCAAAAATTTGAAGAGATAAATATTTTATTAAAAAGCACAAAAAATGTTAAAATAATTTGCTTTAATGAACATAATATAAAAGAATCAAATAAACTGTTGTTAAATAGAATACACAATTTCAGTTTGAGGGATGGATTTTTCAGGAATTACTCTAGAGGTGGATCTTGTATACTAGTCCATGATTCCCTTTCTACCATTTCACGACAAGATCTAAGTAAAACTTTCAATGAGGAGTTTACCTTTGAAGGGTCATTTGTAGAAATTGAAGATCTTAATTTGTTAATTGTATCAGTCTATAGAATACCAGGAAATTGCATTAGTAATTTGTTTCTTAAAAAATTTCAAAGCTTCCTAACTGTTTTGAAAATTGAGGCAAAAAAGAAACAAATTGTTATAGCAGCTGATTTTAATATTAACCTTTTAAAAAAGAATAGTAATTCAGTAGAAGAATTTAAAAATATAATTAGTAGTCATGGTTTCTTGATAAACATCAAAGAGCCAACAAGAATAACAAAAACAACAAACACCTGCATTGATAACTTTCTAACTTCTATAAATTATGGTAAAGCTCCTTTTGAGAATCTTGATTTATCTATGTCTGACCACAATGCTCTATTCCTTCAGTTACCTATTAGTAGTAAATTTAAATTCAAATCAACAAACTCTGTAAAATCCTATCAAAGACGTTTTCCTGAAGGATCCATCGCCCCATTTATTAATAGCTTGAGATGTAATTTGATGTCTTTATCTTTAGATGGTTCAGTGGATAACAATTACAAAAATTTTTTGGCTAAGATTAAATTAAGTATGGATGAAATCTTTCCAGTCAAACCTTTTAAAGCAAAAAATAAAAGTAAATCAAAAACTTGGGTTACTTTAGGGATAACAGTGTCATCAATAAACAAAAGAAAATTACATTATGAAGCAAAATTTAGTAATGATCCTAATTTTCTAAGCTATGTAAAAAATTACAAAAAGATATTTCAAAAGATTGTTAAAAAAGCTAAGAAATCTGCAAATGATAGGTATATAATGCAAGCAAAAAATAAGTCCAAAGCCATGTGGAATGTTGTAAAGGAAGAATTAGGTGTAGGTGTTAAAAGTTAAATTGTTAAGCCTCACATTAAACTTAAGGTCAACAATGAAATTATTGATGATGCTGTAGTCGTGGCGGAACTGTTTAATATTATCAGTACTCCAACATTGTCAATATACTTAAGCTGCCAAACATGCCACACAGTGCTAATATCAATCCGTATGCTAACAATCCTACAGTTCAGATGACAAAATTAGGTAATCTTCGTCAAACAAATGAAATTGAAGTAAAAAAAACTATTCTAAGTTTAAAGAACAGTAATGCCTGTGGCTGGGACGGTATACCCATTAAATTATTGAAATGGTCAGCAAATGAAATATCAAACATCTTGGCTACACTAATTAATCAATCTTTTGCAGAAGGTGTTTTTCCCCAACTACTAAAACTCTCAGAAATAGTACCCATTCACAAAAAAGGTTGTTTAAATGAAGTACAGAACTACAGACCGATCTCTTTATTAAGTAATGTTTCAAAGGTTTATGAAAAAATTCTTCACACTAGATTATCTAGCTTTTTGGAAAATAACTACAAGTTTTGCAAGGAACAATTTGGTTTCCGTAAAAATCTAAATACCCAATCAGCTTTAAACAACTTTGTAAATTGCGCTTTGAAGGCCTTGGATGAGTCGCAGTGCACAGCTGGTGTGTTCTGCGACTTATCCAAGGCTTTTGATTGTGTTAATCACAAAATTCTTATCAAAAAACTTACAGCAATTGGTTTTCATGGACAAATAATTGAACTTTTGAAGTCTTACTTAAGCGATAGAAATCAAAGAACAGTAATTAAAACCGCCTCTGGGAACAAATACTCTTCTTGAGCAAATAATAACTATGGAGTTCCGCAAGGTTCAATCCTAGGTCCTCTCTTATTCCTCACATATATTAATGATTTACCTTTTCATTTTTCAAATCAAATCTGTAACTTTACCCTTTATGCAGATGATACAACAGCTCTCATCAGACGAAGTACTGTTAAAATGTTACATGATGATGTCAAAGAAACAATTGGAGAAATAGCAAATTGGTTTTTAAAAAATGGCTTACTTTTGAATGAAGATAAAACTAGTGTTTTAATTTTCAAATTGAGAAATTCAACCAGAAAATGGAACAGAAACTACTGCCTCGCCCACAAATGTAGTAAAGTTTTTAGGGATATATTTGGGTAGTAAACTACAATGGACAGAACATATTAATTTTCTAAACAAAAAACTTAGTCCAACAAGATATGCTTTAAGTGTTTTAATTCAGGTTACCTCCTTGGAAGTATGTAAAAATGTTTATTATGCTTATGTGTACTCTATTTTAAGCTATGGTATTACATTATGGGGGACAGCCACAGATGTCCACAAAGTTTAAAAAAAACAAAAGTCAATAATCAGAACTCTTGCAAATTGCCCCAAAAAACATCATGTAGACAATTGTTTCGAAATTTTAAAATTTTAACTCTAACTTCAATATACGTTTTTGAAATTTTAAAAATGGTTCATGGAAATCCTGGTATGTTTCAAAATTATCTTAGTAATCACTCATATAATACACGAAGACGAGACATTTTTCAATACCCAACTCATAATTTAAAAAAATATGAAACAAGTCCTCTCTATATGGGGTTAAAAATTTACAATAAAATTCCAAACTCCTTAAATCAATTAAACTTAGCAAAATTTACAGACAAAATTAAAACAGTTTTAGTAGAAAAAGCATATTACACTCTTGAGGAATTTTTCAACGACTCCTGGTAACAAACACCCAATCTCTCATCAACCTCTCCTAACATAAACAGTTCCACCATGCTGTAGCTTTGTAGGGGTAACTTACTGGCTAAATCCTAGGTTTTTTATACCTATTTAGATTTCCTTATTTATTAGAAACCTTGACAATGTACCTGTCTGTGTATTACATTTGTAATAACTTTAACAGATGTTATGTGCAATAAAGAATTGTCATTTGTCAATAACCTCTACGGTTAGTCAATGTCACAGTACTGTATATTACGACATCAATAACCTCTATGGTTAGGCAATGTCACAGTACTGTATATATTATGACGTCAATAACCTGTATGGTTAGGCACTGTCACAGTACTGTATATGACGACGTCAATAAAATCTATGGTTAGGCAGTGTTACAGTACTGTACATTGCCGACATCAATAACCTCTATGGTTAGTCAATGTCACAGTACTGTATATTACGACGTCAATAACCTCTATGGTTAGGCGATGTCACTGTACTGTATATTACGACGTCAATAACCTCTATGGTCAGCCAATGTCACAGTACTGTATATTACAACGTCAATAACCTCTATGGTTAGGCAATGTCTTAGTACTGTATATTACGACGTCAATAACTTCTATGGTTAGGCAATGTTACAGTACTGTATATTACAACGTCAATAACCTCTATGGTTAGGCAATGTCTTAGTACTGTATATTACGACGTCAATAACTTCTATGGTTAGGCAATGTCACAGTACTGTATATTACAACGTCAATAACCTCTATGGTTAGGCAATGTCTTAGTACTGTATATTACAACGTCAATAACCTCTATGGTTAGGCAATGTCTTAGTACTGTATATTACAACGTCAATAACCTCTATGGTTAGGCAATGTCTTAGTACTGTATATTACGACGTCAATAACTTCTATGGTTAGGCAATGTTACAGTACTGTATATTGTTGACGTCAATAACCTCCATGGTCAGTGTCACGTCAGAGTACTGTATATTGCGACTTAAATAACCTCTATGGTTAGTCAATGTCACAGTATATGCCTCATAATTCTATTCTAAAAAAAAATATCCTCAATTCCCAATCTTTTCTTAAGATTGGGTGGATTCAAGATCCGGATTCGACCCTTCCCTACCTTCGATCTTGAGTATGCTATATCATGGTTTTTGCGTGCAGCATCCAATTTATTAATGCCTGGATCACCCCTTGCTTATCTTTTCCTTAAATTTGTTCCAGGTCCACATTACTGATAGCCGGGTATGTGAAATTCTACAGGTAAAATACCCTGTGTCTGTGTACAAGATTTTCTGTGTACATACAGGGTAAATAAAAAGTCAAGATTCCCCCATTTAATATGTTAGAACACAGAATAGTGTTCTTGTACACAGACACAGGGTATTTCACCTGTAGAACTTCACTTACCCGGCTATCAGTACTGTGGACCTGAAACGAATTTAAGGAAGAGATTACAAGAGGTGATCCAGGCATAAATAAATTGGATGCTGCATGCACAAACCACGATATAGCATACTCAAGATCAAACTATAGTAAAATATACACAGATGCCCTTTTGGTGGTTCAAACTTAGCACATAGTTTCATTTTAAGATTTTGAAAAGTTTTAGTGCCCCCACAAAATGAGGGATTATGGGCTCAACTGGAGATTACTCTATATATAAGATATATTAACCTTTAAACATTACCAATTTAATTTTAAACAGTATGATTTAAATTGGCATTCTGTTAATTACGTTTTTTTAACCCGCCCTTATGACAGTGTGTATCTGGATCCGGATCCGGTACCGACATTTTCTTGGATCCGCCCATCACTAAATACAACACCGTACTCTAAAAATTCAACGTTACATTTACTTTAATCTTAAAATTCTACTGATTGTGCCTGTGTCTAAATTATGTATCTTGTTGACTTTTGTGACATTTGCTTGAAAAATAAACTGGAAATCTTATCTTTTGTTACAGATGGTCGGAGCGACCAGACACTACAATTTGTGCCTGAGTTATGCCATTCATACCAAAGTTAGCAGATTAAGTATACAGTCTTATTTTCGTGTAAATAAGAATAATCTCAGAATGTAATATAATTTGTTTGTATTTAATTTGTTGTTTATCATTCTGTAAAGAATTAGTCATGTTTGTCAGACAAATACGTTTTAAGAGTTTAAGAAACTAGCATTCGTACAATGCAAACCCTATGGGTCGGAATCCGTACACGAATCTGATCGCAATTCAACGTCAGCGAAAGACGAAGGGTCAGTGCTCAATCGATAATAATCTTCCTATTCTGCGTTTGTTGTTTGTGTTATAGAACGGAGTAAATATCTCGCTAGTCATTTAATTTTCAGAAATTCCATTGTGTAGCCTACTGCATGCTACAATGCTAAAAAGTATTTTTGCATTTCATCCTGCTTTTAAATACCTGGTGAACTGTGCACTTTTTTGGTGGATCTAAATATATATTTGATTGATATTGATTTATCAATAATTCAATTTGTAGGTAAATTTCTTAACAATTTAGAGAAACTTCAACGTAGTTGGTTTATGTAGTTAAATTAATTGATTTACAACAATTATGTAATTCTCATCTTTTGACTTCGTGATTTACTGATGAATAAGTGTATTAGTTTTTGCTTTAAACCTTCCTTGTATTGGTAGAACTTATTATAACATAAATGCTTGAATTTTAGTTATTTATTTATATAAAAAATGATAGGTAAAACTTTTGACAAATTCAGGACATTAACGTCTTATATATTAGGTAATTTTTTGCCAACAAGTTTTAGGATAATTGTAGACCTAATTTTCGGGCAACATGTAAACAATTGTTAGGGAGTATCGGGGCTTAGTTAAAATTTTTAGGATATCACTGTTAATGTTAATAATAAATTAGGAAATTTGCTTCAAAAAATTGCTATGATAGTAAGTTCTATCAACACCATAAGGTCAACGGATGAAAAAATCTTGAGTCATCACTAAATCACAAGTCTGATATAATTTATGACTAATAATGAGCTGTGAAAATGCCTGAACTTTTACAAGCATGTGCAGTTTTGTTTTCAAATTTGTTACTTAAAAATAGACTTCGACGAGGATAATTTTTAATCCTGGTATTTCCAAGTTTAATTGTTATAATTGAGATTATAAAAAATCCTTGGACTTTTTCTCACAGACTAAGTCCATCTAAACTGAAATACAACAATACTTTTATGTTTAACATCATTTTCAACCTTTTAAAGATAGTTTAGACTGTGCACAGTTTAACTAACGTAAACGATTATTACTATTTAACATCACCCTGAAGTTTCTCTATAGTTTTAGTCCCAAAATGATTTTGTTAAACCCAGCAATCCAATGCGATGTTGATTTAATGTAGTAATTACATTACCAATTTGTTTTATATGTATTTAACTTCTATAAAACTGTTTATAGAACTTTGCTTTGATAATCCCAAATGAGTTCCAAAAACACAACACTAGCTTGTGGTATTTTTGTATTATGTGGAAAGAATAAATTAGAAATACTATTGAATTATATATTATGCGATAACATATAATACCACCATTGTGCTCCTTTAAACATTGTATTTATTGAGTAATCATTAGTGGTTTTTATAGTATTGTTTTATTGGAATTTTAAAGAAATGTGGTATGTTTTGTTTCATGAAGTTTTTTGTTCTTACACTGAACTTACTACTTTGTTCTATGACTGCACTTAATTTTTTAAGAGTGTTAAACACTAAGTGGTCCAATCAACTTAAGTTTTGTCAACAGGGCCGGATTTCCCAATAGGCCCGGTAGGCCCGGGCCTATGGGCGCAAGGTCCCAGAGGGCGCACGGCCGAGAGGATTTTTTTTTATATTCTATCTATAAATAAAAATAAATAGTCATAGTTGATAAAAAAAACTCTGCCTAATAAAGCATTGTGATTCTTAAGTTCATAAGAAGAAATTATTGTGAAATTTAAATTATTTTTCAGAATTACGCATCCATTTTTGTTACAAAATTGGTAACGAACATTGGTTATACGGGAGTAGGCTAGACAATGTTACCACCCTCACTTCACAAAACAAAAGTTATTAACTAATATTTTGATTAACTTAGCTTACAAGAATCTGGAGGACCAAGTTAAAATATATAATACGTTGTGTTGAATATTAAAACAATGATGAATTTACGTTTAAAATCAACAAAAAAATAGTAATCTTAAGATTTTGTAGATTTTGTAAAAATTCAATACCCCCCAAAGCACCATTAATGCTGCCATTTTCTCCTCAGACCTAAGGATCGGTATGGTTGGCAGGAATTTTGCTTTGGAAATTTAACCTAGATGCAGTACAACCATAGATTAAATATAACTGAAGTCGACTTCTTATGACATTGTTAATTCAAACATTTTTTATGTCTAGTTCATGTTGGTGAAACTGGATGTTAGTTTTGGCGTAATTTTGTTTCTATTATTTTATAGGGTTAGTCCTATGATGTGTGTTTTAATTTCTTGTAACATAAACAGGAGACGACCTATGGTTGATGATTAGATCGTTTTATTTTCGATAAACTAGGTTTAAACATAGATAAAACATAAGTTTACTCATTAAATAACAAGAATTGTTTTCAGCTACTGTAATCCAAAATGATGACAAATCTACTAAAGGAGTATGTTTAATCTATGGTATCACGTACTGCATGGAGTTCATGTTTTTGGGCCTGGAATTGGAATCAATGGCCATTTTTTTGCAGGAATTCTCGGTGGGTTGAGTTGTTTTGTTTCAGTACAATTGTACAATTTGTTTGTACCACGGCCAAAAACGTGAGCATTTATTAAAAGCATAAAATTGCTAAAAGTGTTTAAGACTGCACTGGCTAAACAAATCAATTAAAAAAAAAAACTTGCAATGATTCCGACGAGGAGTTGTATTCAAGCAATAAACTTAGGCCTATATGGGCATGATATAGTTTTTAATAAAGGTTTGAAGGGAAGTAACTGTGACCAGACTAGGGGGCGGAAAATTATTTGGGCCTAGGGGCGCAAAAATGCTAAATCCGGCCCTGTTTGTCAATGTTAGGGATTGAACCCCTGAACCTATCACTTTCCCACCGAAAAATACTAATAACTAGTCCAATGTATGTTTAGGAAAATGACAATAACTTAAAGAAAAAAAGGCAGTGTAATTAAAAACTTTGCAAAATAGTACAGTAGAACTTTGATAACAAAGTGTCATTTTCAAATCCAATTGAATTTATTTTACCCCCAATCACAACGGTGGCATCGTCCTGTAATCCAGCTACAGTATACTCATCCGGATCGGCCTTGCCCGGACTCCCGCTCGTCCGGATCGGCAATCGTGATTTTTTTTCTAGTGGCACAGTACAGTAGAAGTCCGATTATCCAAGCTAAACTGGACGGAGACTATTTCGGATTATGAAAAACTCTAATAACACGGTGAAAATTATAGGTTATAATTAGACAAAAATTGTATTGAATATGGTTTATTATTACAGTACAGTAATAAGTGCATAAGCATATACAGTACTGTATTTGCTCGACTCTAGATAGTCCAGATTTTACGCAATCCGGACCGGACGTCCCCTACATTAGTCCGGATGAGCGAGAGCTAGAAGGTCACGAATTGTGGATATTTATAGGCATGCACTGTGGATGCGATACTCCTTGGTGTGGATCAACATCAGCACTAGTGAGTACTACGACTATCCGCAGTACTATCCTGATGATTAGACCAATTCGTTAATTACAAGGCAAAAATATTGTTCGGATTCCACTATAAACTGTAGGTCCCTTAGTTGCCATTGGCTGTATGGGCTGTTAATTAACAGCTGTGTTTAAGGAATATGTCAGCCTTAGTCACTAACAAGACTACAAGATTGCACCACTCATCCCCATTCACACTTGGCTTAAAATACCTACTTTGTATGGTTACCATTATTTCAATGAAAAGTATTAAAGTCAAGTAAACCTCGATAAGAAGTTTACCTTGATAACAAGTCTTATCTAATAATCCCCAAGAGTCTTGTTTTCGAGGTTCTACTGTACTAAGAAAAGTTTTGAAAAAATTTTACCTGTATATTTATTTCTAAACAAAACATACCACGTTTCCAAACATTTTATCTCTAGAATTGGAATAGAAAGTTACTTTGTAATACCACTTTACCAATATTGTTTATAATTTGTACTCAGTAATAAATTTGGTTAGTAATAAATATGAACGTCATATCAGTACATAATAAATCTACTCAACCTACGTATAACGATAACATTGTTTCAATTAGGTGGATCCAAACTTAAGTTTTACAAGGTCAATTATTTTGCAACAGTTCTCAGTAAGTATATTATAATGATAGCAGTAGGAGTTAATTTGAGTTACAGTTTATGTACATATACACAGTTCCTGAAGCCAGGATAGATGTACATAGAATAAACAGCTTTTGTGGTATAGCGCTCATAGTAACAGAGTACTCAATTGTAACATTTTCACGATTAATATTCGCTTCGCTTGTTTTCTGTTTGTCATTAGATTATTTAGCTTATTTTTGTACCAAATGTATGTTAAGTTTTGTCGTATTAACATTATTAAAATGTTTTATTGAATTTACTAATATTTTTATGTTAAGAGATGTAATGCATTTGAGTGACAGGGATTGGACGTGAAACTGTTGGAGGTTGTAATCGGTATTGGAAGATAATTATTTCATTTATTTGTTTTTGAATTATTATGTTAAATTCCCATTGTGTGACCCTTACCATATAAATATACCATTATTTTTACACGTTGAATTTACAATTTTCAGAGATTTGAAAGTTTCAAACCAACTTTAAAAAAATGTGTTCCATATATTTCACAAAGATTAAACAAAAACCATTTACTATAGATTACTTGAATTACACCACTCAAAGAAAGGACTACAGCCAAATTATATTTCCCATTTAACTTCATATTTGTAGTCAGCTAACCAAATTGAGTTTATAGTTGACAATCAGTTGTTGTTTTTCACACTATTATAAAAAGCACAATGTTGAAGGAATGGAAGTAGATTTCCTTTTTGTATATTTTGTGGTAAGGGCCTCTAAATATTAAGAGTAAGGGATTAGTTCCTAGTTATATGACTAGTTTTTGTGTTAAAGAACCATATGGATTTTCTCAGACCAATACAAATTTAAAGATCCTCTTTAGGCTTGGAAAGAGAAACTTAATTGTACTGTTATAACTTAACAGACACCCTTTTAATAGATACAACACAATACAAATTTGCAAGATATTTTGTTTCTTCACTTACATTTTGCGTTCATCTCATAATAGGAATTCAAAACAGAAAATAATATAATTCATTGGATAAAAATATTTTATCTCTGATAAATTGGCATTCGTCTCTTTCACTTATCTTTTATTTTGTCCCATTAAGAATTCTGATTCAGTAATGGTGTCTGTTCTAAAAATTATGCACACTCAACAACTATACTTATTATTGTTAGTTGAAATTACACATCACAAAAAAGTGTTGATCCAAATCCAAGTAAGTAAAATTATTTTAAACCTTTGTATCCAAGCCGAATGTTCAAAATTGTAACAGCAATAGTTGATGTAAATGGAGGTGAATTTCTCTCAATGCATTCACTGATTGTTGAAGTAGTTAATAATCCCACTGATTAAAATATTTAATTTTTATACTTTTTTAGTTTGTTAGAAGTTACCAAAAAATTTGTTTTACTTATGTATCCAGCTTAGGAAAACATAATATTTGTTTACAATAACTAATTTAAAAAAATAAATACATTGAACTTATTATATTGCAGTGTGTTAATACTCCTCGTGAACTCCATGAACTGTGCTACAGATTTTGCCTTGGTATTTTAACGACAATTCAAGGCATTATGTCAGAGGGGGTTTTCAAAACAGAAACAGTTCTTGAATTTAATTACGTACACAGTACGTGCATTTTATTTAACAATAAAATAGTATATTTTAATTTTTTGACCCAAGCTCAAGTTTAACAAGGAAAATGAGCGAGGATTGAAAAAAAAATTTTTGCCCGTGAACTTGTCATGTAAAGATTACTTCTCACAATTACACACTTCCGACCGATATAAGCTATTGCCATTGATTATAGAGAGCAGGCCAGGGTCTACTCTCCTTACTCTGTGCTATTACAATCGAAGTTTACAAGAGAGGATACGGATAATTTTCCCCCCTCGGCTCAGTAGATTTTTACTCTTAGGGGAAAAAGAGCTCCCGTAGAACCGCAACGCGTGTATTGAAAACTGCTATTTGCTGCAGACGAAAAAGTAATTTCAGGAACAGGGCATGAATAAAGACTTCAAATGTAACTGCAAATAATAACATATTTTATTTCTCTAACTTAACTAAACATAAATTTTCAAAATATATACAAACATCTTTCTATACATCATCAGTCAGTTAAACAACTAAACACTGAGTTACACAAAATTCAACAACTTCGATCAGAGGCACAGGGAATCGCTTACATCACAGCACCATTGAGATTAGATCATGCACGACTTAGACCGAGACATCCGATGTCTTATTTGAAAACAATCAACACCTAACGCGCCCGTTAACGGGTAATGATAAAAAAGACAAACCAGTGGTGGGGTAAATTTTCCAGTGCGGGAACATATTTTGGAAAAAGACAGATTTCCACCTTACTACACCACTGCAACAAACTACGATATAAAATGGTGGGAAATCCCAAGATTTACCTGAATGTTTCCCTGATTGGATATCAGCT